ATAGTAACCATATTTTATGGAATAAACTTTTTAGCTCAAAAGTTTGTTCAGATCGTTCGCCAAATTTGCGTGAGACATCAACACTGCCCCGGACATACGCACTAGCTACCATAGCCAACCTATGTTACTCGTCCGAGAGCTTGAGCCGAGCCAAGGAGCCAGACTCGGAGCAATACGGTGTTCGCGTTCGACTCGCGGTATGGTACCACGGTTCGCGTCAGTCTAGTTGTAGGATGGTGATGTTCGCTGACCATACAGCAGTAGTAGGAATATTATGTGGTCTATCGTGTAGAGCCTAGAGCCATGGAACTTCGTGATCAAAGCCTCTACCTTCCGGGCCTCGCTCGAGAAAGATGCTGTTCCGTGCCAAAGCTATTATCCACTTATCAAAGGACTGTGCGGTGGCGCGGTGGCAACGATGCGCGGATTTTGCTAGGGAATCCAGCGCTGATTGGTTCCCAGACGCCACAAATACAGGCATCACTTTGATCACTCATAAATGTTACTTCGGCTAATATCTGGTTGTTTAGTTGGGGCAACGAGCGGGCAACGAGCGGACCACACAGTGATAGTCAATCCGCCCACTGCAAACCCGATTGCTGAGCCGTGTTCACTCGTCGTTGGCTATGGTGATTACGTAGAAACCAAATATCGATGATTCCGGATATGTACCTGATGCGGTTAGTCGGTGCGGCGCCTGCAGCCATAATCTGTAGCCAAAAACTCATTTATCCAACATGCGAAAATATTAGTATGTTTTCCTGGCGTTTTTTTAGGTTTTTTTGTTCAGCCGCAGCGGAGCCGCTAGCATTTTTCGCAAAATGCTTAATCACCATTGGCCTCGCACTTCGGAGTAAAAAAGCCTGGTAATGACAGACCATACATGCATATTGCCACGCCGAATAAGGGGTTCTAGGTTCTATTCGATCGCTTTCTGTCCTGGCCTAGAACTCCCGACGCTCCCGTTTAAATAGATGGGCCTGTTTCCTTGAACTCAATCTTCTGATCTCCTACTAGAATTCTGTGAGAGCTTGGGTCATATATTTTAGTCGGCTTCTGCGATTGACTTGTTCTCGCTGGGTGTAGAATTAATATATAATATTCAAATTCGTCTTTCAAAATGCTTTATACTCTCCCACGTCTTGTCCTCTCCGCTCTCCTTCTAGGCTCTGCCATCAATGGCGCCGCAATCCCAGACCCAGAAGCATACAATGGCTCTCAATTAGAAGAACGCACCGCCTGCAATGCCGACAATTTGCTTCGTCTCATTCGGGGCCAAGAAAACCTAGCGCAAGGGCTGGAGTTTTGCAGCAGTTGGCTTGGAAAGGTTCACACGACAGTCACCGTTGTAGGAAAGACCATTACACCCACCATGTAAGCTCTGTAGATAGACATCTCTAACACTTTAGGCTTCCGTCCAGTTCATAATATACTAATTTGCTTGTGTAGCACAACAACTGAAGTATCAACTTCCACTTCAACCCACCTCCTCACAGAGACAGCCACGATTACAAATACCGACTACTCAACCATCACGAACACAAAAACGGTCATCGTAACGCGACTGCAGACAGTCCTTGTTTGGAACAAGGTTAAGCGCACATGTAAAACGAAAAAACCATTATCAGAACAAATTTTGTCGAGCACCTACCCTCCCTCGCGAATTTCTAGCGCCTGCAACTGCCTCACGATAGAACCGGGGACTACAAGCACAGTTTATTTGACCCAGACTGCAGCACCAGTCACCTCCTCAGTCATCATTCCCTCCGTCACGGAAACCTCGTTTACAATCACAGACACTGTGGCGGTCACAACTACTTTGACACAGACCGACTCCGCGACCACGTCGAAGACAACAGTTTCATGGGTTTACATTACAATTTAAGGTTCCCTAAGAATCAGCCTCGCCGATGCTCGCCAAAATAGAGGTAGAGAGAATCGCTACCAGAGTCTAGTCTGTCAACTCTCTTCCCGAGGTTTCATAATACAACAGCTCGTTTGCCTTTACTACATCATAATCTGGACCTACGAAAGCTTTGTTTTGAGTCCGCGAGATTATATATATAAACATAGATTTAGAACGCTAGTGCAATTCGTTTCTTCTCGGCCGGCCAACTGGTCTAGATTATCCTATCCTCAAGACCAGTGCTCTGAATTTCCAATTGTATAACAAGATGGACATAATTTAATAATAATTTTAAGCTTATGTAAGATGTATCGATTGCGCTCTATGGCCCGGGCTGTACCTTTATGATAAAAAGCTAAAGGTCTTCAAATAAATAGAACAAAATTTAAATTATTTGCCTCTTGAGGTTGACATACGGATATACCAGTACTATGAAGATGTTTGCCTTGGATGCGACACTGCATTATTTCGTAACTTTTCCTGGGGCCATCTTCCAATTTGGAAGGTACTCTTCCGGTAAAAAGTGTATTCAGTCCGGCTAATCATGAAAACGTATCTGCGGGCCTCTTTGTATTAAAGCTGTTCAACCTAATTAGAAATTGGCCGCTCTTTGGGCCGACCGCTCCAATTTGGATCCCCCCGTGCAACAGAGAGTTGCGCACTGCCCACACCGTCGTGCTGTACGCCAAGTGACCTTGGCCAAGTGGCACCGAGCTAGTTGCGATGTGGAGTGAGAGCGGTAGGAAGTAGCAGGACCAAAAGCCAACATGGACCAAAGATCTACCCAAATACCTCTTCTTAATGTCTATTTGCTATCTACGATCACCTTTGAAAAATAGAAACTTTCAAGGTATATTTGTAAGCATTTGTGCTGCAGCTGGCGCGTAAGTTCTAACATAACCCAAGGAACACCACTCTGTAGCAATTAGAACCTATTTGATTGTAACCTTTCACTTTCTTTCGAATTCGCTGTTTATTTGAGATGGCGTGGTTTCGAACGTTTCTCGGGCCAAACAAAATGATAAGGAGTTGTTATACTAAAAAGAATATAATGCGTGACCCAACTTTGGGACTACAATTAGGGACTAGTTGGTAGTGGTTGCTTTCATGTATTCTGGTACATATAATAATAATCTCTAATCCGGGCGCCCAAGCCGAGGGTTGTGGTGGTGTAGTGGTCTAGTATAGTGTCGCGGGATTGGGAACAAGACCACCTCGAATTCGAATATTCATTTTTAACTTCACGTACGCTTGACCTTCATACTCCTTTTTACATCCCACTCGGCACTACCACCACAGCCACCGCCATCCTTCCTCAAGCGCCTAGAGTCGAGGCTAAGGTACGTGCAAAAGCTCCTGATGTTAACTAACACACTGCTCCAACCGCACAATCTTTTAAAATTTTTCAACTTAATTAACTGACGTATTGTAATTTCTTCAGATAAGGTGCCAGTACATGTCTATCCTAGGATCCTATCGGACTACAGCTCAGCTTTTAGCTGCTCACGAAAACCACTTTCTTTAGCCCCTGGACACGCTGGATGAGGCAAACAAGCCTCATCGCCTGTCCTCATCCAGAATCTCGCGCTATGGGCTCTACCCCTTGCTGCCCCAAAAATATGAGCCTGGGGAGCAAGCAAATAGCGACTTTTCTTTAGACAAGGGTTATCTTTGAATATTTCCTTTAAAAGGGATAAGAGCTCTGGTTCCAGTGCCGCATCTCCCAACAGTTGTATCGTGGGCACATCCTTTAAGGCAGCGGGTTCTACCATATTGGCTAGAGTAGACTTGACGGCATCCCAATATTCATTCCTCTGCTTAGATCGCAAAAAGGCGGCATAGCCTAAATCGTAGTACACTCCGCCTCTGTGAAGGTCCACTCTTTCTAGGCCTCTATCGATAATTCCCCAAGTAACTCCTAACGCCTCCTTGCTGTAATGTATCGACAAAATCTCGTTATAGTTGTCTGATCTTTTAAAACCATACTCACCGGAATCCCAATTAGATTTCCTAGCACCTTTGTATGCTTCAACGATCCATTGTCCCTCGCTCTGATAAAAGTCTGTCGAGACACCCCGTGTTGATAATATGATAGCTAGACCGGCCTCTAGCCCTCCTGCCCGAAAGTACTCGGAATGCCCGGGAAGGATGTCCGGAACGCACACCGCGACCGCAACGTTATTTAAGGGTTCCAGTTCTCTACTTTGGACACGAGTTCCGCCATCATTTCTGAGATTGCTGTGATGATCTTCTGTGTTTTAGGAGCGAGAGCTGAGAGATCTGGTGTGAGTACTTCGGTCGGTATGGATGAATATTCAATTTTTATATAGCGCCCGTAAACAATACGTTCGAGAATTTTACAGACCGTTGAATCTTTCCTCAAGCCGAGTAGACCAATCTGTGGATCTCTTTTAGGAAACTGGGCAAACGAAGGAACGATCTCTCTGCCACATGAGCACATGGTCAGACGTTGTTACTTGGACATATAGGTACCCATGGGCCTGTGAATTACAATTTCGAAGGATTTCCCTTCGCCACTTCCATAGCATCGTCCACCAAATATTTTAGAGACGATAAGTACACAACGTCGCCGTCGACTTCTGCAACGTCAATTATTGTGTTGTTTGAATAGCGGATGGCTGCGACGCTGTGTCGGGCACAGGATCAGATGGGTATAAGCTCGCGGGGGAAAAAGCGAATAACGAACCCATATCCGGTGGTGAGGTCGATGCCAATACCTATTCACCACATGTGGCCTATCAGTATTGGCAAAGGGGTTTAATTTTTTCATACGGATAAATGTACGTGCCTGGGGCATTTAAGAGCTCAATAGGGCGACACGTGCGACATAGCTCCCAGGAAGTCGACGCATGAATAAGAAATAATTGAAAGTAAATATGGAGATACATGTCAGCTTTGTTGGGGGCCTGCTAGAATTTCCCAGCTTCAAATCTGGCTTTTAGGTGTAAAGGAGAAGCCTGCAAGAAACGTGTCGTCAATGTAGAAACCGAAGAAAACCGTTTCTTTGATTAATATTGTCATTATTACGTAATCAACACCGGCGTATCCTGACGATTGCGAGTTGACCGAGACAGCAATTCGAATATTTCCTACTTCCAGCATTTGATTTGCTAGAACCATCGGGATACATAATATGACTTGAGGCTGATGCAGCCGCATCTAAACCTAATTGTATCAAATTCCAACCGGGTTGTTTTTAGAATCCCAACCGCCGACTTTGATCAGTCTACCTGGTAGTGCTTCGATTTATGGATATAAGAAATGCTATGGAGGTACCTAGGTTGCTCTAGACGCCCTCGTGATATGTTGTATTCCACAACAATCGACAAGTGTCCAAACTCAAAAAGGAATCTGCTTCTCTAAAAGCTTTCCCGGGGAAAGAGACCAAGGGTGATATATTCGGGGTTGAATTCATTGTGCGCATTGATCAATTGATTTATAACACTGTCCATTCGTTGTTTACCATCTATGCACTGGTTCCATGTATATCTTAATATTATGTTATAGAACGGTTTCGAATTACGCATAAATTCATATAGTAGTATAGTAGCGGTAAGAATGCCATTTCATGGCCACAAAATTGCATTGGTTTAGACAGGATTTGACTAGCAACAAATAATTAAATATTTATCGATAGAGGTTATCTCAATATAAGTTATCCTGAGAACACTAGCGTCTTCCTCCACTCAATACCAACAGCCGTAAATGGGACAAATTTAGCCCTTATAAGTATCGCTAGACCAGATTGGGGTGCCTTTGTAAAGGACAACGTTGCCGTCGTTTTGAACTGCACATATAACAGTGCTATCACCAGTAGAGCCAGCAGTATTGGTGTGCCAAATGGGTTCGCCATTATTGTCACTGTAATAAAATCAGAGATTAATGATGTGAAACACGTTTGGAACCGCGGGTTCTTATAGAGGATATGATACTTACTACATGCACAAGTTTCCATCGGTTTGCATATAAATACCCTTGACATCGTATCGTTGCTGCTTGGTATTTTGGAATCGACATTCACCACCCCAGTAAACAGCGATCTTTCCGTCCTCTTGCATTTTGAACTCGACGGAACCGTCTTGGCTGAACAGGCTATGGCCCTTCTTGAGCCATTCACCATTTCCGAGGGTGTTATGGGATTCAGACATTCTGAGGAGATATTTGGAAAGAAATATAGAATGGACTAGAGAGGAATCAAGTTCTGGGTATCTGGCAATGTATATAGGTTAAGATATTTAAGAATGTTCTGGCGTGCTGAGGGTCAGAACTTACATTTCGGAGGGCGGAATGGCCTCTTTATATAGAAAATGGTAGCCATAGCGTATTACGGGAAAGAGATCAATCAATATTGATAGAATATCAAGAGCGGGGAAGCTGGATCGAACAAAGCTATTGAATTTGTGTATTGTCCCAGCCCTCATGGCGGTTGTTCCTAGAGAACCCGATGCTGTTAGCTAGCTTGAGAGGCGGCGGCCTTCGATCGCGGCGATCTCTATGCTGCGAATCAAATAATATTGTAACAGCCTGCCATAGCATAGTGAAGGTGGCAGAGCGACGATGCAGCATGACCGGGAAGAAGAGACCTTGACAGTACACAGCTATGTGTAACTAACGTTATAACTACAGGCGGAATAGACTCTGGTTGTGTTGTTTGTGCTGTATTTTCGTAGTACCCAAATCCCTTCGCTTCGGTATGTATGCCATATTAATATTGTCTGGAATGTGTATATGCAGGTTATCGATTATCCCGAAGTGCGACTGCGACTGTGATCAATATCAACCAATTGAAAACTTTCCTACCCACACTCCCAGCCCGACGTTCCGTTTCCTTAGCCGTCCCGTTCGCTTAAGATAACGATCATAAGGAGGGACATATGCCTTAAGAGCAACCCCACAAATGCCGATCTCGGTTTCGGCCGTCGAACTAATTCAGTCCTCGCCAATCATATGCACACACCTCATCCAGTTTATCTGCAACAGATGCAATACCCCATGGTCATCCCTGTTCAAAGAGGAGATTCAATTGGAACCCAACTAGCTGCATGGGCTTATCTCGTTCGTGTATACCCCAATCGGGCTGGGAATGATCTCAGCTTTCGAGAATCGTGTGAAAATCGACGAAGTCTTTGCCAAAAATTACCTTGTCTACCCCGCTTTTGCAAGGATGCAGATCGTTAGCTTCCGGACCGGGTGCTGCTAGAGGCAAATTGTATCACAAAGTGATTGATTGATCAGAATGCATGATTTCACCGCTGCGTAGCTTAGCATCAACTTTACCATGTTTACGGCCGGCCGACGGTTCAAGTTTTCTTCCGTGGTAATTCACCTACAACGCAAAAAACTATTTAATTGGATATCAACACAGGCGGAATAATCCGACCATGAGTGAATTAAAGCAACCAGCCGAGTTAGTAGAGACATATTTGGCAGTTACTTATAGACTCCCCGTGAATTGTATGCAAGCTGCGCGAGAGAAATCCTGTTTCTATTCCGAGGCTGGCACTTGTCTCCGCCTCGAGCGCCTGGATTCGAGGCTAGGCACTTGTACGGACTTTGCCGTGTTGAAGTAGTTGCATGCAGATGTGGAAAGACAGTTAATATCAACAATACATTTTTCAAGATCTAGCAAACCTAAGGGCAGCTACGGTTCGCACAATCTATACACTAGAGGAAAAATATTAGGGGGCATTCAGCTTCGGAGATATCGAAGTCACGGATCGCAACTTAATTTGGGTGGACGGACTTGGCAAATAACCGGTGTCAGAGAGGAGGATTATACCGGTAATCAGCACATAACTAAGGCTAGATCGACCAAAAATTTAAAATGAGGTAACTCGGACTTCTGCCGATTAGAGATGGCTATAGTTTGAAAGATCACTACTGCACGGAGATATTTAAAGTTTCTATGCTGAATGCTGCAAGTACTCCCACACGGGAAGTGCTGTAGCCGTATTCCTGCTGCTGATAGCTCATAGACCAAAGCTCTCTCCTGTTCCGAATCCCCTCATTGACGTAGCAAAAATCCCGAACTGCAAGCAAGATATACTACGAGCCGTGAAACATGTTGTTACCTTATATCCGGGATTAAAATCCGTCGTCGGAGAGCACTTGAAAAAGACCACCCGCTAAGCCTCTAACAGTTTGTAATGTAACTCTTCGAAATATATTGGCGCGAGCCTCATCCGGCCGGCGTCGATGAGTATTTAAACTCAGACGGCAATGCCCGATGTGATAGAAGTTGAATTATTAGCGCTCTTATAGGTCCCTTCCTCATTCAGCATTGCTCAGCCGGCTTGTTAGTTAAACATCTGTAGGAAACATATTTACCTATATTTAGTAGACTAGCATCCGATGCATATGCATTGATAGTGCTCAGTGTGTCCTTGGTTGAGGCCGGTCTCGCATAGCCAGATAACAAGAAGTTCAGTTGAAACTCTCTTGTCGCACGTTGTTGTAATGAGTATGTACTTCATTGATTGGTGCTATTCTATCTATTCTTACCGCATTCTTCCGTCGTAAAAACTAAAAAAATGCTTTTTAAAGAACGTGGCCGGGTTTCCGTGGTCAGAAAGACCCTCTTGTAGCTCTATACACTGAAAACCTTTGGCGATCACGTGTGAGGCGTTATGTCAGCCACTGTTGGCACACAGTGGTGGCACCAACCTTCTCAGAACACAAGAGGAGGTCTAGACAACACAATTATACAAGGCAAATCGAAACTAATCCAACAACCCAAAAGGGGAATAGGCAAGGACTTGCCAAACGGGGCCGGGGTGCCTGGCGTAGACGTCTAGATGCGCTCTAGAAATTTAAAGCGGTCTCGTGACCTCTAGAAAGCTTAGCTTATACTTCGCTTGAAAAAACCAACGCATTCCATCTTAGAGAATAGATAAATACCTGAACACCAGCCCAATCCAAGGGCAACAAGATGGATATTTTCTATTGGTTGGGGAATCGGACTCGAATCATGGAACTTTGGGATGTTCCCAAAGAACAGCGGAAGACAGAGGATTTGAGCTACTTGAACAAGCCTTGGGGAGTGTACCAAATGCTTTCCGATTGGACTGATCCATTTAATTTTATTTTCATACCTTCATCGGATAGTTAGTTGCTAGTGTTCAGCCTATTGTAATTATTTCCCCAATTTCTCTATCATATGATCGTCTCATAGGGTGGGTGGGGCAAGCTAGGCATATATTGTGGAGAAGCGTCCAAGACCGTCCAAAAAGAATATTTACCCTTACTAAAAGAGTATTTACCCCGACTAAAAGATTGTTTTGATTAATTCTATTATAATTATGTCATTTCATAGCTACTTCTCATGAAGAGAGAAAAAGGGTAAAGGTTGAGGGCTAAAATTTGCATCTTTATTACACAAGAAGATCTTATATTTTCGAAACATATAACAAAACAATCACAGTAATTAAATGAAACTTTGCTATGCATGCATGTGGAGGCAGGTAAGAAATAATAGCTACATAATATTGATTGTACAAGTTTCTAAAAAAATTATATAGATGACCTCAGCTTGATCCATCTAGTTAACGTTCCCATAGCTGAATTACCGCTAAAATGACTTCGTTGCGTCAACTCCCCCTAAAGCGTCTATGATCACGCATCCCCCCCCCCCCCCCCCGATACACTTGTAGCCCTCTTCATTCTCGTCGTCGTCCTTCGTCCCACCGCATTTAACAGAAAGCGCTGAGGCTGTATTGGCAGGACCGACAAGTGCAAGGGATATTCCCTCCGCAGCAATTCATAACATTGCAGCTACCCGACATTCCATTCCACTCCCACTTCCCGTGATCATTTTGATACTGGACTCGTGGGCCTTTATCGAACGAGTTTTTGCACATATCAATGTATGCCCAATGCCAGCGTGGGGAGGTGGAGCAAGAGATAACACCCGCACATCCATTGATGCGCCCATCACAAACTTTGACCCCGTCGTCAACAATAACTAGAGAGGCCGTGTTGCTAAGACCAGAGCTGATCGTGGCGGTCATTTTGACACATCCGTGGGCTGTTGAGAGGAGGGTAAGGGTTGAGAGGAGGAGAGTTGGGAGGTACATCTTGTAGTTAATGTTTGAGAGAAAGGTATTTAGAAAATAGGTTTTAGGAACTGTATAGTTATGGATAGGTAAGTTCTGATGAAAGAGATGCAACTATCGGCCGGATACTTGGTAGTTTATGATCTGGATGCTGATGAGAGCGGTGGAAACCAAAAGTATCTTCTTCTTCTTCGTATTTATACACTTCATATCTTCATATTTTCCGTTTTTTTATTGTTTACAAATAATTATATAACGTCAAATATTTTATGATTAATTGAAGCAACATTCGACCGCGCCTCGTAGTCCGTTGGTCTACACAATTGCATGTAACACCAGTTTTACCCGCATCCTGGGGGTCTTGTTATTTTTTCGAAGTTTTGACTGATTAGTGAACAGCCAACGTATCAAAAGGGTAGGTACCAAGCTTCGTATAAGCATCATGCCAAGGCGCGAGCCTTGATACACCCTGTGTATTCCCACCAAGTTCTGCTATGACTGGCCCACTCGTCTCTAACCAAGACATAGCTGTATGCAAAGGAAAATTCCGATCATTTCCGACGTTGCGACGGCTACCTAGTTCACTCATGGGCCCATGGTTTTCGCAATTTTGACCCGGGGATCTCTCAAACCGTTAGAACTGATGGACCGGGCCGTTTTCAGCGCTTAGGCACGGACAGGGCCACTGTTGTATTTAGTAATCGCTTCGTGCATGAAAAGGTTGCAAGCGTATATATATCTAGAGTTGGCTGTGATGCATCGATGAGACTCAGATGGCAAAGCTGCCCCGGAGGTGGATAACAGGTCGTTAGGATCGATATCCTAGATTTTCTATGGAGTAAACCATCAACGCTTGGCGAAGTAACACCAGCGATCCTTGGCACTTGGCACTGAACAGACCACGAGCATTTTTTCAGTCCTCCATACCATGTCGCGCGTCACGACGTCGTACGTAGCAGCGAAAAATTCAGATGTCGACTAGAATCCACGAAAATTCTGCTTGTAATACTCCATCTTGTATCCATAATATTCAAAACTTCTGCTTCAAATGCGTTTTCCGATACCTTAAGATCTTTTGCAACACCTAAGTCTTCCCAACCCATTTCGATAAGTGCTTGTAGGACGTGCCGTGGCCATTTAGTATCCAAGGAAAACGATTAACCCTACTGGCAGCTGGTGACATTTCTTCCGCTTGTCTCGTCGCCAGATCTGCAGACCCCCCACCTGAAATCAAGATAAAGGGTTTGCCTTACAAACGATGATTTGGCTCTTCTCTGAACTTTTGACTCGGTGTCCCTTCTCGCCCTTATAGGAATTACGGATTATGTGGCGATCAGTCATCACAGGGAGTGCCGATTAAAAATTCGTGGGTAACGTAGTATTTCATGTAGTTATCAGACCACCTCACTTCCAGTTTACCTCCAGTGAAGTGGATGATCGCAGAGTTTTGACTATCGCCGACCCTGTTATAGAAGGTTTCTCGTCGTTTCCCGGTCGAATTTTGGGTTGTTAGGAACTTCTCGTCCTTGTCATCTGGCTGCAGTTAACTTTCACACACGAGGAGATTAATGCATTCGAAAGTCGCTTCAGCGGTTATTTTTTGAATGGTAAAGTGCTGGTCGGGGACCATAAATATCAAATGTTCGCATTATATCTTGACCATATACTGAAGAATGCTTCCCTTGCGAGCTGCTCTGTTCGATGAATTAATTATTGTATATCAGGAAATTTAAAAATGCCGGTTAGTAATCAGGAGTGTCCCGAGTTCATTTTGACTCCGATGCTGTCGGTTCGCACGTATGTCTTGCTCGGTTTTGCAATACGAGTATAGTCTAGCTGTTACACGGATGCTGAAAGTATAGTATTTCGTAATATCGGTATAGTATAGTAGCGATTTCTAACAAACGGGCAATAGCTCTAACTCGTCGAACACTCGAGAGTGTACTATTAGTTTAGCAAGCACTAAAATTCGAGGGGATATCGCAATTCACATGCTGTAGTACTCCTTCCGTCATGAAGTTAATACAGAACATAATGAACTCGGTACCCACGTACGTGTTATGTCTGTAATATGGTAGAAGAACAACAGTGGCTTTTGATTACTTAAGTATACTTCGTACTGTTCTCTATAGGAGAGGTTTAAAGATATATAGAACTAGCGATATAGGTTTACACGTTTGCGAAAAAACTCAAAGATACCATAGGATTGGCAATTACTATCTTGGATTGGAACTGCTGTCAAAAATAATAAATAGGTTTCCCATGACATCTACCGCATGGATCCATGGAAATATAACGACTTGAGATTGACGACGAATATCGAATGGGTAGGTTTGGGCGGGTAACCTCCAGCACTACTCGTTTATTAGTAACAGTTGATTAACTGATCTAACATCGTTGTTAATATATTATTGGTCTGTTTGAGGGTTGGCAAAACGATTCCAATACAAGTCGCTAATCGATATAATTTCTTGAGTAAGGGCTTGAATTCCAGCTGAATGGTATAATAGTGGTTGAGACGGCAAGGTATAAATACAAAATCCCGGAAAGCGCTCGAGAAGAGATCGTCCGGCTAGATGGCTCTCGAAGAACACATAAATGCTTTATTCAGTCCTAAGACAATTTTGCCACACCACGATCCATCATGCCGAAAAGAATATGCATATAGGATGTGAGTTAAATGAGTAGTCCCTTATTGAGAAAGTAGAAAGCTGTACGTGATTAGCATTGGTTTGCCAATATTCCAAATACTAGTTTACTAATTGGCGCAAGAGAGTCAAGCTCTAGAAATGCCATAATCCCTTGATAGGAGCAATTGCGCAAGCTCACCATGGTTAATTTGTAACGCTCGTCTCGGCTCCCATCAATGAGTTTATCGTTTTAATTGCTGAACTCGGGCTTTAATTCACTTGTCCTAACGAACCTTACCATTAGGTTTGAGAGCGGTAGGCGGTTCTAGTTAACGTCAATGGTGAAATTAAATATTTAAATGAGGTACATGGCTTAAGAGATTCTTTATGAATGCTGCCGCGGCCACTGTCGCATACGGCTGCCACTCCTTATTTTTGTGGCTGTCCGAATAATCACATATCCCCCGCACGACCAAACACGGCAAGCTATGTATTAAGCCAGCTGCTTCCATTTCGAAACAAAGTGCACCCGTTTCCCGGCCTATTCTATCTCTCGTAGCCCCATGTTTTATTACTTTATCACCGGATGCGATGATGCCGTAATGGACGTACGGGTAATTATTTTCCCTGAATTTGCGATCAACTAGCATGATTGGATCGCACTTTTCACATGATTCTTGTTGTCCGAGATGATCGTAATTCGCAACAAAGAGGCGATCCTGCGCTGGGCGACTGAATCTATCGTCCGTTGTTCCAGCAGATAAAATTATATCCTCGAGTATAGCCCCCAATCGCTTCGTATTTATAGCCCGGATGTGAGTCAGTGCATTAAGTAGCAAGGGAGGAGGCGCATTCAAGCTCCCTGCATACTGAAATTTCCCTTCCGATACAGTCTTGCCGAATTCATACTGGATAACACCGCCAGAAATACCAGTGGGCAAACTCACAACGACATCACCGAGACGGATATCGTTGGCCTCGCTGGGTACACCGCCACCAACACCGACCATCAAATAAAACCTTATATCAGGAAAATGCCACCTCATTTCCGATGCGACTGTCGCCGCTGATACCGTTCCATACTTCCCTGCAGGGAGGCATGCGATGACAATATTATGCTTCCCCATCCTACCAAAGGCGTAGACATTTGTCTCCGTGTAATGCATCGGAAGGGGATCGTACTCTTCGTCAAGGAGAGCTTTGACTGCAGCAAGCTCGATTGCAATTGCACAGACCCATCCTATCGTATATTTTGACTTCTGAGCGGTGTCGGGATGTTTCGGGGCCTCCGAGTTGACCTTTATCTGCTGAATCGAGGGGCTGTAGTTCATCGCTGGCTCTGACGCACTTTTCATCAAACGGTCTGCAACCTGGACGTTACGACGGCCCAGAAGTTTTTTGTGGTTCCGAAAGTAAGAGAGATTCTGTTCCAGGTGCTTAACGACGGTTGTGTAGATGACTTTTCTGATGTGATAATCAAGCTCCATCTTCGGGTCCCGTCTCTGTACAGAAGCCAGTGAAGCCTTGAACTTAAGACAACCTTCAACTGCTAGATAGTAAGGCCCGCGCGGCTCGTCTTGGCGATCTAATATATCGGAGAGGGATTCTCTCACGTCTTCCGGCTTTGACTCCAGTAATGAATCTATAACGATCCTCTCTCCAGTTTCTATTTCGAGAAGTAAACGAGCAAAAGATAGCATTACTGTTTGAAATTTGGCGAACTTTGGTTCCGTAACTGCTGTACCCTCGTTCGGCATGGCATATCGTATGTATGGGTGGTGGATATCCAATATCTCGCTATGTACTTTTTTTTCCAAGAAATGGACGGATTCTGCGCTCCAGGGTCGCTCCATCCAGGGACCTTGGAAGAAGTGTAGGAGGCAACGGGAAAGTGATAGCGCTAGAACAGCTTTATCCCCAGGATTAAAGACACCGCCAGCTGTTGGCTTGCGAAGGAATTTGGATTCCAGGAGGTCTTCAAGGGACATCTCCGGTGATGCGCCGGCGTGGGCCAAGATATCCGAGGTTGTTGCAAATAGTTGTTTTTTATCAAAGGCGATATTTAGCACGGTGAGATTGGATTCTTCAGAATAACAGTGAACATAGTTGCATAAATTATGGATAAATTCTCGCCGTGCAAAGTTATGAGTGTTTCTTTGGCATCGTGACATTAGTGAAATACCGATATAATCATTGGCTTTAGCGACGAACTCACTTTCCCGTTGGTGTAAAGCGGCTTTCTTGCCAGAAATCAGACTGTCGACATGGATGGAAGAATACATCGAATGCCATGGGATTATCTTCTAACTGAAAACCGTTCAGGCGAAGCATCACTTGGTGCTTTTGCTTTTGACCACCTTGGCAGCCGCCGACCTTTTTGCGCAGTATATCGAAAAGCAACCCCGAAGAATTCGAAGGCCCAATGTCATCCCAGCGGGTCTTGGGAATCTCTAAAGCATAGGTAAAGTCTAGCTGTTTCGGACTACCAGAGACGTCTGGTGACTCGAAACACGTATTGAATGAGCTTAAAACATCTACACCCTCCTCGTAATCCTCAGAAGTTCGGTCTAGCCGCAAATAGGCACAGCATGCCTGTTCAAGATCAGTACCATCCTCAAGCGCAATGTCCACAAATTTTGCTAAGGCTCGCAATTTTGTGAAGCTTTGCGTATTTTTTAATGAATTAGAGCTGGCGGGTGGCTCGTCAAACTTCGAAGATCCGGTTTCGGCACACGAAGTGTACTGAGATGCGTCCGGTTTTAGATTCTCGACACCTAGCCAAGAATATATATAAGTGAATATTGAGGCTTGAAATGCTGACGTTGCCGGAAACGGTTTCACATAACTCCGGCGGTGCTAATGGCGAAGGATCCTATGAGACCAAAGCAATCCACTTAAATGGTACGGAATGATCAAATGCAACTTACATGTGGTTTTACTACCACGATAGAGTTCAATTCCTTTATGTAAGGCGCCGCAAGGATATGGTCTTGTACGAGATGCTCTAGAAGGTCTAGTAGATCGATAAGGGTTTCAAGGCAGTTCCCGTAAACCTCGCAGGACAGTTTCTTCCCAGGGGCACTGTCCGGTAGTCTTTTCATTTCATATTTGAAGAAATCAAGAGTGTTGCGAGAATTGAGCGTTTGTATATCAAAAGCGCTCAGGGTTCCATTTGATCGTTGCAGTTTCCATGGCAGGTTAGACGCGAAGAGAGGCTGGACTGCCTCGAACAGCACCCACTCTGGGACATTATCGCTCAAAGTGTGAACCGTCTTGCCATAAGCCTCTTTGCTAGTCAGTTTGCATTGGCAACCGTGGGGCTGCTTTGATATTGTTGGGGCACGGCCCAATCTTTCACTTTCATCATAAGAGGGTGGATTAGCGCTGGTCAGTTTGCTGGGCGAGGGGGTCGAATAAGGCATAGCGGATATTGTATAATGTATACAATCTGGTGATATTCACATTTGAGGTTCGGATACAAGCAGGGCCGACTGCGAGGGGCCCTGCGTGCGCGTGTGGCGGGATGACCCCACTTTAACCTCGCTCGGGGCTACACGCTAAACCATTAATACCTCCGCGGCGAACGAAGCTGGGGCACAATTCTGCAGCGCTGGAGAAACGTGAGCCCGAAATGGCCGAAATGGCCAAAGCTCCCGTAACCAGCGATGAAGCCGACCAGCAAATATACGACCTCGCGCAAGATTGCGAACGGCTTTTTGGAGAGCTGCTATCGGCGCTCTCAGTCACTAGCGATAAGCAATACCGGGTTGTTCTAGAACATCAGCAGCGATTTGAAAGTTGGGCCAGTTTTTTGGGTGTTTTCGCTGCCTATCAGACGTCTCTCGACAGTCGCTTGAAAACAACTCCTGATATTCGCGACCTCGTCGTTCAGTTGCTCGAGGTATTGAAGAGGAATGTTCTATATGGTGAGTGCTCGGTGCGCGGTGGAGCACAAGATATCTTAAGATTGAGTCCGCCGGGCTGATATGAGGCTCAAAACCGAATGTCCAGGCCTAAACTCCGAGGCCTTAAGGCCGAGTCGACAAGCTGAGGCAACGCAAGCCTTCCTCAATGGTATCAGCGGCTCAATAAGCCGACTCCATCGCCTCGGAATTGCCATCCGAAAGGCCTCCCCGGTTAGGGAACTCGCGCGGAAGACCGGCGATGATTATGCTTTTTTTGAGCGTGTGGTTGTTCTACTGTTGAGAGGGCTCTACCCTGATATCAGCGATCCTTTTCTCAATCAGCTAGCTCAGTCGGTTTCATTTAGGACACAGCGGCTCCTTTATCAACAGAAACATCAGAAGAAACCGAAAACTCAGCGGCGAGCTCATCCTGCGGAGAGCAGTCCTCCAAACTTGAGGCCAGCTCGAAATGATGAGACCAAATCTGAAGTTGCTCCGTTCGTGGCGTTACCAGCTCAGCAGGAGTTCAGCGACATTCGTTCTTCTGACTTGCATACAACCGAAGTCTCGGCTGCGACACATCCGTCAACCCTTGTTCCCGAAAATTTTGGATTACACACAACTAAAACTGAAGACGAGGAGGTGATATCTGGTCCGCCAACAGTATCATCGATCTCTGATGCGAATCCGTATCCACCTCCTCCTAAGGTCAGCCCTGGCGCAAACCACACCAATTGCGACTGGTGTTCTCAAGAACTTCAAGTCCCAGATGGAGAAACTGGTTGGAGGTACAAGTGGAGGTATGTTTGCCATCCCTCAAGGTATTAGCCGTTTAGAAGCTCATATTTACGAGGTCTCATTTTAAAAAGGACCTTGAGCCATACGTCTGTATATCGGAGGAGTGCGCCAATGAGCTTGTGTATTTTTCATCTCTACGGGCCTGGCGCAAGCACATGGACTCATTCCACACTGTAAACTGGGCACGAGATATTCATAAACCATCGATCTGGTACTGCGATTTGGAACATGAGTACCAGGAATTTCTTGATGCGAAAGCACTTCGGGTCCATCTATTTCAGGATCATGAAGATAAAGTCACCCCGGATAGGGTGGATACGATAGTCAGACGACAAGTCCTGTTAATATCTCGAGGATCTAATACCTGTCCTCTATGCGCACTTGACATTTCGGCTGTTGATCCAGATTCTAGCCAAGCCAATTCATCAGCGACCCATCCTGACTCCCCAGGGCGGACGTCACAACGAGGACAAGCAAAGAAAGTTGCAATTCGAACTGCCGAGTGCGGAAGCAGCTCTGACGAAGAGCATTTAGCCGATGCAGACGTTCCTGCCCCCGAAGCAGATGACTCCGTGATACCCGAAGAAAACCTAGATCGTGTCAACTCCACGAAACTGGCAACCCACGTCGCGGGTCATTTGAAGTCGCTTGCTTTCATATCTTTACGGTATTTTGGCGACAATTCTGACTCCATTCAAAGCGAACGAGGAGGCATCGGCGAAGAGTGTTCTAACCAAGAACGGCCTGGCGATCACTATTTTGAACTCGATAGCTCTTTATCGTTTGAAGATGTTGTGCCTGACGAAAGGGTCCTATTCGACGAAATAACGTGGCGCGATAAAAATTTCAAGCCCTCTATAAAGGGTACGGATCCCGGTTTCTATAGGAACGCCTCAAGTCGTGATGACAAAAAAGTTCATTTTGAGGCCGGCCTTGGGCGCTTCCGATATTTCCGTCAAGCGGAAAGGGCGTCGGCGCTCAGCTCCAGTGCTCCACTAGCACGCGAGTTGGACGACGACTATGATGTGAATAGTTTTCGATCTTCCTTTCGGATTGTTCCAGTCAATTTCTCCAATGGGACCACGAATGTCAATAATATAAACAAAGTCCAATTTTCTGGAGTCGAATTGTCCGAGGATATGGAAACACTAGTTGGCACTGTCGCTGCTGCCGATGGCGTCTTTCCAACATATGTTGTGGTAAGATTTACGTTCGATTCTTGGTATAAAGTATCCGAGGTGCCAGCTAGCCCCCCCCTCGATCTTAACAAGGGGAGTGAGCATGGGTATTACGAATATAAGTTTAAAATCAAACTTAATGATATACCCAATCTGAGGGGCCGAGCTCTTTTATTCTGCCTCAGATATGGTCTTGAAAATCGAGAATACTGGGATAATAACTCGTCACTCAACTACAAAGTCTGTTTCGAAAGCTTTTCAGTTGTCACCACAGAACATCCTTCGCTACTAAGAGGACGCCCGCGACCAAGCTCAGTGCCGATCATCGATGATAGTCTTAATCCTGGCGAAACGCCGCCGACTTATTTTAGTCCGGGGCTTGACAATCTTTTTCGAAGGCGTTTTGGGGGGCTACCTAAAAATGAATACAAATTTAGCGATGTGGGGGACGACGGTGATAGGAATACTAAAGAAAATAATCAGGAGATATATGGAATAGCTTCTGACGTTAAATTTGTTCAGTAGCTTTGGCTAAATTCTACTGTGGGCCCAATTAACCGGAGCCTTAGATATCAATGTTATATGAAATTCATTACGCCATAATCGCAGCCTAGTTATAAGCAGGACCGTGAATTCCAACTTCTTGTTATTTAGTCGCGATAAGACCATCTAAATCTCAGTCGGCTCTAAGTGGTGCCTCCATGGATCGCGAGAGAGACACGAGGATACGAATATATGTAACAAGAGTACATTCAGGGGGCTAAAGTGGCCTGAAGATGTCTTGTGAACAGCAGGGTATATTTATATATTTGTGGTGCAAGGCATCATAGCTTGTTCTCATTGGCTGCTTCTCATTCCCACTGGCTCCCACTAACTAGTTTCCACTAGTTCCCGCTGGTACTCTCACTAGCATTTGCTACTACTAGCTAGCCGGCTGCCACCTAATTCTATCGGTTGCCCCAGATTCGTGCCCACTGTGTATTAATCTGGACCATTTTTTCTCTCTTTTTTTTCTTGCGCGTGCGTGCAAGGCTTTGGTGAGTCAATGAGCCATCTTGCCGGGTTGGCACACTTGATGTGGCTAACATTTGCGAGCCTCAACCTAGTTATCCACCCACTAAGCAGGGGATCGATCGCAGTGAGTGATACGTTTTTTAGCGTGGCTGCCTCTCATAATATATAAAATATGTTCTACGCTGCAGCTACGTAGTTCGTATATTCATATGAAGTTTGTACTACGATCGTATACGATTTACTTTACTGTCGCTGGATGCTAAGAACGGAATATTGATTTTTACTACGGTCGGACAGGACATTTGATCAATTGAGGAAATTTAAGGATTGAACTCACTACAATAATCTTTGAAGAAGATGGCACTAGGCTACAGTACATAATCGTTGAGAAAACGAAGATCGAAACCGATTCTCAAGATGACATCTGTTAACTCCGCGGAAACATACGCTAGACCAAAAGAGTATTTGGGTTGATATCATGGTCCGGGCTTGGAAAATCCCCCTAGTTTGTGTAACCTACCTTATTTACACCGCACCTTCACTTCACTTGGTAATCCATGTGGCAACCCTTGCTGGATAAGACATAGACTAAGACAAACGTTGTAGTTTCGGCTCTTCTCAACAGATTTCGGATCGACCGCTTTAGACCGCGGTTTGTGGCTTTGATAAACCCCTGCTTAATCCTATTTTTTTTATAACTAGTTATTAACTGCATAAACTCCGGCTAAGGGATATACACCGCTAAGTTTTAGGCCTGCCAAAGTTACAGAACATGTAAATTCATCAGTGTCTTTATCATTGAGGTAGCCCTGCTCATTACGAGAGTGGGTAGGGAGACTTATATATATATGAGACCAATTCAAAGACTCGGCAGTGGAAATTCAAGTCGCAATGGCCACACCATTACGTACAACACGCCATACACACAGCCAAAGTCCAAAATCCAACATCAACAAGTATTTAAATATTTAGATGGTGCGCAGTATAGAAAAAGACCATTTAATACTCAACAGCTAGATTTTTTATATAGGTTTTTTTTGTATATAAGGGCTGTCTTACGAAACCACGTTGTCCTGATATATTGGGCGACTGGTGGTTCGGCTACTAGCCGGTGGCGGAGCCAGTAGCCAGGTAGGCGGCTACCTAGTATCTAACTCGTTAGCTAGAAGCCAATAGCCAGACTGCCTGTAGTCAAACTAGAAATGCACAGAAATCTGGTTACACGCCAGCCTCGTAACCAGCCCGGATCGCGCTATAGCTTCCTCTCTATCGATCTACCCCACCGAGGCATGTCAACCACAACTATGTTCGAAATTCTTGCGTGTACATGTTAATCATCACAAAGCGATGCTGCCCCTTTATGGCCAAGAACTCTCGTTTCCTCTCTTCTTCCACCAATTAATGCAAATCGGGATTGCTTTCTATCCCAATGACGAACGGCCAATGTTAGCACGAGGGAGAGGTTTTATCGTCCTGGAGGTGGCAACGGGGAAGGAAGTACAAAGATTTAGGGTATCCAACCCCTTTGTCAGGTCATTAAACTCTTGTCCATGTGGAGGCGGAGGGTGTCATGCGCTAGTGACTAATCGAGGCTCTATAAATATCCCCTTCGATTCATCTTCTTCCCCTTCCCCTCCTAATCCCGAACCCGATTCCGATTCAAATCCCAATTCCAGTTCCGGACGTGGCGGTTCCGATTCAGATTCTAATTCTGACACTGATCCCGATCCCTCACAGCTCGTTCGAACGCGCATGGTCTAGCGGTATATGTATTTTCCCACGCGACACAAGGGCATCACACCACATACCGCAAGAGATTCTGAACGCGAATAGATACAGCGTATCAATCAGAGCTATCTTTGGCTGCCGCCTGATTATTGAGCCATTCCCGTAGGGACGGCTCACATGAAGGGGGTTATTGCTATTGGACGATACAACGGTCGAGTTAGCCTTTTTGGGTTCAAGGACATATGATAATATAGTACCGTCTTTTACGAGCCCACGGGGACAAATAACAAGTATTTCAGGCAATAGCCGGCTTTGTTTGTCAATTGGAGACCATCAGGTTGAGTAGCCTCAGTACTGGTCGGTAGTCGCGACAATATAGCTAATTCTCAATTAAGTCAACTCGAAGTAAATAAAGTAGGGAGCCATATGCATCAATGACACCAAGGGAATTTATCAATGATAGGAAAAATTCTAGCCTCATTAATGACAGCGGTTAGGGCGCGGGATGAACAACGTATGGTTAACTTAGTTAGGGGTCCAAGAATGTGTACATGTTTCGTCAGGGCTTCTAAGAAGATGATAGTTAGAGTAAACATTAGTGCCAGCCACTGAACTGCCTACCCAGCTATTAACCTTCTTCACCGCTCAGCCAATAAGCAACTTACTAACATAACTTCAGAAGAACACACTCATCAAACTTACGGCCCCAGTTTTAAATTTTGTATAGTACGAAAGCAAGACAACCTATAAGGTTTAGGCAAGGGCAGATCATTCATTCTATAAAGTGTGCATCTTCGACTTTCTTACTTATTTATATTTTTGCGTGTACCCGGTTGTATTTCACAACGTTATTGGGATGTCTTGACAATTCACTGTTACTTAAAAGAGCTGTGTCGTGTTAACCTCACAATTTCTCCTCTTATTCAAAAAATCTGTAATACTGAAATGTAAATAGTATAGGATCCCCTTGAGAATATCCAGCTTTCGTCACTTCTAAATTCATCCTCCTTTGAGCTTCTTAGAGATCATGTTCTTGTTCGTGATAAATTGACAAGAGTGGTTGCAAGTGCCTGGTACAGTCCTATTATAACCGTGATAGCGATCGTAGGACTCCACAGTGAACAGGGAAGATACTACATGTTCGTTTATGGTAGTATATTTGAGGCCGTTAAGCTTTTCCCTAAAATCATTCACGGAGCCATGCCACGTTTGGTAGCTGGCGAATAACCCCCACAACCCTGATGCTTTTAGTGAGCGAAAAAGCGACCCATAAGCGAGGCTGATACAAGCCTCATTTGAACACCATTTGGAAACCTCGCCGTTGGAGTCCAGAAGAAGTTCGACGGTACTCCGCGCTCCCTCGGTTAAAGTTTTAACTGTTGTGTCTCGTCGCTCAATGATTATATCTACGCAATATCAGTGTTTTGTGATGCTCAAAGCAAGGAGGTGGGCTCAAAGATACCTAGCATCGGTTTCGGTATCATCTCAACAGATACATCGCGCTCTGCCCTTTTGAAATATGATCCGCATGTGCTCAAGGAACTCGAAACGTTTGAAAGCAGGGATAAAAGCTCTTCAACTTTGTTGGTGTGATTGAAAACCTTCGAGATGAACAGCCAGTCCTCGTAGCCAGGTTCCAACACACAGCTTTCCCAAGGAGCCAACCAGTTGCCTAGCCAAGGTTTAAGAACTTGTGCACAATCGTATTTGTCGCAAATGATTGCTAGCTCTTTTAGGTCGTGGAAATCAAGCGTTGTGGGGACGTCGCTGTATTGGAAATGCGTACATCTGAATAAGTTGAGGAGGCAATCCGGATTGTCGTCTTCGAGGTGTAGTGCAGTCATATCCTGTCCATTATCGTAGACAACTTTCTCAGATTTGAATGGTGAGCTAGGGTCGAGGCACTTCTCCCATATTGGCGAAATGACACGAAGGATGTGTCCTATGACGAGATATCTAATTTCAATATTTTCGTAGGAGAGCTTTACTAGGACATCTCCCGTCGAAGAAAGCACGTAGGTTTCCTTTTCAGCGCTAGAATCTATGGTGGTCAAGTACGGCGCGATCGGAGATGAATCGCTTTCCGAAGGCGTTGGGTGGCCTTCACCGTCTACTGATGATGAGTCCTGAGCGGGCGGGCGCCGGAAATTTGGGTCAACCGTATCATAAGCAGGAAATTCAGGATTCCGTTGGACAGCAGTGCTTGAGCCCTCGCCAACATCCGCTAGCGCTTCTGTTGACCTCAATTTGCCCCCCGCATTCCGTTTGCCCTAAACATAAACGTGGGCACGCCGGTTAGATATTATAATATTAATTTGGCAATAGAGAGTTACGACACGCGTTAAATAGAGACTCACCTTCTTTTTCGCCATTCTGGCCGAGTGATAGAAGTGGGTTTAGGTGCTTAGCTAGATCTATATGCAGGCTAGGTTAGTGTTCATCTTTTTAGGGTTGGTGGTTGCCATTTTATAATCAAAGAGGGGCAGTCTATCGATTGGATTCAGCGACGCTACGAGAATTAATCCAGATTATTTTCAGGCAACATTAGACCGCCAATCAAAAGTCCGTATTTGCGTTGGTCCTGAAGGATGTTGCGTTAATGTATTTTTCTGAGCGAAGTACATACGTATGCGCATATATGCATACGCGTATTTGAATACTGAATTCAAGGGGCTAAATGTTCCTATTAATCGGTCTCTTCAACTACCACCAGCATAAAAATAGGTTCTATGAAGATGTCTACTCCACCGCTGATCTAGCTGCTGACCAGCGCTGGATCACAGCAAATCAATACGACATCCTTGTATTGACGCTTTGCGCGTTGTTCACAACTGTTCTACCTCCGCTGCTATTGGTAGTGTATTTCATTCCAGTTATCTCTTGCTTCCAGGCTCGCTCCTCTCTTTCAGTATTCTTACCACCGCCTTGTGCCCCACTATCTTGCTAATGAACGGCGGCGAAGGCATATACGCCATTAGGCCGGTAGGGAATCTAGCCTCGTTAGCGGCAATGCACAGCGCTTCTATCTCTTCTCGCTCCCCATGGATCTTGAGAGGCTACTCAAATTGTAATGCCACCGCATCATCTAGCTTCTCGAAATTATGCGAGGCAATCGTGGGAGAACTTGGTAGGTTAGATACGCGTTATTGTTTGCAATAATATGGAGACACTATAAACCATGGAGGGCTTGATTTGTCTCGTCGCTAGACTCCTCAACTGTGGGCTTGATCGGTGTATACTACAGTACCCAAATCTCAAAATAATTTATCGAATGAGCTGTCACTAGACCCTCACATGAATATAATTTACGAGAGCTTAATAACTTGATTATCTCATTGCACAGTCGATTTTGTGATAAAGTCAGCGATTGGCCATATAGAATCGATAAGTTACAGATAATAGTCCCAAGTATAAGGCTCGAAGAGTCAAGATTTTAGCTAATTGGAGACTGGCGCTATGGCTAGATTATCTAGTCAGACCTGGTTTCGTACTCGGATGCCGCAAGGGTGGGTGTGCCGCTGCTTGGGGCAGACCGCAACGTTGCTCCTTTTCTCTCTTCCTTCACTGCGCAACCAATATTTCAAATTCTACTAGTCTATGAGCCAGTACTAGACAGTAGCATTGCATTGAGGAAAGTAAATCCAACAGAATCTCATTTTCTGCGAAGTACCCCGTCGTTGCAGCTCTTTAACCATGTTTCCGGGGTCGTCAGCGTACGTTGGGTCGAACAATCTCGCCGACCTAATCAGACCTTAATCCGCTTCCCCAATCTGGCAACAAAGTATTTCGAATCGTTTTCTTCAGAAAGTCTTTAGCCCGAAATCTCTAGGGATAGTCTAATTTAACTCCCTGTATTAGCGTTTGGCGTTTGGCTTTGTGGGTTCGAACTGGAAAGAAGCTAGCCCATGTTGTTCTCTATTAATTAATGTATTGCTGAAGTTGAGTTAGTTTTGACTTCAAAAGTCTCGAGCGATTGCGACTTTATAAATAGCCCACGGGGAATGTGGCCGATTTCAAGTAGCAATAATGTTTGTACAGAAATATACGTGGAGGCTAGTCTAGTTTCGTGGAGGCATACGTTTTAGCTAAGGGGAGTGGAGAATTCAATTAACGTTCAAGCCCATATGCGTTGAAAATAATAATGGTTTCGGACCTCGGCGGTCCTACGTGGGCGTTCAGATCTTCTGTGAATCGTTTACGAGACCATGTGGATCCGAATTTTAGATTTATCAGCCTGATAAGCACCTCCAAATCGGCACCTCTGATTCTTGCCTTGAAATGGTTGCAGTATACGCATGTAATATATTCATCTTTCCGAAGCGTTACAAGACTGGTAATATATATTTCTTACTAATAATATTAATACTAGGACTAATGTCGATAGTCTTTTTCCTCCACCTTATAATGAGAAGAGAGGGCATTGAAAGGAGGCAAATCATGAACTGGTTTATGCTGGCCTGGTGCCGACGCTCGTCAGAAACTCGACGCCAGCGGAGATCCGACAATTTAAAGGCGTTATGTTGTCCTCATATTAAGTTGCATTTGCAGTTGTTTAAGCGTGCTGGATCTTTCGGCTTTGAATGAGTTTCTAATTAGCCGCTTACTTCCCATTCGTAGTGACCTCAAGCAATAGGCTCTCAAGAAATAACGTTATAGAAATTAAGATTTTAGCCGAGAGGTTTTGTCCCTGCTTACCGGGATAAATCATAAGAGGATCTGCTCGCTTTAAAGTTCTTAACGTTATAACCCATATAGCTTTTAACGTTATAATAATATCATGACAGACGTACTTACCACCATGACACGACCATTTTCCAATTGTTAAGCAGGTATAAATAACATGATGTGAGCCTGTTGACTGGCAGAAAATTCCACTTCAACTTTCATAATACTCCTGTCTACACAGAGTCCTAGATCTAAACTCATCATGAAAGCTTTCAACACCTTAACCGTTATTGCAGCTTTTATCTGCCCAGTTTTTACAACACCTGTTGCTGTAGATGGCGCCGCCGTACTAGAGCCGCGAACAAACTATGAATTTTATTCTTGGGCCAGCCTAGGCTGTCCTGGTGCCGCAAACGTCAAGCGTTTTACCCAAAACAGGTGCGTGGCGTTACCCGGCGTTAGCACAAAGCTCGCGACTCCAGACGGGTCTTGCACTAGTGAGTTGCTATCCATGCTTGATGCCAGATCGGATTCTGATGATATACTTAACTAACATATATTGGGTAAGCTCGCATTTATACAAGCGCATCTTGCACTGGATCTAGCTTCGTACCAACATACAATGTATGCTACGATACCAGAAACTACAACTCAATTAGAGTCAACTGTTAGCAATTTGGTTGGTTTATGGCGTCAGTGTTGAAAGGATTTGTTGGAATCGAATGCTGGCACACTATCTATCAAAACCACATCTAAAGGAGGACACAACAGAAATATAAAGTCCGTTCTCTAAGAATTCTTAGGATAAGAGAAAATGTGGAGGGAAAATTAAGCCGCCAGATTTGACAGTGCTTGAAGAAAGCCGTTCTACGCCGCGTATTTAATTATGTTAAATGGTTCCGGGATCCCGAGGAATCGAAATGTTGTCAACATGTTTGTGTTGACGTCACCTAAGAATATCCCCTCGGAGTTCAGATATATATACTATAGATGTATTCGAATCTATCTATCATTAGGCCGGCGGTTATCTTTTAGATATTTTTCTCCTACGAGATATGCGTTAGGCGGAACCCACGAAATATGAGTTGATGAATTTGGACACTGGTTCTTGCGATTCTATCGCACGTAATTCTCTGAGTAAATCAGCTCCGAACGGTGGGATTCCTGGAAGTCCCCGAATGGCTTGCTCGGGCAAATATCACAAGATTTTACTTGCCACCTGCTGGAAAGCCCCGCACTCGGGTGACACGGAAAAGAGAGCAAGAATATACGGTGCGTTGGTGGATTCTTGCTCTCTTTTCCGTGTCACCCGAGTGCCCCGGAACCCATCGATGAGGTCCCTGGGTGCCTGTTGACCGGGATATAACATATTATGGGACCCAAAATGTGTTGGACTTCATAACACAACGGCGACAAAATGTCCGTCAAAGCTGGAAAGCCTATTCGCTTTAGTGAGCTAAGGTTGGGTTTGGGTGGATCGATAAAGTTACTTTTACCACACGACTCGATCTAAAGCTAGGTCTCGAAATACGCCCTTTCAATTAATCAGTGTTAAGAGAAGGGCTACTCTATCTCACAGAAATCATTTTCGCGCCCAACGCAGGGAGGGTTGTTTTGGTCACGGAGGAAGTTAAAGTGCGGGTGTAATTATAGTCCGACCAAACGCCCCCAGATTTCACAATTCCATGTCTCGTCTCCAGACTTACTACATATACCCGAAATGGTAGCGAGCACAATTCCTGTATATACTTATTTAGGTAGTCATAACTTTATCAATCAAAAGATCGACGTCTCCAAAATACCACGCGTCAATGTGTTGCAAAAAAGACCGTCACAAATTGATGACATAACAGGGTCGCTTCTGGTGGGCTTCCGAAAACCCAAAGAAAACTCATTGCAGCATACAATACATTGCTCTTACGCCGAGCTATGTGCAATACGAGTCAGCGTATGCCCAACCTATTTATTAACGCTACCATAAAAGGCCAGGCCAATCCATTCGCTGGGGCATCCATATGGATCCATAACAGGATCGATGCGTTTTTGGGCGGGGAGGGATATCGGATGGGAAAGAAGGAGAAACAGAAGAGAAGAACGGGAAGACCCTCTTCGAGATTAAATAAGGGATATTCTCAGACGGGATATTATGGTTGTTTTTTACTTTTTTCGGATCATCCTCCGATGTCTAAAAGACCTGAAAACCCGAAGATTGGCAGGCATCAGCAAAGTCCCCATTGTTGTCTACCGATCGCTGCAGGAGATTTTAAAGTTCCTAACATTTTCGTCCATAAATATTATTATGCATATTATATGCTCTCGGATAGTCAAAGGAGTCGCCATTAACCGGAATTTTTATCTGATTACATTATATGAGCCGATTTAATCCATAGTACGAAGTTACAGTTTGCTTCAGCCTGTAGTATCAATATACATAACTAGGCTTTCTCCATCTACCCAGACCGTTTCAGTCAGAGCGATTATAGCGTTAACTATCTAGCTAGCTACTAGTTTCGAGTTTCCCCTCGAGCATGTAAAAAGATATTTCTATCAAAGAGATACTGTATATCATTTTTTATAAAGAATCCCAGCATGGCTTTCTGAAATCATATAAGCTATTGATCACAACACACCCGAATCGAAAAAGGCTCGCAATCTTGATTGGGAGTGGCCTGTCCTTCCAAAACCTATCTTAGACTATCAAAATAGCTATTGGCGCCGTCCCATACAATACGACCTTCCAAATAGAAAAATATTGGTTGTTGATTGGTGGAAGGATGTGTTCCTATGCCCCGTCGTAGCCGGCCAAGCTGTCGGAATATGAAGGTCGACGCCACCAACAGTGGCTGACCGAACGCCTCACACGTGACCCATACGGATTCTGCATTTTCAGAGTTCGCTCGGGCAGAAAATCTCTGAAAAATTTACTAAGTCTTTCACTCGGTCCGAGCAGATTTGATAGAATAGAACAATCAAGAGTTACAACACCAACTCTCTATGCGTACTTGCACTAAATTGTTCGCACATTGGTTCTTCGAGAATATAGGTTGCCTCAAAACAATTTTTTTTTTGGAGAAGAAACTAAAGCCTACGAGGTAAGCGTGTTAAGCTCGAGGTGCGGGGATGTGGCCCGACATGCCGTAGACGCGCGACAAGCCTCACAAAAAATCACCGGAGAAGGCCGTGGAGAGCCTTGCGAACAAAAGCTTATTTCTCGGGCCGTCCACAAGAAGGCTTCTTGGCATCACGGCGGCATCACAACCGAAGCTAAAATTTATCGAAGGATTTTACCGAAGGATTTTATCAAAGGATTTTATTGAAGGATTTTCCTTGGCTATCTATGCTTGACGAGACCTAGAAACGTATGTACATATTTATATGCTAACCCGCCTCTAATTCGATTTACCCCCATCAGGCTGGAGGGGTGCAGCCTACTGTTGCCAATACCGACTTTGTGTAATATGATTGGATGGCTAAACAGTCCCAAGTCCTACACCCTGCCACGTTAAAGCTTGTGCCGGTACAGTCAGACGTATCCTTATAAAGCTTCGCACTTGCGTTCGTCATATCCGCGAAGACTATGAATTGCTTGCCCTCCGTTGGAATGCAGACTGCAGTATCGTAAGATACTTCGTGGAAGTAGCAAGAGCCGCAGATGGTGAGGCCCCAGGGACTGCACGTGAAGAAGCGAACATAGCTGGCATAACGCTTGTGTAGCTGTGCAGCTGAGGGATCAGTGGAGGGATCGGCAGTGCGGACGAGTTTAGTGCCGTCGTAGACGTAGTGACGGCGAGCGAGGGTGTTTTCTGGAGATAGGGACAGAAGCGGGTTTGCGGGGTTGGCAGAACGGTCCTCGAGGGAGACGATAGGCACAACCGCAGACTGCACTGCTGCGACTGCAGAAAGGATAACGGCCGCAAGTGAGAGAATTTGGACCATTTTGATGTTTTGTGGATTTGAAGTATGTGCACGACGAGTGAGAACAATAGCTGAAAGTTGCTTTGCAATTGATCTTCAGTAGATTTTGATATACCAAGGAAGCCTAGCCCATGAATTAAGCATCTGGATCTAGGCCTTTTATATTCCAGATCTGGAGTAGATTGAACTATTGCATAGATGATAATATGTAAACTAAAAGCTTGAACAATTAGATAATATAGAGATTAAACAATTCAAAAGCAGGCCCGGCGGCCCGGATAACTTGGTTGCGTATGAGTTCAATCTTTCTAAAGAATAGCTAGTCGTATGCATATAAACCTTATAGTTGTAGCCCGGACTCCGCGAAGCTTAAGGTTCAGACTATATATAGCCGCAGACCCTGGAAAAAGGTGTGGTAATATTTACCAACCACCCGTCGAATAAGCCGCGGCATCGAGATCTGCCCCCCACAACCATGCTCCTCCCCCGCATACCCCGCCGCCACCTGCGCGTAATCCCGATCTCGCTCTCTTGAACCTCATCACAATCATACTATCCACGTCACCTCTACTCTGGTTGGAAATCCCATTTATCGCTATTCTACCATTTAAATATAACTTTTACTAATTACACATTATTATTCTAAATCCGGTGCAATAATCTTTAAAAAACGGGTTTCAGTACTACTAAGTTATCATGCAGTTTAAGTATCTGAGACACATAAAAGAGAAGTCTAAGTTGTAGCAATAACAAAGTTAGAAATACACCGAAACAGTATTGAAATCTGTTTATAAAAATCTCAATGATTTCAGTTTTAAGCTAATCAAGGTCTGAGTGAAGGATCGGAATTTTGATCCTTGGTATACGGACGATGTTAAGATGTGTATTCTTTGCTACGGCACCCTAGGCAATACATCCCGCAGTAGCATTGAGTCTAGTTTACGAGATAAATTGGGATTGCTGGATTGTTGTATTGTTGGAAGGTCGAAGACAGCCTCCCAACACAATATCAAGTTTTCTCGTTTGCCCGTTTTACTATTGCCGAAATGGGATCGGGGTGTCCAGGGTCTCAGTTACTAAGCAAACCAAGTTCGATTCGCGATTGTCGTCTTTCTTGATTGAATATCGTCGCCCTGGCAAACAAGCGTACACTCACGCAAAATTGAGTTCACGATGTTGAATCACTCTTGTCGTCCCACAAATACCTAAAGGGAACGTCAACGTACTAGCAACGAGAATCCACGTCTTCGTTTTCCATTTCCGCCCATTGAAGGTCGTTGCGCCCGCGCGAACATCCGCGCACTTGGCCGGCACCCCGTTCGTCGGATTGTGGTCAGGTTTGAATTTCGGTAGCAGAACGGCCCGAGTGAATGAACGATTTAGTCTATTTTGTTGGATTTCCCGACAAGCATGGACCCCTGATCTAACCTCAGTAGGCTGGCTTGTACGGATTCGGCCGTTTACCTAAATCGGATGGGACCAAAAAAAGAGGCCAATCGGATGGCGTCTTCTCGACGAGAACGGGGCCAATCGTCTGCCGGTTTCCAGTAGTCTGTTCCATTGTTGCGCCAGTTGGACCGTCAACTACATTTCGACTGGCGGGCATCGTTGGACGCCAAGATAGGCCCAGCCTGGTCTCACGATAGCATCAAAAGCAATACGTCTTGACGCGGAGCCAGAACGTTAAAATCCAGGTGCAACGGAGTGTTAATTTATATTAAGGAACTATAAGTATAGCATTCAAGTCTAGAATGTGATTATTTGGGTAGACCAATGCTGCTTCACAATAACAAATCACCTAGCCCCCCGTAAGACATATTGCCCATTTAATATGATGTTTCAGTTTGACGTTACGCGAGAAATCTTAAGGGACCAATACTCTTTACAATGATGAAAACGAACCTAGGGAACATAGCAAGAGATCTTGTTAATATGAACAATATTCGCTGCGCTAGTTCTAATCAGAATATTTATGCGTTTCGATTGAATCAAGCGGCCAGTCGGCCTTCCCTGTACAAAGCCATTGATCCCGATACTATCTCCTACCGATTTATAATGCGGCAACATCTCTTTTTGGTGGATCCTCAATAGCAGTTAATCGGCTCTGCAAAAGTATGCCTAGGAGGACCCTTCAGCTTAGTTGAGCATAGTTAATACCACAATATTCATCACGCTTAGCTTGAGGCACTGTTGGGCTTCATGATATGACGTTGTCCCTCCAGGACATTCCTAGCCGTATTGACAATCTTAGTTAAATTACGCACTAAGACTAGTGAGGTTTGATCAATAGAATTGAGTTGTATTGCGACTTTAAAGACATTAACGGGAATCATGAAATGAGCGTGTAACCTCCTCTTATACCCAGACCCCTACCTACCCATATAATGTTAACGGTCATAGAAGAATAAGCGTCTTGCAAGTCCCCAGTCCTAAAACAGTGTGTTTGATAAAAAATATCAATGAAAGGAACGAAATAATACAAAGATATTGAGGTTGTTGATTTGGGCGGTCCCCAGTTTCTGGCTTCCCTGCTCGCCAGACCGGGTGTCGATGAATAGTCCTTCCAACTCGACGTAGAGTAAATATTCTAGTACGTACATCATATTTTAGTTCTCCGAGCCATTTTTAGTCCGCAAAGAATATTGATATGCTCTTACAGTATTAACATTCCTATACCTTTCGCACAGCAATAATGGTTGGATTCGAGCTATTATATTGGAGCTTATGGAAGCGATTTGCATACGCATACAATGGGTATACATCTTTGGTTTCATCGCAAAAGTGGTACTCCTCACCCCAAAACCCGGTCTCGGTGTAAACCTCCAACCTGTAGCTGTAGACGTTCGAGTCTGGGATCGGGTACAGGCAGTACTTCTTGATTCCAATATCCGTTACTGCCTGAGATGGTGTGCGTTCGATCCTACGCTCATCGACGGTCCAATTTACACGGATATAAGAATCTGCGACCCTGACATCATCAGAGGCCTTATCTTTACTTGCCGCCGTGATGGAGTTAATATCTATGCCTGCGAGATCGGAGTGCTGCAAGCCGACTTGATATTTATTTCCATCCTGACTTTGGGCTTCCTGCCAGACGTCGCTATTAGAATCTGGTTTGCTCGCAGAAAGAGCTTGGAAATCAGAGATTCTCTGGGCGGTAGCCATAACGACGCGAAGGAGTTTTTGTTATATAGGCAAAGAGTTTGATATAGATCGGATTTGGTATCTCGGGGGGTATTTCGTGGGCAGAAAACGATATCAGGGCTAAAGCTTCGCTTCTATAGGTTGCTGAGGACTTTGTTTCCTGGAAAAGATGTTGTGAGTGATGAAGATAGTTAGAGTCGAGATAGTGGCATTCGGAGGGCCTTTAAATAAACTTCAGGGAAGGAGATCATAACGCTACAAAAAAAATAATATACTATCGAGGGGTAGAAAGCTTCGAGTGAGCCTAGTATGGCTCCAGCCGCACACGGTCTCTAGCTCGAACCTGTTCGGTTTATTCCTGAGCGCGTAAATGGTCCCAACAGGCGACAGAAAACTTAGCATGCCTACGTCAATATTAATAATGGGATGTCGTGATATATCTAGAGGTTGCATGTAGGTATCCCGAGTGCGAGTATTCCTGTTTGCGGCTCTGGCGCACATGCACGGCTAAAATTGCGCAGCATCAATAATTGTATGCGAGCCCGGTCCCAAATCAGTAACCAACAGTAATCGGGCCCATCGTAGCGTCGAACGCCGATGCACGGTGCCAAATGAGCTGACTTCAAGTGCGGAAAATGTATGTATTGGAACCGGGGGGGCCAATCAAGTCGACTGAAATATGGGGCGCTGAGTCGGACTCCATCATGGATTCGGTGTACGGTGCGCACTGCGGAATAAAGCTCTAGCACGGCACGCGCTGCGGAATAGGCTGAAACTTGTGGCTTCAGCCGAAGCCCTTGATTTATAACATTATCATGTTCGGTGCAGCGGAAAATAATCAAATTCATTGGCGTATAAGGCTACAGGCAATTGACATAGGCTATCCTTGGGCATATCTGCGCCTGTCTCGACGTGTGGCCTACAATTCATCCGAATGCTCAAATTCCTGTGCCCGGCATCCCCACTAACCGTGTCGATAGTACGAAGTCGTTTCCCTACAGAGGCAAACTTCATACAATAGATATTTGAGAAGGTACCATCGATAAACAACTTATATTTTGTCTGGTCATCAAGCTCAAGTCCGCATCTACTATCATGATATCACCCCTACTCCAGCTACCTCTTGTCACAGCTGCGGATTTTAGTAATCTATTGCATCTTGTGGTTCGTGTTGTCCGGTGGCGACCCTCCTTTTTGGTGGCTGACAGTTCTTCTGTGGCAAAGCCAAGCCCCTAAAAATGACAATCCTGACTTAGTCCTTTGAATCGCTCCAATTGCCGTGTATCCAAAAGTGTTCAGGTGAGGCTCTTTTAAGGTTTATTACGGTTTCAGGAGGTCTGTTTAAGGTTTGATCGAAGGCCACTTATAAGCGAAATAAGTAAGCGTGGCTAAACTGCACGCCATTCCTCATGTGATAGGTAGTCTTTCCCCAGCCACAGAGGCTAGTTCCTATAGTAGTAAGTCCCGGTCGTGTCTGTAATAACGAGAGAGGACTATAACTATATCCTAGAGGCATTGGGGAAGAAGCCAGTAGTTAGACTACCGAGGCCGAGGGCGGGTCCACAGATAGGGAGGAAAGAAGATACGTGTTCACTGTCATATCTGATCAGCTGAGAATCAAATGACAGACATCAACTTCTAGGGCTGTTTATGGTGTCAGAGCCAGAGACACGCGCACGCCCTCAAATTGCAGCTGATTTTAGCCCATTCCAGCAACAACCCATTGAAATTCTCTCCTATCTTCTTTCTCGTTGAGTTCTTGCTGGAGAAAACGTGGGAGATAGTACATTGGGCTAAAGATGTTAGCTTCGTTTGAGTTTTCGTAAACCAGATGGCTGGCTTGAGAGTTGGTATGGAATCTGCGTACCCAATCTTCCATCTTTAATTTTCGTAGAAGCAGCTAGCTCGACCAAACTTTATCGAGAAAAGCGTATTGCCCGAATGTCAAGATTTCGGGAGTTCAAGTTTTCCGAGGTTGACAAAGCTCTGCTACTCAAGTTGAAGCATGCGCAGGTTGCGCAAGTACAAGGTCTAAATACGAGATTTCTCTTAGGGCTGTCACGTCTAAATCTACTTGAATTTATATTTAACCGTGGGTAACAGTAGTGATAAATTAAAATCCGTGATTCCGGTTACTAGACCCGGCGGGTCAATGTTGCAACGTTGTCGCGGACGGAAATGTGTTAGAGATCTCCTGTTGATCTCTATCTATATATTACAGGATTCCTCCGGCCTCTCTTCCTTCCCCACTCATCTTCTGTACTAGATCTATCGAAATGTACTTCGATAGATTACTACGGGCAAACATTACACATTTCCATCCTCTTCAAAAAATCATATCATTAAAAATTACATACGCTGCGTTTGGGTACCACACAATTAATCAAATTCTCAAATCTGAACCTAGACCTCCTTATAAGCGTGCCTTTAATCCTAAAACTAGATTAATTGCATCGTATAAGTTTTCTTGTAAAGAGGATATTCCTTGAAATATGAGCGCTACCTATGACTATTCTGAGAGCGTCATCTCCGACCACCTAAATTTCGGCTTGCGCAATTGCAGTTTAGTATAACTTCGCTATGTATACATGATTGTTCTTATTTATATATCTTAGCATTGCGCGTCAATACTGCCTTTAGACGAATGATTAGCTACTGATATATAGAGAATTTGAATTTTTTGGCAGCTCAATGTAATGCCAAGTGAAATCCAGACACCGAATACACAGCTAGTTAGTCGATAGCTGCTACGAAGGTATACCAAAACCATTATATACTTTGACGAATTCACTAGATTGACTATCATGATTATCATGCGGTCGGTAAAAATCTCCAACTTGATTACGGATACTGCGCTCCCATTTAGTCCAATAATTCGAATAACAGTTCCTTTCACCTATCCCCCTTAGAACGCTTCAAACACAGACCATAACGCAGAATATCCCAAACCTTTATACAACAGAAAACGAATGGGCCTGGAATATGTGTACACCACCGGTCGCTTCGGGTGCCCTCCGCTCTCCTTTGGGCATCCTCCTCGTTTTTGCTGGCCCTCCTTATACAGCGGACGAGCTCATCGAACGCTGCTTTCTGCTCTTCGTTGTCACCCCAAGACCTGATTGGCGCTGCTTCGAAGAAAGAACAACCGAATGAATCTGCTAATGCGCGTCCTTCTGTATGTTTGATTGAAGGGATATCGGAAAAGAACGTTAGCGACAGTAATCAACTTTCGACTTTATGAGACCAGGGTACTTAATCTTTTCTAACCTTGAGGTGACACTTCTCGATTACTTTCTAAATCGCGCTTTGTTCCGACAATAACCTAGTCTCAACATCAGATGTGTACCTTTGACAAAAGTAAATAATAAAAATTAAAATGATATAAGCAAGGTAAAGTAAGGGGTTAAGAACAACCATTGGGACAAAGTCTTCATTCTTAATTCTGAGAATATCCTGTCGGAAAGTAGACAATGCCTCGAAAGACTCTCTGGAGGTGATGGAGTATAATAGAACAAAACCCTCCCTTCTTCTTATGTACTCTTCATACAAGGCACGGTATTCGCATTCTGTGGTGTCCAAAATATCGAGCAGTACAACTTCATCGCCAATGACAATGTGCTTCCGGAAGGAGTCTACGAATAATCAGTCAAACTTCATTATGGAGAACTCACCCAAATGTCAACGCATGAGTACTGTCTAAAACTAACCGTCTACGGTCCTTTTTTTGTCGCATTGGCACTCGCAACCTAGATTGGCGGCAATAAATCTGTCCACAAAGAGCGATTTTCCAGAACCCGGAGAGCCGAAGACGACTAAGTTGTACTGCTGAGGGAGCTGAGGCTCGAATTGTTAGTTAACTTGGTACCACATCTACAAATTAATTGGGAACGGTTCAAGTCAATTACCTTTCTTACGGTGCTCATATTTCAGGGATAAGGAAAAGTCGGTGATTTTGTAGTAAAACTTCGTTTAGATGGTTAATACTAGCCTTCATGATCAAGGCCAACGGTTACATACTTATAGTATTGAGTACTCAATTATTTGTGGAGCACGGGATATTTCCGCTGTCTCGCGGCGGACGTTGACACTTCTATTTATGGAAGCCATAAGCGAAATAAAATGTACAAATTGAACCCGAAAATCCTAGCTGAACGTTAACTACCTATTAATTTGGTTAAGCTAACTAACTACAAACGCCCCGATGGCCAATGTTTTAGAGAATACAATTCTTTCACTTTGGAAACTAGATAAAATGTCGCATGCGAATAAAAATGATACGGCGCCTTAGAAATTTGCCTGACTGCTTTTGCGAACTTTTCTGTGCGTTGGTGTACAAAAAGTCGGTTTGTTACGCAACTAGTTTCGAAATTTCGCCTGCTCGCAGCTGACCTTGGCTAAACCTCTTATCGTTTTCTACTGATTTTGGCTTGAAGTCGGGTCGTTTCCATCATGTTTGGGACATTTGGGCGGTGTCAGTAAAAGCAATGTCGCCGACTTGTACTTGTCTCTCCTGTGATATTTACCGCATCGCGATATTAAAATAAATCCAGCTTGGCGCCCGATGAAATAAAAACGAAAGCCGGAAATGCGCGAATACTCATATAAGGCAATATTTCTATTTCATAATGACCGTGCTGTGGAACGCAGTTGGGGTCGCAACGTTGGGGCTAGTATGATAGAGCTTCGAATTGAACCGAGTCAAATACAATATGTCTAACATGCACTAAAAGGTACTACTAGGTGGTGATGCACACACAGGTATAAACTCGAGGCTACACATGTCTCAGATTGTTCCCGTCAGATGGTCCGGTGGCTAAGAGGCTAAGATACTGGACCTTCTGAAGCCCCGATACAAACTGAATCCAACAAGGCTCTGTTAATTCTGATCAATGTGAAAATCATGCTGTTGCACGATGCGTTGCCCGGCATATCCCGAGTACTCTGGCCATGGCCGCTCGCTTGATGCCCAGGCCTTTTACCCCTCTCAATTCCCAGCCATTCTCTTATAACATCTCGAGCAAGGCGCTTACTTTTGGGTAGGTTGTGGCGCGAAACCGTGTTTTCATATCGCTGCAAGGATATGCGGACGTGGCCCTGCACTGGATCCTTACATTTCGTACGCTCAGCCTTTCAGGAATAATATTAAAACATAGTAAGCTGGCATACCTTTATCATATCCGTAAATTCATCGAGATAGCCTCCTCTAGCGAAAGCATCAATTACCCCGCTTCTGCAATGGCGACCAATAAAAATCGAGGGGCCTTTAGGGCGGTAAACATCAGCATCAGTACTACTGAGGTAGAATTTAGGTCGGCACTTTTCGATCAGCTTTCAAACGACGAGAAGGAAAGCTTTGAACTCTATCTCCGTCTGACGCCTTGTTGCACCGACACAGAAACAAAGATAGCAATCTTTAAGTTCGAACCGTGCACACTAAAACCGAATACACCAGAGCTACGCATATTGAGGTCCCGTACAACGAAGCCATGTATATCGAAGCCAAGCGCACTGGGGTCACACGCATTGGAGTCGTCTACATCGAAGCCGCGTACATTGAGACCACACACATCAAACTCGCGTATATCGAAGCCGCGTACAGCAAAACCACGCATGCCGGAGCCACGTGCACGCACAGCGGAACCAAGCATACCTGAGCTTCCATCCTTCCTGCAAAAGGGAAACCCATCATTTGTTTACCAAGACAGGATTATAGCGGTTGATTCCGATTTTTTTGGCCTCACACAGTTATATCCAGTTGAAACAAGTGAAGCTAAGATTGAGTAAATATCTCCTTTAAAAATTTGCGACCTAAAGCCAGCCTCTTAAGTCTAACAAACTAACGAATTCAATGTTTTTCAAAGCATTGTTGCACTGTCAGGGCTTAATTCTAACGCTTACGGATCATGGGTCGGTCCTAAAGTTGAGAACGTTACATCCATGTGGCTTCAAGATTTCTTGAGCAAAGACAGCGATCTGAAATACTGCAGAACAATGATTTTCGGATATAATACAAAGTACCGTGCCACGGCGAAATTTTGGATTGAAGATCACGTCGAAAATCTATTAACGGAAATAAACAAAGCTCGAAGTACGCAAACAGTATGGCCTTCCAAAGACAACCTTAACTTATTTAAGTATCAGAGCATTAGTAGTTAATGGAAATTTGGAATAGGAGCAAAGGAGACCGTTAATCTTTATCGGTCATAGTTTCGGCGGGACTATAATAACACATGTATGAGCCTCCGATTTACTAGTATATGAATACTGCCGTTCAATCTCTGCCTCGTGAGCTCTTGGTATCGAGGCTACCGTTCAATGCGCTAATATGATAACTCACAGGCTTTTGTCCAGGCATCCATAGAAATGATCTATAAGAATATTTACGATTCGGTTCGAGGTATAATATTTTTTGGTGTTCCATTTAGAAGTATTTACCTCGAAGACGTCTTTTTCATGGTCGATGATGATGAAACAGTTGGGAGAGAAGGTTATGAGCTCGTTCAAGGTATCGCTTATGAGACAGCAAGAATTACAACTACTGTCAAAACATTCAAGAAGCGGGTGGAGGAAACCAAAACGAGGATTTTCTCATTTTTTGAAACACACATGACGCCAAAAGTTATCAAGGTACCCGATAATCCTTCTACTTCTGGATGAATGAAGCTGACTAAGAATTGTAGTTGCCAGACGGGAGTTACGGGCGATATGGAGACCACGTAATACTAGTCAATAGGGATTCTGTAGAGTTAGGGATCTCTGGCCTCGAAGAACTCTTATCAGCCCCGGCAAATCATTCGACAATTGTCAAATTCGGGAACGAGCAAGATCCAACGTATCGGACTGTTCATGATCGTCTTAGGGAAGTTATACAGTCGGCTGAAGCTGCAGCCTTTCGAGGACTAGGTATGTGGCATTCTGGCGTGTAGGCGTAGGTTATTCCGGTGCCTGGTAATCCAGGGGTAATGTTGGAGCGACCCGGGAACTCTTAGCGGCAATTTGCGCGAAGGAATCACATATCCCGCGCCCCTGGGAAGCAGATTTAGTATCACGCAATTATAAATGGCATATATACTAAGACAAATTTCGAGCTATAGCAAAAAGAAAGTCCCCAACCACCCTTCGGGCTGATCAAAGGTAATTTATAGCCTATCTCAATCGTCATGATGAACGAGCGGGTTGATAACATTCTTGAAATCTAGGGAGGCGATATCAGAGATCCGCAAACAGATACCGTCTGCTCAAAATGCGGCATTCGATTCCTATAAAGACGATGGATTGGATGTAAAATGTCACTCTAGAACGCGGACAGAACTTCTATGCGAAATTAAGGAATGGGCTAGGGATCCCGATGGGCCATATATATATTGGCTCAATGGCATGGCTGGAACAGGGAAGTCTACGATCGCCCGGACGCTTGCTCAAAGTTTCGAAGAAGATGGCCTGCTGGGAGCCAGTTTCTTTTTTAAAAGGGGCGAGAGCGAGCGCGATAATGCTACTAGGCTTTTCACCACGATCGCTACGCAGCTCCTATCAAGGGTACCCGACCTGATACCCCATATTCAAACTGCGGTCGACGAAGAACCTGAGATTGCGGCGAAATCATTAGAAAAGCAGTTTAACAACCTTATTCTTTATCCTCTCGAGAATCTGGGTCAGGTTTCTCTCTCTTTAATTTTAGTAATCGACGCATTGGATGAATGTGAGGGAGACGAAACGATCAGACAGATTATCTACCTTCTTGCGAAGATACAAGCGTTAAAAACGATTCATATGCGAATATTCTTAACGAGCAGGCCGGAGCTTCCAATTCGACTGGGTTTTCACAAAATATCTTCTGATACCTACAAGGACATTAAACTTCACGATGTCCCCCTAGCCACCATTGGAAATGACATATCAACTTTTCTCACAGCTAGGTTTTCCGAAATGAGGGAAGAATTTAATGATTGCGCAATTGGGAATCCACTACCAAAAGAATGGCCCGGGGGCGATGTTATTCAAAAGTTAACCGGCGTAGCGATTCCACTATTCATTTTTGCCGCAACTATCTGCCGGTTCATTGGAGATAAGACGGAGTGGGACCCAGAAAAACGCCTGATGACTGTTTTGGAGTATGGTGTCGTTGGGGCTTCTCAGTTGGACCAAACGTATCTTCCCGTGCTGAAGCAATTGGAAGGTGGCCTCCCCCGGCAAAAACTCACAAGACACCTGTTCGGTCAAGAATTTAGAGAGATTATAGGCTCAATTATCATCCTGGCCGACCCCTTGTCTATAACATCTCTTGCAAATCTTCTTGGTAAATCGCAAAACGAAATCGGTAGTAAACTACACCATTTACACTCGGTCCTGAATGTTCCTCAGGATAAAAACGCACCCATCCGAACACTACATCTCTCGTTTCGGGAGTTCCTAGTTGACCCGAAAAAGGTGGGCAGTGATCTATGGTTCTGGATCGATGAGAAAAAAGCGCATTCCGTCATTACGAAAAGAAGTCTCGCGATATTATCGACATACCTTAAACAAAACATTTGTTCTTTGGAATTCCCAGGCATGAAGCGGAAATATCTCGATACTAAAATAGTAAATGAACACCTACCCGCATGTGTTCAATACTGCTGTCGCTATTGGGTACACCATTTAAAAGAGAGTTGCGAATTTATATCCGATAAACACGAGGTCTATACTTTTCTGTGCACCTACTTCTTGTACTGGATTGAAGCCCTAAGCCTTATAGGAAAATCGCCTGAGTGTGTCCGCTTGATCGATGTTTTAAGCTCTATTACCGATGTATGGTATCCTGCCTTCCGCTTCAGAGTCACCTACGTTATCCCCCTCTTTTGCATTGCGGCGATTTACAAACACTGATACTATATTTTAGGAAAAAGAAGGGTCTGAAGTATTGCGGTTTCTTTACGACGCTAAACGCTTTCTTTTACAGAATTGGCGAATGGTCGATAGCGCGCCGCTTCAACTTTATTCTTCGGCACTTATTTTTAGCCCAGACACAAGCATCGTTAGGGCTAAGTTCCGAGATCGTATCCCCCTGGAGATTTGTGTATCGGCGAGGATACTGCCATCTTGGGGCGTAGAACTGCAAAAAATAGAAGCGCGCTGTTGGTTTGGGCCAGTCGCTTTCTCCCCCGATGGCACGTGGCTCGCATCGGGGCTGGATGATGGCTCTGGAACGATTATAATCTGGGATGCTGTAACGGGGGAGGAGATTAAAAAATTAAACGCGCACGGTAATTTAGTTTCGGCTATTTTTGTTTCCTTTGACAACAGGCGATTGGTATCGGCATCACGTTACGGAGATATTATATATTGGGATGTGGCAACAGGGGAAGGGATGAAACAATTAGAGGGAGAAACAAACGAGACGGTGGTCTTTTCTGTTGATGGTAAGCAGCTGGTAACGGTCTCATTCGATGGAACGATTACATTCTGGGACATGGTAACGGGGGAGGAAGTGAGACGGTTGGAAAGCGGTATTTGGGGGACCCAGGTGGCAACCATCTCCCTTGATGGTACGTTTCTAGCATTAAGGTCCGCTTATGGAACGATGGGACTCTGGAATGCGTTAACGGGAGAAGAAATATGCCGGTTGGAAGGGAATGACAATTTAGTTAAGGTGATGGCTTTTTCCTCCGACAGCGAACGATTGATATCCTGGTCGGGAGATCACACGGTCGAAGTCTGGAATACAGTAACGGGACAAGAGATAAAAAGATTGAAAGTGCATGACGATTTAGTTGACGTGTTGGCTTTTTCTGCTGATAGAAAGTGGCTGGCGTCGGGGTCGCGTCGTGGAATGATCAGACTCTGGAACGCAGAAACGGGAGAGGAATTGCAAGAATTGGAAGGGCATAACGGGGAAATTAGAGCAGTCTCCTTCTCCGCTGATAACAAGCGGCTAGCGTCGGGGTCTAGTGATAGAACGCTTAGAATTTGGGATATAGAGGAGAAAGTGAAGAAAAAGGTCGAACAATTACAGGGGCATAGCATGAATGTTCAGATGGTCATTTTTTCTCCTAATGGTACGCAGTTAGCATCGGGGTCGGTTGATGGAACGGTCAGACTCTGCAATATGAAAGGGGAGGAGGTGAAATTATTAGAAGGGCCCGGGGACAGCGACAGCGCTGTTCTGGCGCTTGCCTTTTCTTCCGACGGCAAGTGGCTGGCGTCGGGGTCGGAAGACGGAGTAGTTAGGTTTTGGAATATGGAAAAGGAGGAGGTAAGCCGATTAGCTATAGGTATAGAAGGTCACAGGTCAGGGGTTTACGTTTGTGCAGTCGCCTTCTCCCGAGACACCAACTGGTTGGCATTGGGATCAGGCGATGGAACAATTAAACTCTGGAATCTCGAAAAAGAAGAGTTGAAACTATTGAAAGGGGCATCGGGTTCGAGTGGTAAAACGATCACATCCCGGGGTACGGGGGGGCGGGGAATGAAATCGCTGATAACGAATAATGGGGTTCGAGCGGTCGCCTTCTCTCCCGACGGCAAATGGCTGGCATCGGGGTCGGAAGATGGAGGGATTAAACTTTGGAATGTAGAACAAAAAATAGAGAACGAGACGGGGCAACGACTAAAGTATAGCAAAAGAGTCCCAGCGGTTACTTCCTCCTTTAGTGGCGCGTGGCCGACATCAAGATTGCACAGTGCAATAATCGGATTTGACGATATAGAAGAGAGGGAGGTAAAAATATTGAAGAGGCGTAGTCACCGGATCCGGACAGTTGCCTTTTCTCCCGACAGCAAGCAGTTGGCATCGGGGTCGTCTTACGGAAGAATTGAACTTTTGGACGTCGCGACAGGGGGTCTTTTGGAAGTATTCGACCAGAAATATCCGGCCATCAGTTTAGAATTCTCTAATGATGGTAAATATTTATATACTAACGTAAAAACCCACGTTATTTCTTCTATCGCCGATTCCCCCCCTCCTTCACTTCCACGGCCACGGAAGCAGAACCGCATTTCTCTTACAGCTCAATGGGTAGCTCAGGACGGAATAAAGATTTTGTGGTTACCGCGTGATTATCGGGCGTCCTGTTCAGCCATAAAAGAAAATACCATTGCAATTGGACACAATTCTGGAAAGGTGAGCCTTTTCACGTTTGCATAGTCGATGCAACGGAAGGCAGTTCCCTCAGGTAGGGGATCCGTACGGTAAAATCCTTCGAGGATGAACGGCGGGTGTGGGGTGGCGGAAGACTTCTTCAGCCCTTCAATTCATCCGAGCTGTATATATATAACCAGATATAATATGCATGACGGCGGGGTTGGTGTAAGGGTCTCTCTATTTTTTGTATATATCTGGCATTTGTTCTGCGGCGCTGCAGCGGAGGAAGCTTGGCCAAAATCCCGTTATTGATTATAATTATGTTGAAGTAAATTTATATTTCGACTTCGATACCTTCAGGAGATCCTGCAGAGAAGAGAGTCTATAGGTTTTTGGAAGGATACGAACCAAAGTAAATTTACACCAGAACCAACAATTTCTCATATTTGCAAGCTGTTCTAGTACGCCCCGCTCAGACAATGCTGGTTGAAAAGGTTAGAAGCTAGTTGATTATAGACTAAACGCAATAGCCATAAAACCTCCTTGCAAAGATATTGAATTCTGAAGACGAAACGTCGGAACTGACCAAGTACTTCGTATGGACTGGAAATAGATTTCATAGCATGCATAGCTGGTCGAAGACATAGCTTTGATGCATTCTCTTCCGGCGCGAGTAGAGGGTTCGGTAAGAAGCCTGGCGATATTTTATTGCGTGGGGGTAGAGAGGTTGCGGGTAGGAGATTTGAGTCCAACATATGCGGGTTCGGATCACGCTATATATCAAACAGGATTTTGTGCAGCGGTTTCACCGCCGCAAAGTTGCAGGATGTCGATAATATCTTTCAAATGTCATTCATTACCCTATGGCATCACATATGTAGCCACCACAGCCACCACATACATAAGTCCCGCTACTGTAACCGTTATCCGAGCCGCTCTGCTTTCATAATCGTTGTTACATATCCCACTACAAAGGCCTGAGTAACTAGTAGCGTAGTTAGTTAATTGTTAGAATTTTACTCGCTATAGAATCCTCTCATGAAACCGTGCTTATCAACGGAGCAATCTTATTTACGGAACCTTCACAACCAGAATATTTGGAACCTGGACCTTAGGCCCGCTGAAGTATTTAAACTCTTTAACCTCCAAAATTTCGTTCCGCTTAAAGTCAAATTTCTTGCTAACATAATCCGCATATATCATTTGTAGCTTCCATGGGTGACTGGAGAACGCTGGTCCAATATCGGAGACATTTGAAGCGAATGTACTGAACCATATCTTTTAACCCGAAGGCGAACTTTCCCTTCAACAACGAAGCTTTTTCGAAGGAAGCCGTCATGACAAATGTGCCTTTCTTATAATATTAAGGTAAACCGAGAATCAAATCTAGCTACCGTAAGCCTTTCCGGAGTACCCAGTATCTTCGTTGCACTGTCCTTACACCATGGTCTTGGCTACGCCAAATACATCATTGATATTGTCCGCACGTTTTGAAACCCAAATTTGAGAACCGTCTGGTTTATAGTGCTACAGACTCGGGCCGAGGCTAGATTAGGAGACAATCTTCCTTGAGTATTTTCTATTTGACAGTCAATTGGTGACCTCGTATGTACCCAGCCCACCCCGGTAGTATTTATGACCGGCGGCCAACTACCCCAACTCTAAAGATAATAGTTGACTAATTTCGTCAAGCCTTTGTAGATAGACCGATGGATGTACATCCCCTCTCCTGATCTTCTTTTCGTCCTGGACATCTCTAACAAACTCTGGTGGATTCTCGCGATAGAATTGTAGCAACATGCCAAGTGAAAGGCCATTAATTTCGCAATGGACGTCGGCGCCATGGTCCAGTAATATCCTGACACATGATGGTAAAGCAAAGTATGTTGCCCAAACGAGGGGGCTAAAGCCGTCGGAGTCCCTGCAATCAACTAAACTATCTTCTTCGGCCCTTGGGTGGCCCAAAATAAGATCCAGAAAGCCCTCGAAGATGTGCCACCTCCTAGGTTCATTGGCGGCAGTTCGGAGTACAAAATGGACAATGGTTGTACAATGCCCGCCTGAAATTCCATACTTAGTAGGGCCCCCATTCTCAAGATAGAATCTAGCAAGGGGCCAATTCTCATCTATAAGTGCAGTGCAAACAGCGGTTCTGCAGCAGAACGTATCCCGAGGGTAAGGGTGCCGTTCCTTAGAAGTGTCATCGTAACCCGCGTACCAATGACTAGTTTCTAGATTAACATCCGCGCCGAGAGAAATGAGCAAAGAGGCAATCTGGATACGTTCTTCCTGCGTTTCTGACAGTTGGCCGCAATGTATTGCGGCCTTGCCATCTGTTAGACGGTTTATATCTCGCTGCGTTAGCCGAGCAATCAGTTCGATTGTGGAGAACGGCGACCCAAACTCCATAGCGAGCTGAAGAATCGATTTTTGAGCAATGCGGACGTCAAGATAATTACCATAAGACAGCATTGGAGAAACCTCATAGGGTTCTAATGAGGCGCCGTTGTCGACGAGTAGGCGGATGATTTGACTAGTCTTGGGCGAGTCGGATATCCTTTCAATACCGTATAAAAATAAAGCGTTGATGGGCCGAAGAAATAACTTATCAACCGCATTTACATCTGCCCCCACATCTATCATATGACGAACAAGACTTGGGCAATTATCTTTTGCAGCGCTCATCAGAATTTTGTTCTTGTGTCTTTCTCGAATAGGAAAGCCGTATCGTGCAAAGGTAACAAATACCTTTGCGGTAGCTTCTTCCCATTCTTTGCCATGCATACAGTATCTCTGAAAGTCAGAAACTCGGCTATGCCCGCTACCGACATGGAAGAAGAGGTTGTAGGCATCTTTTCCGTGTAGTGGCCGAGTAGTTAAAGATTCTCGGAGAAGTATTTCCAGGGTGTCAGCGCAGACAGTCTGGACACAGGCAAAGAAACAGTCAAGTCGATTCTCGGGCTGGTCGCCGAAGATAGATGCTCCAAGATACAACAAGGCTGACATGGCCAGTTGGTTCCGGCAAAGGATTGCCCATTGGAGAGGTGTCCCTAACAAACACATTCCGAGGCTATCGAAAAATCCCCCCGCTTCTTTTTTCGGTTGACTGTTAATTCTCGCCCCAGCGCGGATCAGTGCCCATGCAATCGCAGGGACGTGCTTGTCTGGGAATAAGACTAGATAATGCAAAGGCGATATGTTCCTCTTGTCATTAATCGAGGCGTCCGCACCACCAGATAACAGCAAATAAACCTGTTCAGCATCACCACGCATACATGCTATGTGAAGCGGCGTTAGTCCGTCCTCTGTTTGATCATTAAAAGATATTTTGTGATTCAGATATGATGTAAGAGAAGCTCTGCCTTCCAATGAGCATAGCGCGCGGTGTACTCGATAGCTTTCGCCTTTTCTTGCTTGGTTTTCTCTATCGTCGTAGAACCTCTCCTCAAAATCTGTTCTGAGATTCCTCCCCCAGAAAATTCTAACCGCATTTCGATAAAACTCCGGCGAAGGGAATTGCTGTAAACAGGCTGAAGTATTTGTTAAACTTGTACTGTCTGAAAGCGTTTGTAATTCTTCGGGGGTGCTAATTTTCTTTGCCTCGAAAATTCTAGGGCCGATCGCCAAAGCGCATTCATCACCAAGTTGTATAGCGCGAATTAGCCAATCAGTGCCTTCCCCATCGACAACTCTAGATGAAGCTATATTGCTGAAGCATACGAAGCTAATTTGAAGGCTCGCCCGCGCCCTATCCGCTTGTAGTGGCGCCTTTTCTGCTGTGTGCCGAAGTTCCTCGATCAGGGCATTTTCATACGCCTCGTTCATATGGGTATCTCGAAAGAGCTCAAGAATCTAGCAGAAATATTGCTGAGCTTACTTTGCCTTATAAAACAGACCGAACAATGTTGAAGCATTCTTAAAATTGTGTACTCACAGATAACCTGTTCGTTTTCTGCCCCTGGTAGGTGTTCACCTGTCCTAATGGAACTGACTGTTCGTCAGGCCGTCTAAGGGAACTTTAGCAGCTTACCAAGCCAAGCTGATGATAATTTTGTGTAATTGTGAGAACGTGCACCTACGAGCTCTGATTAAGCAAACCTAAAAGGATAGGCCAGCCTTCAACTAGTCTGTCGCCGGGGTTATATTGGAGTGTGATTTGAAAAACTTGGCTGCAGATTCGTGTCTGGCTTTCGGAAAGGCTAGTGCGTTCGTCTAATAATTGTAACGCAAGGTCCATGAAGCATCGCTGATCTAATCTAACCATTAGGTTGTATTTACTTTTCTAGGGATGATGAATATTGCCTCATACCTCCAGCGATTGAGGCTTCATGGAAAGCCTTCCCCTTCGGAAGATGGAAATAGCGAACACCCTCGCTCAAAACTTCGAATACGAGTAGCCCAAACGAGAATATATCACATTTGGCAGGATCTGAAATCGGAATAGATTTCGTTTTATCAGGGTTTCGCTGAGCATGGACCTCTGGAGCGTTGTAGACAGAGGTGCCCCGGTACTGTGAAGGATCATCATAGGCGAACGCGTGCTCGAAGTCAGAGATCTTGGCGATGAACCTATCAGTATCACCAGGAAATATGAGTATATTGTCTTGTTTGACATCCCCATGCACAATCATATAGTTATGGAGGGATTTCAATCCATCCGCTATACCGGCGCAAAGAGAAAGCCTCTCCGAATCTGTAACAGCTTCCGTGAGTAGTAATTTGTTTAAACTCCCAAAACTGGCGAACTCCATTACCAAGAATGGAGTAAGGCCATTACTCTCAATATCCCAAGAGATACCGAGTAATTTAACTATATTTTTGTGGTTCGCTAGCGGCGGATAAAAAAGTACTTCTATTTCCAGCAATACCGACTTGAGACGCGCGGTTAACACGTTGCTAATATGGGAAGATCGCTCGATTTGTGAAGGTATCGTAAGTTTAGCTTCCTTAACAGCGATAACTTTTGGTAAATCTCCAGTACCGAGTCTTGATGCGGTGTACTTCCATACTCTATACATCGATCCTTCGGCTACTTCTTGTCGGCGGTCATGGTTCCTGAAAATAATTTCTGGAATTGTGTATCTTGACCTCGTTTGTATAAGCTTAGCGAAATACTCAATAATCGAAGGCACCTTGCCCACGCTTTTAGCATCGTTTTCGAGTACCTGACGGGACGCGAGCGGAAGAAAATGATCTGAGTTGCCTGACCATGGGGGCTTTGATTGGAGCCAACTGAGCTCAGTTCCATTACTAAGCTCGGATGTCATTGGAAAAATTGGTTATGATGGAGCGTTAGGGATACGGGTGGAGATTTGGGGGAACGGCTAAATATTGAAGTGAAGAGCGGGAACTTAAGGAAGTTAAAATAAACTTATTCCAGGGTACAAAGATCTGGACCAAGAGTTATCTCGTAAAGCGGAATTAGTCGCTGCTGCACCAAGAGACCAGACCGAAGTGTTTTGTCCAAATTCTAAATTTGAGGTTGTAATGGTATTTCAGGGACGTGACACGTCAGCCCCATTTTCCTCCGTAAAGGGTCAAAAACTCTCAAACGGTTTGTCCTTCATCTAATTAAGGCTGCAGATTTTCGTGGAAATAGGCACAGATACAGTGAGGATTTGTTGTCTTGGCCAAGACGCAAGCAGATCCATCTGAGGCTAGATATACGACACAGGATACCAGTTGCACAGAACGATTTAGATTAAAATCTCTAAAGTGTTAATTCTAGCCTACGATGAATATGAGTTCTAGGCCTCCCTGTTTCACTGAAAACAAATCGGCCTGGGTATAATCATAGCAGAATTACTTCGAAGATGTACGACAGGAGGACAGCCTCGTTTTAAAACGTGAAACGTTCAAACGCTTAGTAGCAAACCCACATCCTGCTGTGCAACGGTCAAGTACTCATCTATCTTGGAAATTGTAAACTTGACACCAGCCAAGCTTGTAAGAGGAGGATGGTTTTCAACGTTATTTAATGTTACCAGTCTTTTTTCATCAACGTAAGCTTCAGCCCTATGATAATAAGCTTCAATATGTCCGGTAGTATGCTAGTAATTGGATATAAAAAAACATTGACGCTTGAAGAGTAGAGTTTGAATTCAACGAACATTACGGGTAGTTATATACGTTATTTAATATATTAATATTTATACAGAGACATATTGACTTGAAGGACCTCCTAGAGGCTAGATCTTTCTCATCAGCAGGATGGCCGCGAAAACCGTGGTTATCGAAAGAACACTCAAAACCAGAGAAAAAACTAAAGGTGTTCTAATAAACAAGAAGGGTTCACCTTTCATTCCAACCAGCGTTTCATTAATGATGGTGACGCCAGAAAAAAGAATCATCTGTCACGGTCTTGACGTTAGCGAGCAGTTTAGGTTTCCGTGTAAAGGTTCGAGGCCAGAATATTCGGGGCCCGTGACCTACAGCTATGAATGATAGGGGTAAATGGGCTATCATCATGACGGCCCAGATGTCAACAAGTCGAGGTTCTTGTTTCCTTGTATTACTAGCTTCTGGCGTGGTTACACCATCAGGACTCGAAACTACTGCTGGCTCTCTCTGTGAAGTGGATTCTGGGTGGTGCTCCGGCGTAACGCGAATCTGGCTTCCTTCGCTAGGAAAACTCGACAATCGAGAAAGCTGTATCTTTAAATACGTGTACTGAAAAATAAATACCTTATAAAGCGGTGATCGCACTTACTAGGACCGCGGCACTGTCTAATCTTTTCACTTCAAACTCAACGTAATCTTGGTGAATCTTGTTACGAGCACTTAGTTCATAGAGCTCTTTCAGAGGTTTTCTTGATCCCTCAATATTTAGGCACCAAATATCAGAATGATCTTTTAATTGTAATTGCATCATTCTAAAGACGCGATCATTTGCCAATAGCCGCTGATGAACCATTAAGAGTTCTCGTCGCAAAACCTCCAGATTTTGTTGATCCTGAAAGATTGTATTTCGTTGCTCGAATATAGGCTCTTTGCCCACGGGGTAATAAAGCCACTTTTGGGTCTACTATGAAATAGTGGCCTATTAATATGGTACACGTCCAATTGCGGCTTCTTTTTAAGTTGAGACTAAATATCTGCAGTTTTACCTTGTTTATGAGGTTACCCCTAAATTGCATCAAATACCCGCTCCAATTGTAGTCGAAAGCGCTGATTAAAAAGATGTGCTTAAGTATTGGCTGATGAATATCATATTTGCAAGTTTCGAAAAGTTTGGAGCGGGTATCATCCGGGACCTGTATAAAGATACACTTCGATTTTCCCGGTACGCTCGGTTGTTGATTTTCGTATGCAGTGAACTTTCGCATGCTCCACGGGTTTCCTCCATTTTTTCGCCCATTCTTGGCAGGATACCATATCGTGTAGCACAATTCTAATATATTTTGCGAAAGTGGGAAAATGGTAATTCGAAGATTAGATTTGAGTGGCCGAGGTCGGTAGAAGGAGGAAGCAGACGTACCAACAGAGGTTCCGCAGAAGCGGCTATAATGATAGATTTCATGTTCATCTACATCTGAAGTTTTAAATCCGTGGTTCGACACGAGATCCAGGAACGGTGTGAAGATCGATAGCTTATTTTGTAGTAGTCTAAAGGATGGGTATGTGATGAGAAGTCGACCCCAGCTATGAGTTTGTCGTAGGAAGCTAGTAAACGGTGTCGAGGTTAGTATTGGTTAAAATTTAGCGATCGGAGTTAGGGCGCTTCGATATCCCCAGTCAAGCCACTGACATGAAGGTTTTGGCTGCATCGCGAGATTTCTGAAACAACTTGATTAGCGCACTTTCAACCGGCCTACCCCGCTATAGTGCTTCAATTGATCTAGTTAAACATTTATAATATGACTCTACTCAACTTCAAGTGCTTCTTCCAGGTTAGTAATGTCTTGAATTGTTACTTCGCTGTTCCCCCTCGCCATTTTGATGTAATCCATATTAGTAAGTTAACCCCTTCTAGCTGTGTAAGTCTAGGGAGCGGCCGACGGACCTTAAACTGACATATTCCCCTCCCCAATAGAGTACTGCGTCTGTTTTGTCAGAGCTGAAAATCCGTGACGAGTGTTCCCCGAAGCCGGATTCCCTCTGTTCCGAGTTGTCAAGGGCTGACCAAAAGGCACTAGGGATACTCATCGGGCACGTAATAGCAAGAAAAGACAGAAAGTGTATGTATATATAGTTCAGTTAAGTAGACGGTCAATAGAAATCCAACGCTTTGATCAGATGCTACGAAAGGAGATTTTTCCTAGATCTCCTTATATCAATATCTTGAGGGCCGACGCTAGTGAATGATGACCGATAAGGTACCTGAACCCCGCGTTAGAGCGCGAGGCATTTAGATTTGGTTTGAGATGTGACGTTGTTTGCCTGACGAAAGCCTTCACAACCCAATTCCTCTGGATCCTTCTGAATTGCATGGGCATTTGCCGTTGGTTTGAAAGCCACGTGACCCCTCATTTACTTATCAAATTGAATTAAGAAAGCACCCCACCAACCCTTATCGTGATCGATGTTACTGCCAGAAATCTTTGATGGCTGTTATGTAATATCGTTTTATGCTGCACAGTAAATTTTTATTTAGCAAGAGGTCTTTCCAGATCTGGGTACGACTTATCTCGTAAACCAGAATTAATTGCTGCTGGTACGACACAAGCAAGAGGTATCGAACTAAATTATTTCGCATTTCGCTCGTGGTGTCTTCCATGCCTTGAGAGCCGGTCTTGAGCGTTTACATGTCATCACAGTTTTCGCCAGAGGACATATTCCCATTCATTGAATTTTGCACCGATCTGACAAATTTGACTACGTGAATAATTTTAGAAAAAGCGCTTTGACGGGTTAGCGAGATACCACAGGGCAGGCTATCTTCCACTTATGTGCTTGCGTCTTTAAAGGTTATCACGCTTTGAAAGTGTTTGGCTCGCGCCCTTAACGCGCATCGCGAGAGAGACAAGCCTCGCCGAAATCCCTCGTTTGATTATCCGAACAGGTGTAAGGCATGGTATGGCCTTTAGTTCCACAAAATCCACGCGAAACACATGAACACACTGCTAATCGCAAGGAAAGGCTGCTAAGCCATTAAGTTGTCTCTAGCTAAGTCATGCCTGGTAGCAAAAAGGCATTTCCTATGCAATATTAAGATCACATAGCGGCGCCACAGCCTCCCAATAAAACTCAGAAGTGACATCCCGGTCTTCTAACAAGGAGTTCTCCGAATAGTAGCGGTTTGAGAGGCAGTTAATAACAATATTCTTGTAGAGGCTTCCCATTTTCGGTCCAAGCTTTGGTGCATATACTCTCAGCAGAGATTCACGGAATTGATCGGGCGTAGCATCTTTATGACGCCGGCGAAAAGACGCCAGAGGCTCCCAAAACCCAATTTCTAGAAGCATTATTCCAATGCCGTAATAATCGTAAGCTTTACGGAATCTTGTCGTTCCGGGAATATAGTTGGGGTGCCGGTACTCAGGTGAACCACCGTGGTAATCGTCTGTATCCGAGTACCAAGTATCCCCGTTAGGACGGCTATGTTGGAATCCGATCAGATAGGGCTGGGAGGACAAGCCGGAGAACATCTCTGCAGGTTTCGATTGACTCAAAGCCTTCTTGCGAAAGAATAGAACGTTGCTTGGCTGGATTGCCTTGTGGAGCCAGTTGGATGAATGCAGCTGCCAGATACTCTCGCAAAGACTTTTAGCGATCAGAAATTTGTATTCTAATGGAACAACTAGATTTCTGTCACCTAGAAGGCTAGCAAGGGTCGTAGGGGGCTCGGACAGCTCCCCTCGGATTGCTTCAGGATAGTCGTAGGCGAAACCGAAGTTAGAGAATTCAAGAACGGCGTTGGGTTCAATGATTCCAACACAATCGAGGACATGAAAACCCTCTGGTTTTGAACAGTGGAGCAATTCAGCCAATGCCAATAGCTTCGTGACTTTTTCCTCCTTGGTTTGGCCTTCCCAGGCAGGAGTATACACTAGCCACTCGATGATTACCCTCCGCTTACGGTTATATTCAAGATTGGTACCCTTCCATGGCGTAAACCACGCCAATTGGTGATAGTCTTGCTGAAAATATTTGCGCGAATCTTGGCACAAGTCAATCTGCGAGCCCTTCAATAGCAACTGCTTCTGCTGACTTGTACCCGTTCTCCAGAGTTGCAGTTGCAATCTCTTGAGGGCGGCATATGTACTGATATTAGAGAACGGAGCTCGGAGGAGTCGCCCGCTTTCTTCTATCCGACTTAGATTGGAAACATCCTCGAACTCCGGACTGGTATTTAGTGCTGACGTGCGCCATTCTTGTTCCATCCGCCTCTGGTATGACTGCGGCACCAGTCTCCATAGCTCTGCTACAGCTATTCTGAGCGTTTCCCCTGTTCTCGCGGAGAGTGCTGTCTGCTGTTTTAGGTTTGAGTGTAATGATTGGAGGGTCTCAAGTACATGGGATACTTGAAATTTGCCGTCGTTAAAAAGCCGATGTTCTGTATATTGTTCATGCATTTGGAGAACTGTACCCCAGGCACTAAGTTTTTTTGATTCAAACCATAATCCGAGACTCTCATACGGGGATATGGAAGCCGTCTCGTCTGGGGTACTAAATGAATCAATCCCTCCACTTATGTTGGTTATGTGCGCCTCGATATCGCAGAAGATTATTTTGCTTTGGATGTAAGTAAGCTTTCTTGAACATAGAGATGCGACCGGTCGATCCTTGTAATCAATGTGTAGCAGCTGACGAATAACCGCAATTAGGGAACTAACACCTGGTTCTGTAGCGGGTGGGTTGATTTCGGTCAGCCACTGCTCAACGGATGCCCTCAGGTTATTACCCTCGAAGAAATACCCATTCGAGATCGGGTATCTGTGTTTGGTTACCCTCCTTGCTGCCCGAAATTGTGTAACACCGGATGAACCAGACTTCATGTATGTTACCACCTCGGCTAAGAGGCATCCCAATGACCAGATATCTATTGATCTACCGACCACTTGCTCTTCATAGTCCTCGTCCATGCACTCTGGCGCGATGTAGTCCCCGATCGTACTTGGCCACAGAGTTTGCGACCCTTGTCCTGGAAATTTAAGTCGCGCTACGCCGAAGTCGGTTAGGACGAATGTGGTTTGTGTAACTAACACGTTTTTGGGTCTGATGTCATGGTGGTAACCGATACGGGATACAAGATCTCTTTCGGTTTGTACCACAACCTCGTGGAGTGCTTCCACAGCGGAAAACAAGCCGGCCAAAGCGCTGTAAAATGTCAAGCTGGTCGTGAAATCGCCAAATACTTCGGGCCTACTGAGGAAAGATTCCAGGTCCATCGGCAAACATGGAAATAAAAGGTAGTATTCCCCTTTGTGCTCATAGCTCGCCAGAAGATGGATGATGTTGGGATGCCTGAGGGTCCGTAGGACGTCTAAACATTCCAACTCTCTCCTGAAAGCACGTTGATGAGAGGTTGGATTCTGTCGGACCATTTTAATGCGCTTCCTGATGAGTACGGAGGGCTTTTCTTGCGGGCCAAGGCGGGATTCCTTGACCGTTGTGAATACCTGTATTAGCTGGGTCAGGTTGTTGGTTCACTTGTTACGGGTCACTCACTACCTCGTATTGGTGAGGGTGAACAACACATTTGAATATATCTCCGCCAGACCCTTCATCAATCTTCACTTCGTGTGTGTATGGCATCATTATTTCCGCTCGTAGGCTCTTGTGGAAGTCGCCTTGGATGAATTTGTGTGGGAGGAATTCCCATTGTACTTCGGAGCAGAACCTAGGTGAAAGGTCCCTGGGTATCAAGGGGTTATCTGAGTCGATCGGAAGACTTGAATCAAGCAGGTTACCCTCGATAAGGCTGAGCACTAAATGCTCTTGATGAAGTATTGCCAGAGCAGCAAAAACCCTCAACCCATGGCCGATGATCTTCTCAATGATTATTTTCTGGCGGTGATCGTACGGGTAACATTCAATAATGGCATCGGCAACGAGAGACTCGGTGAGTTTCGTTTGTAGATTTGGGAATGTAATGAAGTGATGCCTAGTAACGGCTCTCACACGGACGCTTAAAATGGCATCGCGAAGAGAGTCAAGCTTGCTAGGGTTATTTGTAGCCATGGCCATATATACCTTGGAGAGGAAGTATGCTGTATACGCTTACTACTAAATCTGCAAGGATAGGAGGAAGAGTAATAGAGATGTCGAATTCAGTAACTAGTGGCTTGTGTGGTGCGACTGAAGGATCATGGTAGTTGACAAAATTATGTGGGGCTATATATGCATGACTCATGTTTGCTATTTGCACCAAAGTCCCTAGTCCATTGTTAATCTTTGCCCGCCGAAGTAACTGACTCTATCTCGAACTTCCCATTGCATTGTGTCAGCAGCTATCCAATAGCTTAGAAGAGGGTACATACTTCATCTAATTGTCTTTCTGCTGAGATTATATAGAAATTTGGTAGCTCCTATAAATTAAATTAGCCAGAGACGTGCAACCAGTCCACTCCGTACTGGTTACTCACGTCAACAGAATAATTACGTCCGAAGCGGTTTTTGAGAAGCCGGATCAGAGCCTTCCGTTCGATATAGGCGCTGGGGAGAGGGTATGTGATTTGCTCCGTTGTTCGTGTGTGAGGCGCCACGACAGGTTTATCGAAAACTGTGCCCCGCGCATCGGCATATGACGGTTCATTCATTCTGTTCGCCTCGAGACTTCCCCGTTGAGCGGACCCCCCGAGCCGTGGAACTCCAGGGCTGTCATGGTGCGTGTAGTTGTTTTGATAACCTCCAGAAGTCAAACTTCTTGGGCCGGCGTTTAAAGTGCCCCCATGCTGGACAAAATTGCCGGTAGGCCCACTCGCAGGAATACTCAAAATTTTGAGCTGCATCATCGAATTCTTTCGAATGTCTGTCAAGCATTGCTGCAAAAATCTGTATGTTTCCTGGAAGGTATTATCGTTTTTACTGTCGAACTTAACGAGGTTACGATGGTTTTTTCCGTCCGCTGGATATCTAATTTCATCTTGTAACCAAAGCGAGCCGCTTTCCTTGGTAACTTGGTACTTCTTTTCGTCTGATAGCTGTGGCTTATTGCTGCCTTCACTCTGTAGGTTAAGGGAGCCATGTAAGAATATAACTTGGAAGGAGCAAGACCAAGTAGATGGAGGAGGTAATTACATATTGTAGCTGCTGCGTCATCTCCGTTTCGACAAAGCTGTAGACTGCAATGTTCCCTTCTCGCAGCGCACGGGCGAATCGCTGTTGGTCCTCCGTAAAAAGCCCAAGAAGGTCAGAATCCACCTTGCGAAGGTCCTCAATCAGCTTTTTGCGATTCTTGTGAGTAGGCTTAATGAGTGGCTCGAGATCTGCAGTAAACATGCCCCTATGCGGCGTCCCATACAAAAGCATGGCCCTCGTAAGTTCGAAAACCTGCTTTTTTATAGGCTTGTCGTGACGATCCAAGTACATTTGGCGTATCATCTAAATAGTACCCAATGGGTTAGGGTTAAATTTATAAACCGAACAGACGGAATGGAGCGACTGACATTGGCGGCTAATATGCCACCGTAGCTGTGCCCAACGAGGATTATGGGTTTCTATTAGGTTAAGAAGTATATAAGGACGTTTACTTTTATGGGATAGTTATAATATCTAGAAAGCAGGCCATTCATAGGATACTCACCGGGGGATGGGTTTCAATAAATCGAGTTATTGCCGCGACAAGTTGATCGATATAATCGGACAGAAGAGCCATCACCTCTTTGAAAATATTCCCGTGATAGCCAAAAATGATAGTCCGACAGTTCTCTAGCTCGTTTGGTCCCCCAGAGTCGGATGTAAAGAAATGCCGGAGCCACATTCTGTCCGTAGTTTCTCCCATCCAAACCGCATATGGGTAAGGAGTGAGTCCCATGATCGCAATGACACTATTCAAAGAAAATTCTCTCGATATTAACGACTTTCTTTAATGTAGACAGTCAGTGGGCTGCAATCTTACTTCGCTTCCAATGCCTCTAGGTTACTAGGTTCGTAGAGAGTCGTCAAACCACGGAACTGTGCGTCGATAGTAATCGCCTCCGAGTCCATGATCCCAGGGCCGGGCTCCCACAATTCCCCAGTCCAGATATTAAGCGTCAATGTTCCACTATCCTTCAGAGGCGTGAAAAGCGATGGGTGTACTAGCCGACGTCGACGTCGAGATGCCGGATCGCGATCATGAAAGGTAACAACACAGACCAGCTGTGACCTGTTGGTCGCATCGCTCGCGCACGTTATCTCTATGTAAATGTGCTCCAACTGCTTCCCATCATCCTCTAGAACAATTTCTAAGCATTTTTTGATATCCTCCTTGCCGTAGGAGGAGGATACACCCCGTATCCGAAATGACAAAGGGGTTTTCCTCTCCGAGATTGATTCTAACTGTGGAGTATTTGAGGCGTTTGGAATTGACTCCGACCATAGTGGCCCGCCCCTAGCCGGGTCCAGAGTGGGTCTGCCAGCCGATGAGCGGGTCCGTTGGGTTTGAACAGTATTTTGAGTATTCCTGTTCTGCGTGATGTTGCTTCGGCGGGTCCGAGAAGTATTTGGAGAGTCCTTGCTCGCTGACATTCTTCTTAGGGCGCTAATTGCTCTTATAGATTAAACCCCTGGAAGCTTTGATTTGCTGTTATCTAGTAAAGTAACTATTGTTCCTAGGTCGCGGGGGTTTTGGCGGTTGATTTTGGCGGGATGTTGGTGATTGATGTTATCGAAGTCTGTTAAGTTTGCCAGGTGGGACATGTACGCCAAAATTAATATTCTCCCGGTACAAGTGCTTTAATAAGGTGCGGCTGAACTTCGATCGACCAAAATCTAACAGTTCGTCTGTTGAGTATACTATCTTATCTTTATAATAGGTACCCACGGACAGCACGAGTTCTAGCTGATTAGGGGTACCCCCCCTCCACTCTTTACCTCTCCCTTTCAGCCGCGTAGAGGAGGGGTTCCAATTAGACTCATATTGATCAATTTCAGCGGCTGAACACCCCCAAAATTTGCGGCTCTGCCACACTCTATCCACGGGAACACGGTACTAACTTTATTGGTAGTAGATGGTCTTCCGGCATACTTATTTGCCTGTGACGATACCTACTAACGTCTCGTATCCAGACTTAGGAGCACAAACTCTCTAATTGGTATGTTTATACATATGCGGTGATGCTTACGAAGCGGTAGATAAATCGCCCACGAGCCCCCAGAATTGTTTGACGTAAATGCCTAGCATACCAAAACGGGGAAGGTTGGGTAAAAAAGGCTGAAGATGTTCAATCAAGCCTCCTTAAGTTCTTCCTTGAATTTTGTTTTGTCTTTTTATAATTAACACGAAAATTGAAGGTTTCTTTTCCCGATAGCAATTTTTTAAGCTTTAGAAGCTCAGATATCAACATCAACGCTCATATCAATATCTAAACATGTCAAAGGATTTTACTTTGCGAGCCTTGTTCGCGGGGTATATGTGCGGCCGTATATATGCATGACAAACCGCATTTTGAACACTCCCACAGGATTTCATACTTGGAGTACTATGTATAACTAGTATCTTATTTGTTCAACTTACAAACATTTCTTTTCTAACTTTTTAAAAGCACAGTATAATTTTGTTGACTTCTTTTATTTTATTTCTTTTTTGAAAAAGGACTATCAGAAGACCTCGAGCTCTTAAAAAGCTCCAGTTCAATCCACGCCATATCTCTTGGGCGGGGCGATATCGATACTCAAGATGTGTAACTTACGTTTTGCAGATTCGGTAGTTTTTCAAGTTTACTCAAACCTATAGTAGCTACTTTCACATCGCTTTAAATTATAGGAATTGAGAGGCAGATAAACTCGATTTCAGAACGAAGAGCCGGACGCTAACATATTAGTTTAGGAGCCTTTAGCAATTGCCTACATTTGCGCTCCCATCGCCGCATCCTTCAACAGAATTGCCACGGTCTGATACCTGTTCATTTCAGCTAGTCGTAGCGGTGTCCTGCCGTCTTCATCCTTAGACTTAATGTTCGCGCCTCTATCTATCAACAGCCTTACCACCGCCTCACGCCCATTTTTTGCGGCTAGCGCTAATGGTGTCTGGCCATCTTGGTTCCTAGCCTCTAGATCCACACCCTTGTCTATCAATAGTACTGCAACCTCTTCACATCCTGTCTCGGCGGTCAGGCATAAAGGAGTAGCACCATCTTCGTCCCTAGCATCGGCATTTGCGCCCGCCTCTAGTAATAGTTTGACCACCATGTCCCATCCTACTCCTGCTGCCCGACATAATGGAGTCTGGCCGAATTCATTTTCAGTTTCCAGATCTGCGCCCTTGCTGATAAGTAGTCTTACTACTTCCTCATTTCCATCTTGTGCAGCCACAGATAGCGCTGTCCGTTCCTCTCTATCCTTGGTTTCCAGACTTGCTCCCTTATCTATAAGTAACCTTGCTACCGCCTCGCGGTTTTCTTTTGCAGCCAGGCAGAGAGGTGTCATACCGTCGTCATTCTGGACCTCCAGGTCTGCACCCCTATCTATCAACAGTTTTACTATCGCCTCATACCCTCTCTCCGCAGCCAGGCATAATGCTGTTTGGCCATCCCATAGGGCCTCTAGGTTCGCACCTTTATCCATCAATAACCTTACTACTTCCTCACTCCCTTGCTCCGAAGCCAGTGACAGCGGCGTTTGACCGCAACCATCTTCGGTCTCTAGATTTGCGCCTCCATCCATCAGGAGGCTCAATACCTCGTGATGTTCTTCGAATGCGGCTATATATAATGGGGTTTGGTCGCGTTTATCCGTAGCTTCCAGATTTGCGCCCTTGTTTATTAGCAACTCCACCATTGCTTTGCGGTTGTGTAGCGTAGCTAGTATTAATATAGTTTGGCCGTCGTTATCCTGAACCTCCAGATTGGCGCCTTTATCTATCAGAAACCTCGCCATTGCTTCATGCCCTTCCTCTATCGCTAAACCTAATGGTGTTCGACCGTCTTTGTTTTTGGCTTCTAGATCTGCACCTTTTTCTATCAGAAGTTCCAGCACAGTCTGTCGCCCATATAACACGGCTAATAATAATGGCGTTCGGCCGCTCCTATCCTTGACTTCCAAATCTGCGCCTCCGTCTATTAGTAGCTCTATCGCCTCTTCGCGTTCGTGTACTACTGCCAGCAATAACGGCGTTCGGTTACTTTTGTCCTTGGCTTCCAGATCTGCGCCTCTGTTTATCAAAAACTTCACCACTGCTGCCTGGCCCGATGCCACGGCAAGTGATAGTGGTGTTCGGCCGTCTCCATCTTTAATCTCCATATTTATAGGCGGTTTCGCTTTCACCTGCCCCGATGTCTTAACTGGAGGTAGCGAATCTGTCTGGTCGTCCCCGCCCTTAACATCTATAACCGCTTCCTTGTCAAGCATACCTACAACAGATTCGTACACTCCAGCGTATGCCGCGAGGTGTACTCCCGTCCATCCTTCGAATTTTTCGATATCGTAGGATTCTATGGGAGCTGTCATCGCCTGGCTGCAAGCCAGTACTGCATTTCTGCTCTCGAGAAATGTCATTACCAACGGAGTATTCCCAATGAGGGATATGCGGACGTGGTATCCCCAGTGGTTTGCTGCATAATCATAAAGAGGGTTTGATTGTAACCTCGCTTCCAGATCCTCGTCATTTCGAGTCGGGCCTTCCTTCATGAAAATATCGTGGGATAAATAGGTAACACATGTTTCCGCAATATTCCTATCGGCTTCGGAAAACCATCTTGTCCACGTCCGTTCAAAATACTCCTGCGTTGTGTAATGCACCAGCCGAATTACTTGGCTTTCTTCGTCAACCATCACTAATCCGGCGCAGACGGAAGCCATTTTCATATTCTCGGGGCAATTCTCTTCGTCGATTTTTGATTCATTAACTTCGACCCCAAGTGCGTGCCGTAGTTCTGCGGTATTGATCGGTCTCTTTGCGCGGATGATCCACCATAGGACACGATATGCTAGGTCTTTGAAATCATCGCTTTGGGCCTCAATTCTTGCCATGGCGTCTTCGTAAGCATTGTCGTATGCTTTTTCGCCCGCTGAAAGGGTTTTCAACGCGCTTCTCATTTTCTTGAGTGACGTTTTGGTTTTTATGGCTTCAAAGTGAAGTTGTGCGAGAAGGAACCTACTAGCCGTCAATGGAACGTTGGTCTGTGGTGAAATCGAGAGAGAAAACTTACATTCCATCAACGACGTTTGTAATCTCGTCTTTGATCTCTTCACGGCAATCTATTAACAACTGTTCCCCAGAGCTTGATATCTGAGCCTCCAAAAAGTTTCGCACGTCCTCCTTGTGTGCACGGACCTCGAGTACCTCGGCATCGACGCTATCGAATTTCTTCATAATCTCCGGGAGAGCCCTAGAGGTTATAAAGAGGTTTGTACCACAATTTGATTGAAGTTGAAAAAGCTTTGAAAGGAAAATCTCGCGGCAGTTATTCGATGTCTGGCATTCGTCAAGAGCATCAACGATGATGAAGACTCTCTCATACTCTTTGGATACAGACTGGAGAGCTCTGAAGATATCGTCAATTGATGGCCGCATACGCTTTTCGGTGTTACGTTGATACATTTCTTTCACAGCTTCTGGCAGATCTGCTTGGGTCGATGTTAAGGCTAGTTGCTTTAGCAGACTTGCGAGTAAGCTTTGGATTTTTTGTTCATCTTTTCTTCTGAAATTGCAATAGATATACGCGAGACCAATTTTCAATTTGGAAAACCGGGTGGTCAGGTCGTCAACGACGATTGACGTAAGGATGGTCTTTCCTGCTCCAGGAATTCCTGGGCAAAATAGTACTCTCTTTCTGGTGTCTGCGGTGAGCCAATTCTTGTACCCCGTAGAGTTTAACAGCCACTCGCCGGTTCCCTGCTGTCTTTGATTCAAGTAGTCGGTTTGCTGACTAGTGTAGTCAATCGGTGTAAGCCAGTCAAGGACCTCAAGGTCATCCTTTCTATCTAATCTATAATGCACTTTTTCAATTTTCTCTTCAATCCTGGCAACTATTGCAATATTAGAAACTAAAAAATGTATTTACAATCAACGCCAATCAGGACTTGACGTACCACTCTTAATTATATCCTTCACCGGGCCTACTCCGTCGACATCGCTGGCAGGCACATATCCCAGAAGCTCCTTCGCAAACGCCGCAGCCACAGCGGCGGAATGTTCCTGCCAAACTTTATTCTTGTGCGAGTCCGCATAATCGCATATACCCCGGATAACGATACACGGAAAATTGTGTAGAAGCCCTGCTGCCTCCATTTCCACACAGAGCACTTGGCCACCAAGAGCTTTATTGAGATCGTCTCGAAACTTGGCGTCTTTGATAACTTGGTTTCCGGACGCGATTAGGCCGAAGTGAACTCGCATGTCTCTGGCCTTCCTCTTCACTATCTTTGACTTATCGCAATGCCGGCAGGTGTCCTCCTCTTCATCTTCCTCCTCATCCTCCTCTTCCTCTTCATCATCACTCCCCTCCTCATCTCCCTCGTCCACTTCACCCGCATCTTCAGGTTTATCTCTGTGGTCATAACTTGACTTGAACAAAACATCTTCAAATGACTCCAACTTTACATACTTCGTAAGTTTCGGAAACTTGACTATCATTTGCTCCAAGTATTCCGATACCTTAGACCCGCTCAGCTCTTGTTCCGTCTCTAACCTCCCCAAAGCCGTCAAAATGAAGTTTGGAGGATTATTAAGCGCTCCGGTCCTCTCGAATTCACCGCCTCGAGTCGTCTTCCCAAAATCCCATTGGACTACCCCCGGAAACGGACCTGTAGGCGTTCCAACTACCACGTCACCAAGCCTAATTTTCCCTTTATTCGGAATACCACCACCGATACCAACCATAAGGCCAAACTTAATATTTGGAAAAGCATGAATCATATGTAACGCAACACCGGCGGCGGAAACGGTACCAATTTTGCCTTTCGGCAGGCACGCGATAACAATATTATGTACCCCAATGGACCCCAATGCGTAAGAGTTATCGTCGCGTGACTGCGCGGGATGTGGAAGGTTCTCATGTCTCTCGTCCAGCATCGCTATGGCCGCCGTTTGCTCCTTGGGAAGCGCGCAGACCCATCCTATCGTGTACTCATTATGAGATTTTTGAGTCTTTGCCGCCATTTTGAATCGGCAAAGGTAGAGGGTTTTTGTTTTATCTTGCAGAGTTAATGAACCTCGTTGTTGCGTTGGTATGTTGTATATTGGCGTGGTTTTATGGGGGGGCCTTCGGTAGTGTTATTTTTGTCTCATCCAAGCTCTTTTGTGGAACGGATTTTCTCAAGCGAGGGATCAGTGAGAAGGTATTTGAGGACACTTTATCTACCCCGCATCAGATTTTAGCTCAGGCTTGGCGAGGCGCAGGATATCTAGGATGCATATGCAGAATTGAATATGACTGATCATGTTCTCGTAAAACTGAGATTCTCAGGTACCAAATTGCGCACAACAGAAATGAGACAACTGCAGCTAGGAGATAGGTAAAGGGGCTTGAGAATATATTCGTGTGATGCTATCAAGAATAATTTTTGATCAATTGAAGCGGGTGATACAAACGTATACAACATTCTTTTCGCTGCACGCACGCCATCTGGTTTACGGTTTTTTGTTTAGCAATTTTATGTAGAGAGGACACTCGATCGATGATCAAAGTAATGGCTTTATCCTGGTGTAACATATGCATCGGTCGCCTAAACAGGGGTCCCGGTAATCCCAGATCTCTCGTATCTTCTTTCTATTTTTTGGTCTTTAATTGGATACAAACGGATTGAATTAATTCTGGTTTACGAGATAAGATAGTATTGGAGCACGAGGGCAGCTTGTTAAAATCCTGAATGAAAAAAAAGTATATATGGTGCGGTGCTTTTTGGTTGCTCGTTCAGTAAATATGGGGATTGGGCGGAGTCAAAGTTGGTTTCTGAGGCTGTGCACTGCCAAGACTCGTGGAAAGAGCAAAGTTGTGTGTAACCCAGACCGTGTTGGGTTAGCTGTCAGTGTAGCCAATCAGCCTCTTGAATGGCAGAATGCCAAGCCGAGCCGCGTTTGGATTTTGTTGGTCCCGTTGGATTTTGTCTTCTTTTTTGTGTTTGTCTCACTAGGGCGGGATGAGCATCCCCAGACGTCACGATCTGTCTGATATGCAGACTTACCCAGCCCGTTAACTAGGACCGGGTTGAGAGCATGCTATGTACCTAGGTAGTTAAGTAAGTTTTGACGATATTTCTTGATGAGTAAACCATTGTTTCTCGTTATAGTTTGTGGAGCAGATTCTTTTCGTAATTCGTAACCTAATTCTGAACAGTTGCGAGCCGACTTACAAGGCCTGGTCCTATCATTCAATTGATCAATCTGGCCCAACACCCTCCCATTCGTCTATGCGGATACAGCAATCGGAGGAGGATTGGGCAAGGCGCCCGACCCAAAAATAAATTATCTTCCCAAAACCCCTCATGGAGATGCTAACTCGAATAAATTTCAGTGTTTTTATTCAACCGCTTATTTAGTTGTTACTGTGCTTGCTAAGGAGTTTTTTCCTTAACAACTGATCTAGTTGTTGGGTTATCACTGTGGCGACTGGTGGACAGTTGTTTATTTGTTGGTAGGTAGTTGGACGGTTGGCTAGGTACCTACCTATTTAGGTGGTTTGATTGTTATTGGGTGTATTGGTAGTTAGATCGGCGGCTAACCAGTGGATATATCGGTAGTTAGGTACGAGACCAGGTACGAGGTAGTTTACTAGTACTTAAGTATGTAGTCAGTATCTTATTAGCAAGCACGTTGGCAGCTGGGTAGGTGGTTTAGTAGTTGGGTAAACGGTTTAATAGTTAGCCGGTGTGCTGGTAGTTAGGCAGGTAGCTTAATGCGTGTCCAAGCGTTTTAAAAGAAGAGTAAGGAGGTAGTCTCGTGATCTGATAGATAATTTCATAGCACATGTTCTAGGTATAAATGTGGCCAGTACAATCGATCTCGTAAACAGTTTAGGTTAGTTGAAGCAAGCTTATCTCATAAAGCACAACTTAAAAATTTAATGCAAGTGTTCTAGTTTCGAAACCCTTTCTACTAGAGTACTTAATACGTCTTGGTTTTGAAACCGTTCACCCTGGCCTATATATATTGATTAAAATGACAGGCAAGACACTCTAAAGTGAAGAACAGGTATATCAAGGACGGGAATCAAAACGGAAAGATTTATGCCCAAGTCGAGTTAATGGTCCATATTCATGCACCGGTAATTTGACTATTCATTCTTAGCGCTATAATATCATGATGGAAACATTTTGGGACGATCTAATCGAAATCTCATAATAAATAATCAAAGATCAATGTATGATATCTGTCACATATAAATAGCCCTCTTTTCCCACCCAACAAATTCCCATCTTCATATTCCGTTTCCTTCTTCTTGCATCACCTCCGACCTTCTACTCCAAGTCCACTTCCATTCCTACCCCACCACCAACTTCTAGCATCTGGCTCCAAGGATTCTCATGTTTATTTTAATCTTCTTTCTTACATAACTTTCGCGTTCTGGGGAAACTTTTCCACCAAAAAAAATATTTTTATAGCCCCTTTAACGGGGAGACTCCACGATAGAAGTTGCGATGGATCCCAAAGGCTTTTTCGAGAATCTGAAGGTTCTAAAGCTCTCGAGCTACGATATCCTCCCTATGACCATTCCCACGGTCGTGACGTTGTTTTTGGGAGTCATTTCGGCAGATTTCCTAGATACTACGGGCTGGTATGCCGGGCAGTAGCAGGCAACGTCTGCTACCCCAGATCATGTATGTTCGCACCATATAGCTGTTAGCGCGTTTGCTAGCTACTATCTAGCCCTCATTACTAAACAGTACTTTTATCACTCGTCACCAAATGAACGAGGCTTTTCACCAGACTAATACTAACTCGTGTTTGACTCTAGGCCAAGACCAACGAGTTCCTAAAAGAGCACCGCCGCCATTCCCCTAAAGGGCCATCGGACCTCTCTGAGCTCGAGAGAAACTCTAAATTGCTACAGAGTTTCCAATCCGATATTTCTGGGCAACCCCCAGAAGGAACCGACCTCCATCAACCAGCTTTGCCGGCTGAGGGGTTTATGGTCGACCTGGGGCCCCACACTAAGTTAGTGTATTTTCTCTCTTAAACAATGTTGATAGCTTGACTAACGTCCCTAATTTTAGGACCCACGCCATCAACGACAGCAGAAAGGACTCGAATGCTAAGTATTGTGCTGCTGCCATATCGATGGCGAGTATCACATCTTTAGTGGCTATCCTAAATCGGCTTCTTGGGTTTATCGTTGAGAGTCGACAGGGCAGTGTCGAAATTTGGGTACAATTTCCCAACGTACTTGAATAGAATTTCAACTATAAATAAAGCTTCGGTCGAGATTTGCTAATGAAAATGGGAGGCAATATATGCAGGCCGCATCGATAATCATCGAAGCAGATCGAACAGATATCAAAAACGAGAAGGAAGAGGGCGAAAAGAGGCGTAAAAATGAAGGTGCCAATGCGAAAAGAATTCTTGGACTCAGCGAAGCTATTGGGAAGGTGGCTGAGAGAGTAAGCGATGCAGCGAAGCGGGAGAAGAACCAGTAGGGTGAGATGCTTTCAATGCTGCAGAAAATCGAGAAACTCGCAGCTGAAGGAAGGTTGAGAGAAGATAATATGCAAGAAATAATTAGCGGCTTCAAGGAAGCTATGCAAGAGGGGATTGAGAAAGAGGAGCGGGTGTTTATGGAGCTTCATGGTATCCGGGTACTGTTGGGAGAAAGGATGGGGGGAGAAGTCGAGGACGGAGAAGAAGAAGACTTTCAAGAGAAAAAAGAAGGGAAAAAAGAGGTAGACAGGGAGAAGAAGAAAGGGGAAGAGGCTGGGGCAGAACAAGTAGAATAGGAAGAAGAAGAAGAAAGTGAGGCGAGGGGATAAAGGGGCGAGTGGGAGAAGGAGAAGGGCGATGTGTTTCCCTGTGCCGTCGTTGCTACTACTATTACTACCTCCTTATTGATGAAATACACTATCTTGAATTTGGTTTCCGGTACCTAATCTTTCTGATTTATACCCCTAGCCCTATAGTTCCCCCTTTTCTTAGCCAGCGGTTTGGCCTGGAAAGCACTCAAAATACAAGTGTGCTTATGATGTTTCTACGGGGATAGTAGAGGATAGCTTTGGGATCGAGAAAGCCTTAGGGTTCAATCTTTCGGGCGCCTAAATAACAATGCCTCATGAACAGAGTTGGTTCGTGGTACTGGGCTTAAGTTGACGCGCCGTGACAACTGATCCAAATTCATAACATGAACAAGCTAATCGTCTTTCTTCTTATGATCCGGGGTTTCCTGAGGGACTTTAGGGGCCATGCACCAGAAACATTTCCAGCTACGCAAAAAGCTTTCCCTCCAAGTCGGTAGATAGTATCCATTTTTGATGTCATCATGTAGTAAAGATGGAATAGAAGGTGTATCCGCTTGAGCAGCGCTAAAAAGCATTCTGAAGGAATATGTCCACAGAGGCCCGTCGTCACCAGCATATACCGTCTCCCATATCACGTCTTCTTCGCTAAGATCTTTGATGGGGCTGACGTCAGTCTCATCGCCATCCGTGCCAGTGAATTCGATGTAGACCTTCGTCTTGGGGTTGTATAGTCCAGCCACATCTCCTAAATCAATGATTCGTCGGATGGTTTTGTCATTGTGCTCTTTGAAGTCGGAGGCGGACGAAGTTCTAAAAGAATAATGCCTAACGGAGCCGTTCTCGTGGCAAAAGTCCCACCACCTTATACGTCCGATGCGGAAGACGAGGGTGTGCGGGCTTGGGGCCGGAGGGGAGGTGCTGGGCCACGGGTAGTATATTCTCGGCATGCCCGCGAGTATAGCAGTTGAGCTGGTAGCCGTGGTTTTAACTTTGCAAGCCTTTGATTGTTGAGAATGGGACCTTGTATCACGGTCCTTTGGTATTCGAGATGCTAGTGATTCTGCAGGGGTGGAGGGTGAGGGCTGGTACTGTTGTTGGTTGCGGGACTGCAGTGTGTGGTTTGGATGTCTATTCCGTAGTGTTTGGCAAAATTTAATATTTCGTCGTGAGAGAGTTAATTACTTACGCAAGTAATTCTAAGTCAAAAGATCGGCACTGAGACAAGGGTATACTAAGTACTAGTAAGGACACACTTCTGGATCGGAGCATACTTGAGTCTTCTATTAGAACTTAACAGGTATACTTAGCTACCCATATAGCGATGTCACGTGATTAGTCGCCAACGGAATACTACTAATATTAATAGGTAATATTCCACATCTTTCTTTCTAACTACTGCAGCCTACAAGCTTTCCACTCTAATAAGCCCATCAGACTGTATCACCGTCAGAAAATTACATTTCGTACGTCGACAAACGTACATCAAGGTACCACGAGATCTTCTCAAGATTTTAAACGCTTTATGATCGTAACGCGTGCATTCAAGAGTTGAAGGGCTATTTACAGACGTTTGCGAAACCGGAGATATCACAATCGCCCATACCAGCCGCGTGGAAGCAGTAACCTGCTCCAAAAATCAATGCACTAAAGTTTAGCCCCTCTGAAATATAGATATTAGGCGCCAACCCACACAATTCACGGGACGAGCAAGAAGCCGCAAATATTAACCTCCTTAGCAGGGGATCGAGCTCCACACACCGCGTGGCTAACTAGGACCGAAAGAGCTCGAACTAGAGCCTTGCTCGAGTTGCGACTCTTAAAAGTCCCTTCTTCTAATTAGTTGTCTATGGAAAGCCCGAGCATCGGCGTTATAGTCCAGTCTTGAGAGGACAGCTAGACCACCTTCACGGCAGTAACTACCTAGGGGGCAGAATGGGTAAGGGAATAAAAAAAGGGGGGTATTTGACTGTCCTACTACGTAGACGTTGCAACCCTGGAAGATTCAACAAAGAGCCTGGAGCTTAGACCCCGCTCTAAAACTCCCATCACTTCCAAAACGGGGTAGCGAGCTAATATTGCCACTTCAGCCGCGGAAGCGTTCATCCGAGGCTTGCCGAGAAAGTATTTAAATCTCGAGCTATCGATGGGCCATATTGGGCTCTGGTGGGAGATTATCGGTTGTCATATGGAGCAACCTTTGGATTACACGAAAGGAGCGAGGAGGTACTCGGTGCTGGGAAAACAATAATGTTTAGCAGCGATGAAGTTCATTAGCTAGGCGGCTAGAACTTTTGGCTAACGGGGAAAATATTTCCTGTTACAGCTTTTGGGAGTTGGGAAAATACTACTAATCCCTAAGCTTCACTTCCTGAGCTGATTTGCGATATAATCTAGTCCGGGTCCACGAGCTGGTCCACAAGCTGGCCTGGCGGGCGGCTTGTTGGATTATGAACTTGCAAAGACGGACTTCGAGGATTTTGCGTTGTTCGGTCTAACCTTTCAAGTCTGGGTACGAGACAACGTCTAGCATGTAAATTTCGCTCTCTTAAATCTAGCCAACTGCACTCTTGATCTATCCTCGACCGCGATACTCGAGCTCGTTACCAATACTTTGTGCCTCGAAACGAACGGTACATCGTAGAGACCAATCTATTGGATTTCGGGACTATCCCTTCCAAATCCTTGTAGCAATATCGCATATCCTAGAGAGGATATCCTCATGCACACAACAAGCGTCGTCGTTTGTCAGCAAAAACAGCCTTGCGGTCACCCTCAGTTATGTTGAGAGTTAAAGCCAACGCAGGATTGCGGCTGGAGGGCACATATGCATCTTTTACAAGATATTTAGAGAGGTTCTCTATTTCGTTTCTTTCAGATGACAAGAAGGACTGAATCGATACCATTTCTCATTGTCTGAGTCGTTTCTCATTGCAGGAAGCGATAAGAAATCAAGGATAAGCGAGCAACCTATTAAGAACTGCTCGCATTGAAGGACATGGGTATCCCAAAGAGTTTAGCTTTTGAAGGATACTTATCGATAGCTCAACGCTAACGGGATATGCACCACAGCTTGTCTTTGGACCTCCGCCCAGTCCCATCTGGAAAGGAGCTGGCTCAAACGATGTAAAAAAATCAACTTCACTTTTTTTTCCTCTTAGGGAAGTACATTAAAGACCTAGAGCTCTACTATGGCCGCAAAGTGAAGAAAGCTAGTGCGGGTGTATAATAAAGACGCCCACGGCCAAAGGTTAGGAGAACGGACGGCACACCCAATGTCTCTTATATAATTATCATCGCAAGAACTACTCATCATGATCTAACAGACCCCCCGCTATCGAAAAATATATACTTCGGAACGTTGTCTGGGACTGTTCAATATATTCAAAAAGACTATCACTTCTGGTTCGTCAACGGGGCATGCAGTGAGCCAGAACTACATGTATACATGATATCATGTTATCATGTTATCCTCGACAGCGACTATATTCAATCCCTTACAAGATACCTTTCGTAGCTTGATGAATGCACGGATTGTCTCGTCGCCAGACCCCTCAACCGTGTTGAGGATGCACGGATGCATGCGGGTAAGGTTGCACAAAGGATGTAGTTCATTGAACCCTGGCAGATATGTTGATAGCACTCCCTTTGGCTCCCAATTCTTCGATGGACGAATAAAGATTGTAATAACTGAGGATCTTGGACGCTGATGTTCGTTTGGTTACCGGAATGGCTCGCGCAGGCTGACACGTATGCCTTGACTTCAACCCACATGCACGTATACTATATATCCACACAACAACACTTAATATACACAGTTAACTTTGACCCGTTAGTCAGAATGTAAAATATTTAATTGATCCAATTTCGTACTGGATATTCTCGTACCTGGATTAGCTCAAGACCAGCCCAAGTCTATAAAGCAAGCCTTTGAACAATCTGCCCTTTTCTATTTTGTGTTGTCGAAGCCAACGTCTGGATACGAGACTAAGTCTGCCCCTAACTAGCAACCAGAGATCCCGCATGCCCTAAAACCGATTCACGCTATGTGTTGCGATAATTCTTGATAATCGATCACGGTGCACCGCCTTCAGACGAACAGTCTACACAGATTGCCAATTGGTACTCAGCGTTGAAGGTGACCCTCTAAATCTTTCGCAACATTAAAATAGTAATTCTAATGACTCTAACCATTTTTTAGCCGACTAAATAGTACATCCAAGCCCTAATCCAAGCCTAAAGATTCGTAGATTTAAGTGATCGCAATGTCGGGTAGCAGCTATCCTGGGGGGGTTCCTCCAGCGCTAGTGCTACTACGTCAGCAAGAACCGAGGCGAGAACTTCGTCTCCTTCCTCGAAGGTTGATGATACTTCCGTAAAGCTGGCGGATGATTCAGAACCTTTTACGTTAGGCTCTGATCAACAATTAGAAGAGGTAGAAAGTGAAGGAGAGAAGTCTGAGAAAGTAAACAAGCCCCATCAATGTCGAGACCTTGTATAGAATGTGTCTAATAATTTTTTATAGGATAATCTTTGGTCTTTGATGAAAACTATTAGGGACCTTGGGGCGACTGTACTTCCATATGTTAAACACACCATCGACTCTGAGGGCGGCGAGCCGGCTTTGCTTAGTGACGACCCTGGCACTTGCGACTCAGATGATCAAGCTGAGACTTCGACGAAGCCCAACTGCCCAGCTCTTCCATCTTCTGATCTTCTTTCTTGCGCGAGAGATGCGGATATCCTAAGAAACTTCGCCAAGCCCCCGAAAACTCTAGACTCGCAGCTGGAACACTTCCATGAAATAGATCTTGGTGGTCTCATATTCGTTTCAGCTTTCGTCGATATGGAATTGCAGGGGCTGTACGAAGTCGTCCTCCATCTGGAGGCTGTGCCTAAGTCGGAAACCGGTATCCCGGAGGCTAGACTTCTCGGTTACATATACTACTTTATATTTACGCGAACAGGCCTTGTCGAAGACCTTGACAAGGCAATCGATATGAATATGGTAGCTATAACAGGCGCGGACGCCAAAAAACTGGCCTACTTCCCCTGTTGGAAAAATATCGTTGTCATGTTGTTGAAAAAATACAATTGCACGCACTCCTTGTCGGACCTTGAACAGGCGATATTTAGGGCTCAAGGTTTGGGGAAGCTAGAGCTTTGGGAAGGCCGACAACGTGACGCTGAACTACAAGACCTGATAAAGATGCTTAAGTTCAGAGCATTGGAAAATGCGTTAGAAGCAATACTCCAGGATGGAGACTTTGAGTTTGTTTTAAGAGAGAGGCAGAGAGTACTCTTTTTGTGCCAATTACAAGTCAGCGTCGATGTTATTGAACGATATATGCAGAACTTCGAAGAAAGCAACAACGCCGCAGCCCTACAGCTCGCCATCAGCGCAAGTGAACAGTTCTTTGCTATTGACCTTTCTAAAGGGATTGAAGACCCTGGATTCTCGTACTCGCTCGGGCGGGGGGCCCTACACTACCTCATACTGCCGATCAAAACTCGATACCAACAAACGAACAACCCGCGAGACTTCCAGGCGGCTATCGATGCGTACCAGGCAGCATTTTCCTACTCTTCTCAGGAGGATAAGGGAATACTGTTATACTACCAGGCATTCCTTTTTTACGATAGATTCCAAAACACAGGAGACCTATCCGACCTTCAGATAGCGATAGATAGGAGCCAGGGAGCCAGGGAGCTAATACCTGATTGTGACGAGCGTAAAAATGAAGTTTTACACCTATTGTCTGCTCTCTTACTGATCAGAAGGGGTAAAATTGGGAGTCTAAAAGATTGCGACGCAGTAGTCGAACTTAAACTACAAGCTCTGGAAAATATGCCTCCGAATTCCCAGGGGCTGGAATTGATGGCGAAACAGCTCTTGGCAGTCTCTCGACATGTCCAAAGATATGGACGTTATGACAAATCCGAGAATGTTCAAAAGGCTATTGAAGCTGCGTTGGAAGGTTCAAGATCTGGAAGCGTTGCGAGGCCTTCACCCAATGGTCTGGATGATCAACGATACGACGCTCAATCTCATGACCAAACTTTGAACAACACTCTTGTCGACATGCACGACTTTCTCACAACACCCAACTATTCTCAGAACTTAAATCTTGAGGAGTTGCAGACATACATCCAGAAGCAAACTGCTCTGCGGGAATTGCTTGCCGCAAATGCACAAAAGAAGTTTCGTAACTGGAGTAGTAACTTTTACCAAGTTCCATATGCTCTCAGTAGCAGAAAGCTCGCCGAACTATTCTGCCAGAGGTACTCGAAAACCAACAATCGGGAAGATTTAGACGAGGCTATCGATCGGTCAAGGGAGGCGCTGATGGCGGTACATGAGGGCCATCAATTGAGGGGAAGTTTCACCTTGTCGCATGCGAGGTTTTTGGAATTCAGGTTTGGACATAGGCTGAACGAAGAAAAATGCACCGACGACAAGGGCTCACTTGGCGTCCTAGACTCATTTCTCGGGATCCTAAATGACCTCGCTTCGGCCTGCCGTTATTATCAAGAAGTAGCATTGCTTTCATCAGCAGGAATTAGTGAACGCATCCTTGCAGCTATTCATGTATCATACTTGTTCATGATCGGGGGTAACCTGGATGAAGCCGTGCGCTTTGCTGAGTTGAGCGCGAAGCTTTTTCCTTTGATGCCGTCTCGCCAATTGGATCAGCGGGAACAACAAATACATATCGGGAAGCATTCTTGGGTGGCCTCTTGTTCTGCTAGTTTTACTCTCTTCAGTGGAGGGGGTGCATATAACGCGATTCGGGTTTTGGAACTGGGCCGGGGAGCCATAACAGGTCTAAGATTGGAAATGAGATCTGATTTGACGGAGCTAAAGCTATACCACCCTGAGATGGCGGCTCAATTCGAAAAGTTTCGAGAAATACTCGACTCACCACTCTCCATTTCAGCTAATCCTAAATTTGTCGATGACAATCAAACTTCTAGCGTAGATGAAACCCGCCTTCAAGAACTTCGTCACCGTACTAATATTGAACTCAACAAGCTTATCGACCAAATCAGACTCCTGCCAAATTTTGGTAACTTCTTGCTTCTTCCTGAGGAACACCAATTGAGGATAGCGGCGAATTCAGGGCCCATGATTATTATTAACGTCAGTTGGTTCTCTTCAGAAGCGATACTCATTGAAACGGCTTCTATACGATCGATTGATCTTCCGAAGCTGAATAAATCCGACTTGGACAAAAAGATCAAGGTTTTTAAAGCAGCCCTATCTACAAATGGAACTAGTGAGATCCTAGGAATTCTGATGTGGCTTTGGAATGTGGCTGCGGGTCCTATCCTTGATAGTTTAGGATTTATTGCCCCACCATCAGAGGGCAACGATTGGCCTCACGTCTGGTGGATTCCGACTGGAAAATTGAGCTTGTTACCTATCCATGCAGCAGGCCACCACCTCGGTCAAAATTCAACAGATACCGTTATCGATAGGGCGATATCCTCCTATTGTTCATCCATCAAATCGCTTCTATACTCCCGTCAGAACGACTGGCAAGCCAACCCAGAAACAGGATCGGTCAAAAGTTTACTAGTAGCAATGGACGAGACCCCTGGTCATTCAAGCTTAAGGTTTGTTAGGGACGAGATAGATATGCTTCAAGGTCTTTTTCATCATCCTCATCCAATCGAAAGTATAAGACTTGATCAGCCCTGTCGATATGACGTCTTGAACTCCATTAACGATTGCTCAATCTTTCACTTTGCCGGGCATGGACAATCCGACGCTCAAGATCCCTCACAAAGCTCTTTATTGACCAAAGACTGGGCAAATAAACCGCTAACGGCCGAAGATCTAACGAAATTAGACTTCAGGAGAAACTCGAGCGCTCCTTGGTTGGCATATCTATCGGCATGTTCAACGGGCAATAATAGCGCAAAAAAGTTATATGATGAAGGTCTACATCTCGTAACTTCATTTCAACTCGCCGGTTTCAGGCATGTGGTCGGAACGCTCTGGGAAGTATCGGATGAATATTGTGTCGACGCTGCCAAAGCGATATATGAAACGATCCTTGGAAGAGAAATTGGGAATGATTTAGGAGTCGCGTTGGGCGTGCACAAAGCTTCGAGACTTCTTCGAGATCGCGCATATTTACGCGATAGACAAAGGCATGCCGCATTTGAAGAAGAAGAAGAAGTCCGTGGTAAAGGAAAGGGGAGAGCGCAAGAGGATTTAAGGCGTGTACGGCCCTTTGGCTACCCAGAACCGGACAAAATGGAGATTAACAGCCCTCTGATATGGGCTGCTTACGTTCATGTCGGAGCATAGCTTACGGCGGCTATATAACTCGATCAAAATCTGTTTTTGACAGACTTACACGCTGCCACCCTTCATATTTTACATTATATATATGATTAAGCTCTTCTTATTTTGTCAAGTTCGAACATATTTTTTTTCGTTTTCTGTTTTGGTTGTTGCCTGGTAATTTAGCACTTCATGGAAAGTTTTATAGCGACAAAAATGTAGTAAATAGAATAATAAACATCTACCCTAAAGAATACATGAATCCAGACGACCGTATTAAACTTCTGACTTCAATAGAAAAATTCAAACGACCAATCAAGGCAGCTTCAAAAGCCCGGCTTATGCCCCTTTTGAAGACCAAATGGTCGAAGGAATGAATGCTCAAGCATCGGCTTATTAATTAGTCCTAAGTTTCTTCTTTCATTCTCCACGCCCGTTAACGCGTTTTCTATATTCGCGCAAAAATAGGTAGAGATCGTACGAATATGAATCAACTGATTAGGCTTCAAGGCATTCTAATGATAGTTACCGTGGCAATTTCCTGAATCACGCGAGCTTGATGGTGATATAGATGCCTTCGCCCCTTTACCCGCGGCAGGTGTGTGACTTCCCCGAATGTTTCGACTTTACAGCTTTCAAGCCCACAAATCTAGGTATAAATATTACAAACAACGGTTCAGGACTAGCCGAAAGCGAGCAAGTAGATATTAGAAGAACTTTTAGCTTAAAGTCGGGTACTTTTGTTGGCTTGGGACTAACGAAAATCCAAGTTTAGTTGTTAAGGTTCCCGTCTAATCGAATGTGGCTAGCAAGTTGGCTGTACTTTAGCTCTTCCGCTTCCAGTATGGAAGCCTTAATTTTTCACTCTTTTGCCTTATTTCCTTCTTTTCTTTTTCTTCCAACCGTTTTTAGTACTGTTAGTTAGGCTAAGGAACGGAAAATGGCCCTCTCCGTCGCGCTTTCGGAACTAAACTAAAAATAAGCAATTCTGTGTGACATTGCTAATTTAAACGGGTGGTATTACTGATTCTGGCATAATTGCAAGACGCAAAAGATGTATTAGTCAGTGGATTGAGAGTTAACGACACGCGGGAAGATGTTCCCTGACAAGACCATTTACGCAATTGTTGGTTCTCGGCCTGGCCTCACCCGACTATTACAATTTCCTCTCCAGCCTCTTCGTCTTAAAACAGCTAAATTCCAATGCGTAACCAATAGACAGTAACAATAAAAAATTAATTGCTCAAATGTAAAAGCAGTAAATTGCCAAGAAATATGTAAATATATGTTTTCCAACACACTATTTCAAACCGTATCTTTTTATCCAACACGTGTACAATAGGCGTAATCTGCCCACATAAGACTACAATCCGAACCTACGGAGGGATTCCATTGATAGAATTGGGCTATGGTGATGCCGGCTTCTGCGAGAATACCCGCGCATGTTATACCCGCTGCAAAAGGGGGACACACAAAGTTAGTACCTGATGACATACTGCTTACAGCCGAAATATATATAATCTTTGTGTCTCTTTTTTTTTAATGATTGATAGAAAAGTACTTACTAGCAAGTCTCCACCGAGTGCAATTTGTCGCGGTACCATCACGGGTCGGGCCGGGTATAGCCGCTGAGCTTGTTGTAGTAACCCTGCTGGTAGTTGTCGTTGCGCCAGAAACGCCGATGCAATAAGCATAATCAGGCCACATGCCTGTGCAGTCTGAATTTACAGTAGGGTTCCATGCGTAGAATTGAGCAATGGTGATGCCTGCTTGGGAGAGGATGTTGGCGCAGCTCGTGTCTTTTACATTAGGAAGCTATAAGTTAGTAATCTGTGATACGAATATATTTGCCACAAAATATTGGCAGAAGAGACATCTTCAGAACTTACCCGACAGCCGCCACTTATTACAAGTTGATATGGTTCCTTCTCTGGTAGGACCAGGAATAGCGCCGGAGCTTGTGGTGGTCACTCTTGATGTTGTTGTAGTAGTTCCGGGAGTAGTGGTTGTCGTAGTTCGGGAAGTGGTCGTCGATGTTCCGGAGACACCAACACAATAGGCATAGTCCGCCCACATACCAGCGCAGTCCGAGCCCACGGTAGGGTTCCAAGCATAGAACTGTGCGATTGTGATTCCATTTTGCGAGAGGATGTTCGCGCATGAGGTGTCTGAGGATATCAATTTATGTTAGTGGCACAGCATAAACTATAAGGGACGGGCGAGCTTGACTATTCTTACTGGATAAGGCCCATTTGCTGCAGTTTGCTGCAGTTCCTTCTCGTGTTGGACCGGGAATATTCGGGGTCGTGGTTGTGGACCTGGAGGTTGTCGACGTAGGTGAGGGGATCAAAGTAGTGACAAGTTCTCCAGTCTGCGGCCATGCATCATTGCCATCGTAGTCTGGACCCCACACGCAATACCAAGTGTCCGTCCAGAGATTCTGGCAATCAGAGCCGACTGCTGGGTTCCATTCCTTAAAGTGGGCTAGCGATATGCCTTTCTTATTTACGAAGTTGACACAAGTATCCTTGACTAATATTGTAATGTTAGACTTCAACTCTAATTTCATGTTCCTCATGTGCACTCACCGTTTTTCGCCCACTGGAAGCAGGGGGAAACAACGCCTTCCTGAACAGGGCCGGGCGCCGGGATGGGTCCTCCCTCCTCTTTCTCGGGTAGTGCTAGAGCAAACAATTGATAGTAAGTATTTCTGATCACAAATTTGACGGTCGGCTTGCGGGAAGAGAATGATTATACCTAGATCTCCAATTGAAACACAATACTGGTAGCCAATGGCGAAAGAACAAGTTTCGCCGGGCGTCAATGCTTGATTCCATTGTTCAATATCCTCCTGCTTGACTCCGTACTGGGCTGCTGCGTCTGCGCAGCTCTTTGAGTACTCGCCACTACCAAAGTAGTATGCACAATCAAGACGGGTTCCGTTAGCCAGTGGCATCGGGCTTCCAGTTGCTACTGGACCCTCAGTAGTCGTGGTTAGCGAGTCCCAGTTGAATGTAGTTGGCGGGGCGGTATTAGTCTCAATACTCAGAGGATGTCCGCTATATGTTGTGACTATAAATTGTAATAACCCCGGTTAGGAATCTGTGCTTTAATTTGCGGGTGGGTTTAGCTCCTGCAGTACATACTTGTTCCCACGGGCAAGATACAGTAGTTATAATTCGCCCACAGATTCGTGCAATTCGAGTTGATCATTGGGTTCAAGAAGATAAAGTCTTCCATGGAAATACCGTTCCTCTGGACGACAAGATTGCAATTATCTCCGAGAGCGACTTGATAATACCTTCCGCATCGGGTGTTGACATCGGGTGCTAAGCTCGTCGGAATCGGGCTTAATTGAAAAAGATGAGAGTTAATTGACAAGCGACATATGGATACGCTACCAAGTTCTGGGACGGCGGCTACTATACTTACACAACAGTAGAAGCAGTAGATATCTGGGAGGTTCCCGGATCGGTTATTGACGGAATGGTAAACGGACCATATGGATTGCTGTAAGTAATTACCGGTAAATATATTAGTCAGTTTTCAACTATCGATCTGTGGAGCGGATGATAAGAAAAGTATTCTAAGACTAGAAGAATTAAGTACCTGACACAGATATCTTGACCAATAAAATAGCCGCCATCGAAGTTTCGGCACCAGGCATCAATACCGGGGTTCCAGCTTTGGAGCATAACCGCGGTGACACCCTGGTTCAGGCCATAAGCGACGCTATTACAGGTATCATTCGCTTTGACCCGGTAGACGTTGCATCGTCCAATATCAGGTAGGCATAAACTGCCAGAGGTGGGGAAATCGCCGCAGCCCTCCCCGATGTTATTTGCCTGCAGCAAATTGAGAGTGCTAATACGGTTCTGCGAGGATATATCGGTACAGTTTGCTCCAGCAGGGATCGGGATCGTGGTTCCCAAACATGTTGGAGTGACTTCAGGAAACGTGGTTGTGCTATTAAGTATTACGGGCGTCGGTTTAATGATTGGGTATCCAGTCACAGAGCAACTGGATTTGATGGCTGAGAAGTCCGCATTCAAGGAGTCCTCATAGCCGAATTCAGAGTTCAGGACGGCTTGCTGGTTCTTCAGGAGGCCTGGATATGCCCCCAAAACTGGATGTTAGCGCACTCAAAGACCATGGATATGCATATGCACTACTTTTTGAGCCCAACCGACCCATATGAGATCAACATACATTCTTTACACAATGCAGCAACTCCAGTCGGAGCGGGTGTAATTTCACTCGTAGATTTGGCGCACCAACTGCCCTGCCTGTGAACGAAGATTATCATTAGTGCATATTCTTGTAACTCCCCATCTGTAATCCTGGAAGTGGGAGATATCTTCATCTTGGGGACTGGGCCGAATCATGACGTACGCATCCTTTATACAATTCAAAGTTCGTCCGTAGGCGTAGTAATTGGCTAGCGATACAGCTGAATATGCAAGAGTCGTGGCCCCGTCGATATAAACCCAGGTTCCGCAGGCGGTTCGCACATTGTTGATATAGGCGTTCAAACTGTTACCGCAAGCAGTCGAACATAAAGATGTCAAGACGGTTTCATCGAATTCTTGCGAGTTAGGTTCGCTAGCAAGTTCATCTGGGCACGAAGATATCGCCGCAAGAAGCGCAGTATTACATGCGCTGCTAGCACCTTTCTCCGTGAAGTCTTCCCAGTATAAGTTGACTTGCGCAAATACGGCTTTGCTAGCGCAAAGAAGCACTAGAAGGGTTGTTGATCTCATGTCTTCTACCTTTAGAAGTTCGAAGACAATGGCAAAGAGGTCGTGATTGAGGATGATAGACGCTCGAGAATCAGCATATCATCGGGATAGCTGATGTCCTTGATCTAGTGAATATGGTGAACTAAGATAACTTAAGTTTTTAGCAAGTAGTCTAGAATGGATAAGTTGAACACAGGCGTGCTGGTTCTAGGGTTGACGATGCAAAAGAGCAACTTACCTCCCTGTGTAAGATCCTTCCTACACGCTGACCGAGTTAAGTCCAAAAATGAAGTGCCGAAGCATAATTTGGAGGGTGAAGACGTCGACTGGGTTAAGAGAGCTCCCACATTGACGAGGCCCCTCCTTACGGATATCGGGACAGTTGATTATCGCAATACCAATCCACCCCATGTCAACTATAATATACATTGAATAGCTTTGACAAGGCATGGGTAGAAGAGCCCCCTCCATGCTGAATTTTCCAAACGCTCTCTCAGATTATACCGGGTAACGGGCGACGAGAAAATAAGCCTGTCAGAAACATTTTGAGACACAAAGTGGAGTGGCCCACCAGAGCAGCCCGGCCCGCGCCTTCTCCGATAGGAAAGGTTTTGATTGCCGTTTTTAACGGCTTGGAGATAGGCAACAATTGACATTTAACCGCGGGATAGATTTGTTTCTGATGTTGATCGAGTTCGTTGTGGGCGTACAAATTTTGCCTCTCGTAACTAACTGCCGAAATCTCATGGGGGCCTATCCCTGCTTGCTGTGTGCATGTGGGCCCGCTGTATGCATTCTGCATGGGAAAGCGGGAATATGCAGGTGCGTTTCTCTCTCGATGGTACCTTGCTAGCCGATCAACTTAGTATCATGTCAAAGCATCGGGTTGAAGCACCTTGCCCGAATTGTCAAATTTTAAGGGCAAAACTCTCCCATTCGGCAGTAGATCTATGGGAAAATGTTTACATGGAGTTTTGTAGTTACCTCAAATCTTGTCTATCGCCTTGAATTGGCATGCTGTGGGTATTTTCTAGCTTAGTCTCGTTCCCACGCTCTGATCAAAGATTAAACACAGTAATTACTTAGTTAGCCACTTGAAAAACCGATCTCCAAGAAACTTCCAAACTTTGGCCATGGTACACCCATCCCCAACGTTACCAACCGTGTTTTCACGTTTTCCGCGTTCTTCCAACACAAGCCAAAAGATTACGCCACTTTCGCGTGAATGCTAGCGTGGAACTAGTCTAGAAACGTGCGGAACGCAGGTTCCGACAAACACGATTCAGGGGTTTCGGGTAAGGCGCCATCCTAGCGAGGGCTTCACCCGTACAAATCTGCATCATGACGGATTTCAATGACATAGTGCGGTCGATTCGCATGGGGGTTCCTCTCGCCAGAAATTACTCCCCGCATGCATATGCATATTACGCCAAGTTAAACGTCAAGGTCAGCGCCAAGGTATCAGATAGATTGTCCAAATCAGCGACAAACTGGGATTTTAAACTGGTACTTTATCACGTCCAATCAATGCCGACATGCTGTTTGATCTCATCCTGACACCCAGAAGTATATTCGGCTCTTATAGGTATAATACAGCTGATAAGTTGGATGAAAATCATGCCCCTCTTGAGGTACCGGCGATCATTGCATTGAACTTATTACCCATCCGGCCGAAGCCGAAGCATAGCTGTACAAGGTTCGTGGCATTGCTGTTATATATCGTTTTTAATATATAGATACGATATCTGACGATTGTACGGCCATGGAAAAGGGAAGAATTTTCATTATCGTGTCAGACAATGAAATATATGACCCGAGTTCGCGAAACTCGTCCGAATTAAGCGAAAAGGCAGGTATAACCAGATGAATGTAATATCGAGTTCTGCAGAATCCCTGAATTTGCCTCTTAATGAAAACATTTACTCTGATATCATCGGTGTGCAAACAATGCTATTCTGACTCGCGGCCCGCGCGGGAAGTCCAACGCTGAAAGAGCAGCGACTCGACTAGTTGCGAAGTTCCAGCATGTGAAAAATTCCAAGCAACCGATACCATGCATGGCCACCGAGGAACTAATCCCTGACACGAAACCTGGTCTTAGAAGATATCCAGCGGAAATTGCATATGCAGCAAGGATATTTTGATTTGGCAAGCTACCCTTGTACATAATTCATAAAACTTCCAATCAAGCAGACTTGGTATCACCGCCCGCGATTATATCGGCAGATATGATTCTAGGTGAGCTCATGATATGATCAAAGTAAATCTCTTCGGTATGGTAGTATATCCTTTTGTATCTTCGTTCGCGCTACCATCTTATCTAGAAGAGAGCCAACTACCGACAGCTCTGAGCTAGCGTATCTTTATTTCTGATACCGCAAGAGATCTTTTTCAATCTTTTTCCTTCAATAATGTCTATCTCCTTTTACCTTTTGTAAAGTTCCAGTATAGACGTATCCTTTTGTAGTTTACATGGCATTCTGATGCCATTGTAGTTCTCATCAATCATGAGATCTCTGTTTCTACGAGGCCTAGCGGTCATCGTAGCACTCTCCGGAGTAGTCGATGCCATCGCAACTGGCCCTCGTCAATATCGTCACCGACACCACGCAAAACGCTATGAAATTACTGACCCTGAGCACGCCAATGCTATAACGCAAAATCCGTCGAATGCTAAAGTACACGCCGGTCTGAACAAGCGTCAAGACTATACATGCGGTCCAGGCAGACCGTGCCATAATGGAGCATGTTGCGGTCCTTCGTAAGTGAAAATTCGAGGATATGCAATTGAGGGGTAGTTTGTACGAAGACAAGAATACTAATTTTTCTGAATTTCAGCGGGTGGTGCGGCTATGGACCTCTAAGTTGCGGTACAGGCTGTAGCTCCAATTGCGATGCTAAAGCTGAGTGCGGGCAGTATGCCGAGCCAGTAGGCAAAACATGTCCATTGAACGTCTGTTGTAGTAAGTAAAACCTGATTTATGACTGGTAGTACTCTATAGTCGCCAAGGCCATATCGCCTATGCGGTCGAGTTCCATGCATGTTAGGATATATCTAATTACTTGTGAACAACCATAAAGGTCAGCATGGTTTCTGCGGTACTACTACCGAATTCTGCGATGACAGCTGTCAAAGTAATTGCGGAAAAGTCAACCGCCCTAGTGGTGGTGGTAATGTAAGGAAGAATGTCATCGGGTACTATGAATCCTGGGCAGCCACTTCGAAGACATGTAGCAGAATGCAGCCAGAGGAAGTCCCAGCTTCTGGAATGACCCATTTAAACTTCGCCTTCGCTTTTGTCACGCCGGACAGCTATGGTATGCATTTGTCAATATACACCATCCTCGTGATAACGCCATTGCTGAACTTACCCGCTCTTTATAGATATCATTCCAATGCCAAATACCGACCCAAAACTATTTTCCCGTACAACTGCTCTGAAAAGCACATATCCAGGCCTCGAAGTCTGGATTAGTGTTGGCGGATGGACTTTCAATGATGTAAGTTTTCAAGTTGGCGCCTTAATGAAGCGAAATCCCATGGGAATATGTTTACAGAGTGAATTATCGCTAACATCGTAATTGGTCAGAATGGTACAATCTGGCAACCAGTCTTCTCAGATCTGGCATCAACGCAGGCCAAGAGAAAGAAGTTCATCAATAGCATCATCAAATTTATGATTCAGTATGGATTCGATGGCTGTGATCTTGACTGGTATGTCAACTTTTGCCTTTCCTCCCATAAACTAAGCTCATCCAGCTAAAACACGCATAATATAGGGAGTACCCAGGTGCACCAGATCGCGGCGGCCACAAAGCCGACGTTGAGAGTATGCAATCACCACCTCTGATAAGTGTTTTACCGAACATATAAAAATGTGGATACTGATTCATTTCCTATGCTTTAGACTATGTTGCCCTTATGAAGGAGACCAATGATGCTTTCAAAGCTCATCCTAAAAAAGTTAGCTTGTGTGAACCATTAATCATGCTAAAGATCTATACTAATGCAGATTTCTATAGTTCGGTCTTAGTTTCACAGCACCAACTTCCTTCTGGTACCTGAGATGGTTTGACCTGGAAAAGATTCACCCTAATGTAAGAAATATTATGCGACCCCTACTATATTATTTCGCAACCAAATTTCGATCTTGTACTAATACGTAAATTCCAGGTCGACTTCATTAATGTTATGAGTTATGATCTGCATGGTATCTGGGATAGTACCAATCCAATTGGTGCACAAGTTTTAGGGCATACTAATATGACCGAAATTGACCGTAAGTTGCGACTTTGCTTCTTTATCTTTTCTAGACTCTAACAGTTCATTTCTAGTGGCCCTTGATCTCTTCTGGAGAACTAAGGTTCCCTCTAATAAGGTTCACTTGGGTTTCGGCTTCTACGGTCGGAGTTTCAAATTAAAGAATGCCGGATGCTCCGATCCTGGGTGCGCTTTCGAAGGGCCCGCTGATGCCGGTCCATGTACCGATACCGCCGGAATCTTATCTTACAAAGAGATCCAATCTCTGATTGCCGCATGTAAGTACTAATCGAAAACGGCCTCTGGGGTTGATAGGCCTATACTGGGGCATTTTACTAACGTTGATCCCTTTCAAACTAGCTGGTGGAGCAAAGCCAAAATATGACAAAACTGCTGAAGTGAAATACCTTACTTGGGGTAGCGGTAACTGGATTAGTTATGATGACAAATCCACTTTCGAAGCAAAAGTGAGCTTCGGAAACAAAAGAGGCTTGAAGTGAGTTCCGAACCCATTAACGCTTTACGTCAATATTTCGTAAAATTCATCACTAATCTCTCGGATATAGTGGCCTCCTTATCTGGGCTGTTGATCAAGATGATACACAATGGAACGCCATTAAGGCCGTTACCGGACAAAGCGTACTCACCACGAATGAGTTCCAGAACGTCCCGGAATCAGACTTACTGCCGAGAGACTGTTACGTTACCGGTATCTGCGGGACAGCTTGTGCAGCTGGTTACCTCCCGATCACGGATAAGATTTATAATGCTCATAAGGATAGACTTCATGATCCCAATGCCGACTTCGACCCAAAAAGATGCGGTGGTAGCAAACAGCGAAGCTTGTGCTGCCCATTCGCCAGTCGCCCGAATAAGATTAAGTGCCATTGGCGAGGTAACGAGGGCCATTGTAACGGTAGATGCCATGATGGAGAAGTTTTCATGGTTAACGACAATCAGGGAGATAACAAACACTCCTGCCTGAAGTAAGTTGTTCTTTACGGATCCCATCACCCCTGATACAGGGAAGAGAAGGTAAAAGCGGCGAGGAGAACAGAAGAAAGGAAGAAAGAAAGGAAACAGAAGGGGTAGCTTTTCTACGTAATATTCGGCGTACTGACAAGTGGAATTCTTTCTTAGGGGATTGCGAGCGTTCTGCTGTGAGGTGGAAAACACCAAAATTGTTCAAGCATGCGACTACGGCGCCTGTGGTGCTGACTGCAGCGCTATGGGTGATAAAACTGTGCTCGTTGAAGGCGGGAAGGAATACAACGGTTGCAAAAAGGGTGTTTCTAAACCGTTTTGCTGCACAAAGAAATCTGTAAGTTGTCGCATCGCTGCTTCATGAACTCTACCTTCAATCTGCTAATCAAACTCGAAAGGGTGTGAAAACTTGCAACTGGTCGGGACATGGTGCCGATTGTGTAGAGCCAGTTTGCAAATTAGATCAAATTCAGTTACGAACATCTTCAAGAGGTGATGCTGGTGGTACATGCAGATGGGGCAGAGAACGTGCGCTATGTTGCAATGCTCCTAAGGGGTATTCCAATTTCCTTCCGGTGAAGTTGGAGATGGTTTTCCCAACTCTCCCCCCAACCGACTATGATCCAGTAAGTGCAATCTTATCTCTTTTGAATTAAGATCAGGAATTACATTTAGTTCTGCAGTGCTAACTATAATATCTAGGCATTTGGCCTCGTCCTCCATGATAACTCCGTCCCCAACCCCAGACAAGGACCATTTGCTATGGTTATCGTCGTTGGTAAGTGTGACTGAAAAAAATCAAAACTATCCCCTTGATATCTTTCTATTCGTCCGAGAACGATATTCTAAAAGCGGACGCAGTTAAATTGAGACTAACCACATGGGTGACTCCACAGGACCTGCGGACGATGTCAGCACATTTTCCAAGCGAGACGGATCGCATATGGAGCTTTTCGACTGCCCCAAAATACGTAAAGGTGACAATGGCATTCATAAGGCCAAAGCCGTCTGCCGAGGGGATCCTGAAAACTGTAACCGAATTTTCAAACTTGATGGGGGTGTAGAGGGAACGTTTATCAAGATGCCTTTCCACGTAAGTACTCCTAACTAATGCACCTTCGAAATAACTACGAGACTAACTTGCGAAAAGTGTACAGGTGATCGTTACGTTAGGGCTGTGCATCTCAAGAAAGCCGAAGATCAGACTTTGCCAGGTCGCCTTCTCCCAAGAGATGTCACTTCCGAGGTTTACGAGTTTGCTTTCGACTACAATTTTCACTTGTATGTTCATATTGACTGTCCCTGACGTGTCCGCCATCGACGGTACTGACCTGTTTCACTAGACGCAAGAGAGCTGCAAGCGATGTCTCTGTCCGAATCGTAAGTACTTCAGTCAAATCGCCTACATATTCTAATCACTAGCAAGCTTGCAAGTTGCGTTTTCTGAATCTTCTCTAACTTTCTCGCTATGATATAGGACTACGCTTCACAATATAAGTATTTTGACCAGTTTGTGGAAGGTGCTCCATATAACCGTAAGCGTTCAGATGGCATTCGCACAGTTGAGGAGATGTATGAGGCATGGGAGGATATGCTTTCTGTACACCCGGAAACAAATGTTATCGAAAAACGTACTGCTGAAAACTGGCTTGAACACGATACCCGTGTTCTCCACCCCAGATTTCATTCGACAAAAGCGGAAAATTGGGAGCACCTCTGGGGACTCCTTCTTTTTGATTGGGAAATCAACACAACGATGGACAAGAAATGGGACTTCAAAGTTGAGAAAAAGCTGTTTAAAGCAGAGAAATCTTGTACCTTCAATGGTGGCAGCCTGAAAGCAGAAGCATCTGCAGGAATGAAGGTCGAGGGGTCTGCTAAGGTTTTGGCAGGTGCCAGTTTTGTGGTAAGTTGGCTGCCCTATATTCCGAAATCGCCAATCCGGATTTTAACACCATATACTATAGGGCAAATTTACTACAAGTGGTATCAACTTCGACGAGTCGTACGCTTTCTTCGGCCATGATCTCACTGTTACTATGGGGCTTGACATGAGCTTGACTGGACGCCTCAAGTTTGATCAAACAACGTTTGGCTTCCCCAAAGATGGTAAGGATCACATTTACCTCCCGCGGGCCTTAAAATCCTCATCTGCGTACTTCTTGAACTAACCTTTACATTTTTGATTTTAGTGGACGTGAACATTAAGTAAGATTAGACCCCATTTAGTCGGCCCTAGATCGGCGTTATTAGATACTAACACTTAGGCCAACCATAGTATTGGTGATGCGTTTAACGTCAAAGGGTAGGTGAACCTGAACAAACCATCATCCCAGAGACGACTTGGAATGACTAACTTTAATAGAATCCTCGAAGTTGTGCCCGTTATTGGCGCGAGAATGTCTTTATCTGGTGACTTGACCACATCAGCGTAAGTCCCTCCCGAATCGTCAATGTGTCACCCAAATTGCGCAGAGACACAAAGTATTGATCATCTTATAGTACCGTCAATTGGGAGCAAGGAATGAACTCTAAATACGGCTACTCCTTCCCAAATCATAAGCTCGGAGTTCCAAATGACGACCCAGATTTCAAGGGCGGTTCCTTCAAGATCATTGGTAATAAGAAGATCGGGGCAGCCGCAAGCGGAACACTAACTTTCAAGATTGCTCCTTATGTGCAACTCCAACTTTCGGTCGGAAGCCTTAAGGGAGACTCGACAGTCGCTTCTTTGTCTATTGAAGGTCGCTTCCCAAGTGAACTAAATGTCAACCTCCAGTCTGATTCCAGCTGTAACGGTGTCAAAATGGGCCTGTCCGCGAAATTCTCCGGAGAAATCGAGGGCATCGGCAGTGCTGGACTTAAGGATGTTGTATCGTCAGCCAGGGTTCTAAGTCTTTTCAATACTAACAAGAAAACGATTTCATCCCCAACTTGTTACAGTTTCAGAACCGGCTCAAACAAGAAGATGCGAAAGCGAGAATACATCTGGGATAACACAACCTTGGGGGCCGAAAACGAAGCATCACTACTCGGGATTGAGGAGTACTCCCATACCAAACGTCGCTCGCTTGCTAAGCGTGCCGATGGATTTCTCTATAACCTCGGAAACTCCTTCAACTGTCCAGAGGGCGGCGACGGTGATGATAATGATGTGTGCGATACACCACTTGGAGACGATTTCGCAGATGCCTTCACCGATGCTTACGGAGACCGAGAAGATGATCCGTCCGATGCTTCGCGCAAAAAGAGATCAGAGGACCACCATTGGCAGAACGCTTTCATGGAGGAAGTTGGTCAAGCAATTCAAAAATTTAAAGATAATGGCGGTAATTTGACCGACCAGGAGTACTGGCGTCATTTTGGCAGAGTTGCAGAGAGGCGGGGATTATTAAGAAAGCGTGCTGTCTCAAATTGGGAACCCCCAGCACCATATGGACCCTTCCACGGCAGAAGACTGCAGAAGGTTTGCCCATTTGGGTATGTAATAAACACCTCTTCCGCTTTTCAAAATGACATTTTACAGGGGCTAACATAGATGTTCAGAACCAACGCTTTTACTTGGGGTCCCGGTGACTACAAGGCTTGGCCACATCAAGTTAGGGGTATGACAGTTTATGATAGAGCGACCGGCTGTGATGAAGCTCCTCACTTGGAAACCTACCCATTGACCGATACCGCTCCGGAAAGAAAAGGCAGAAATCTTCACATGGCCAGTAAGTAACATTTAATCTCGCCGTGTAATGTTTGGGGGAAGTTCTTATTAATCTTTCTTGATGTTTCTTGTTTATAGCCGAACATATACTTGAGCTTCAAAACGTAAGTGTGGAACAAACGAACATCCTATGCGTCAAAAGATATTGACAAAGCCGAATTAGTTCAACTCTTTTTGGATCTGGGTCACCGATAACGCCAACAGACAACCTTTCGCGCTACTCAATAACTATGACACCAGCAGAAGGGGGGCTTGCGACCGTCTGGAAGAAAAGTTCTATGAACCCAACCATAGCGGCGAATATAGGCCTATCGGTCTTCTTGCTCTTGGTGTATTCCCGAACAACATCCAGCATCATGCCAACAACCTCGGAGAGTTTGTCATTCTAGAAAGCCCTACGAACAAAGTCAAGATGAGTGTAAGTTGCCTTCAAGCTACTAGCAGACTCTCATTTTTTGCGAAAAATACTCCCTGACAAATGGCTAACTAAGAGTTCCTAAAATATCTAGTTGATGGGTGGTGGAACGGTTCGACGTGACGCATATATGACTAGTCATAGTCTCAAGGAGCAATTGACGGTGTTGAAGTCGTGCTTGTTGGTCTTCAAGTACCTTAGAGACCCACCAGTGAAGTCAAACTTTGAGGCCCAAGTCCGCAGAATGGGTGCCGGCCTTCGCTTCTTAGAGGATGATTATATTCCCAGGGTAAGTTCAACACATTGTTTTTTTTTCATGTTTACAAATGTCCATTAGAGGGAAACATAACTAACAGATAACGTTGCAGACTGATCTCGGTCCTTATCCAGGATATGATTTGGATGATTCTTGGTATGACTATGTGAAGAATAAGGTGGTCGCTGACCTCAATCGTATTGGCGAGCAGTTCTTGCGCGACCATTTGGCAAGATTGATGCCAATATACGGCAGCCCGCGACCCGGCGAGAGTCAGCAAGACATCCAGAACCGACAGGCGCTTAATATGTTGAACACTGCTTTCCATAATACATGGTTACCATTCAATCCAAGCATTCCTTGAACGAGCAATATCAAAGCCTTTCATGTTTGTTTGTTTGTGGGGTTTCGGTCCCTTTACTCATAAAGTTAAAGTGCATATGCGCTTAATCTGTTTTTTTTTTTGGACGTTTAATTACTATGCATCTTTTCTCATTTAAGTTTGTACAATTATATCTTAGCCGCTTATCATCCTAGCTATCAATATTATACGGAGCAGGAATTTTCCATGAACTATATAGATGGAAATACCTTACAGCTTCACATAAACCTACTAAATAATTTGGTTTTCAAACAAGTTTAAGATACTGAATAAATCAAACAAGCGAGTTCAATGACTTGGGAAGGTTATACTGGATCTTCACGTCCTCGCCTACTCCTTCTTTAAAGATCCGCACCAGTTGATTGTCGCCCTCTTCATCCTCGTCCTCTGGTAAATCGCTAGGCTCTAAGACTTGATGCCCAATTACCACCAGCTTAGGATTTGGTGGTCGATTCACGTACTCCATGTACACTTGGCTATCAAATGAAAGGTCTTGAAAGCATTATTCTCGAGTAAGCTTGGATTCTATCTGGGGCTGATTGGGGGTACAGAAAAGACTTACTCATAGACATCTTGAACGATTGAATTGCACGCATCTTATTCGCAACAGCTTTCGCTGCGGTTAAGTAGAAACTACGGACTCCAGAAGTTGCCGTCCGCTTGGCCCTGTCATCTTGATAGTCGATTTTGTCGTCAACTATATCCGGGTTCAACCAATCGAAGCCGTCATTATCGTTCTTCGGGATATCTTGGTGTCCTTGGTCGCCATCCATGGGTTCGAGTTCTTCCTCCTCTTCCTCGTCTTCACCCTGGGCTTCTTCTTCATTCCCTTTAGCCTGAAGTTTAGATCTTCTGTACCCGTATGCGTCTATGTCGCTGAAAATTAAATGAAATGTATGCAGATGCGGCCAGTCTTCTGTCTCTCCTTCGGGCAAAATACCGTTCTTCGGCTCGAAGATCTCCGAAGTTGCCCTATCATAGTGTATCAATACTCTTTTAAGCCTTTTCGACAATTGTCGCAGTAAATTTGACAGATTATCGCCCCTCTCGTCGACTTGTTCATCTAAATAGAATGATCTAGTAGATGTGTTGTAGGGTTGGCGTGACATGAAGATATTATATCTAAGCTCAAGAGTCGTTAAATTTTTCATGCCCTCATTCTGAAATTGGATTATAGACTCCATGTAGCCGCAAGTAGCTGTATAGAATTGGGATTTAGTATACTAAGTTCAGGAGCCACTTATATATATGCGCGGACGCGAAGACCGCCGATTGAGGGCTTGGCGTCATCGGAACAGGGAAAATACCTTCATATGTCGTCCGTAAGAACCTTCTTGAACGACAGATACCAGACACATTAAGCTTCAGAGATGTCGTAGCTTTCAATCTACTAAGAAGTATCTTCATGGATCGGTCGCCGAACTGAAGGACTAGATCTGAGTCCTCAGCTGGATTAGTGATACTAGTGTTGAGTTCCAATCTCTCAATGGGTATTGGCACAGAAGACGCGGCTTCTGCGTTAGCCGAATCCGCGAACTCATACAATGTGTACTTTCCGCCTCCCCCCGTCGCCGAAACTTGGTTTTGGCTTGTCTGCCCATACGACGGTTTGATCACCAGGCTTTGAAGATTTGATCCTTCTTCGGCCCATTTCACAATTTGTCGCCAAAGTTCCGGAAGGTCGGTGTGGGCCACGAAAATTGTCAAATCGCGTAAAGAAGTGGCAACGACCGGATGATTTGAACTCAATTTTCCCAATTCCCGTACATATTCGATCCGGGGAAGATGCTGAGACTTGAATTTTCTACCAATGACTAGACGCCTCCACTGTTGATTTATGAACGCCAACTGCTTGATTTCGGGAGGTAGAGGATCGCTCTTCCACGCTTTGATCTTTCTTGCTTTGTGGTAATGTGCTTCGATAAACGAAAATATCATCGAGTGTATCTCGGCTGGTAAAGCGGTAAAGGTGGCTTTTGAGGTGCTCATGGCGATATCGGTAAATTGGAGGAGGCGATTTTTATGGTTCAAGGTCTGAGAGGTTTCAGTTTTGGAAGAACAGCGCTCGCCGGCCACCACGGCGCCGTTATATAATTTTCAATCTGATGACGTCGAATTTGCCGAGCTCGAGCTGACCCTGGTTCAAAAAATACACCCATGTAGAATCAAAACAACTCTACCTCAAGAGCGCCTGGATTCGAGGCTAAAACAATAGAGACTCGGAAGCTCCATTTATGAGTTGTATGCACCGTTACGTTACTCAAAATCTATGCAAGAACATTAGCCTTAAAAACCCCGCTAAGCCATAGCGAGCATCGAAAGAAATGGCCAGTAGAGGAGGATCATGATAGTACCATTTCCAAATTATTTCCTATTCAAATCCTTGTGCGTAACTGGGCTTTGACAGTGGGATATCAGGGAAACCTTAATTCGTCCCGCAGTGAGATCAAAATACTACAGTTTGTTTGCCTAATAGGGGTAAGCTTGCTCGTGAAATATGAAATTGCCTAAATGGGTAATAATAAGCAGATACCTATTTTGGAACACTAGGCACACGTCTTTGAGGCCCCGGATATCCCAGAATCAAGGCCAAGGCGTCCAGGAATTCCGGAAACTTATATATATGATCAGTCATAAGCTTCGGGCCACCGGCTGACAGGATGTCGATCTCCACATTTCGGGTCGTCGAAATTTGCTAGTTCTACTACGCAGGATTTTAGTACTACTTCCACTTTAAGCAGTTTGAAGTCCTTGCATGCTGAATCCAATCCTCCGAATTACTGTATCATCGTGAATGTATTTTAAACCCGCAGATACAAAAGTCTCATAATCCGCATTAATTTCTAATTACTAGTACATACCTAGGTAGCTTGTAGATCTATAGATCGATGTTTTCAACTCAGCTCGGCTCCAACACAAGAAGACTAAGCTCGGCTATACATTATGTAGGACCAGTCTCGTAACCAGACTTGTGTATGTAGGACTCGGCCAAATCTTTAGTGTCGCCAGATGAGGCTCTATCAAGGCTACTACCCCCGCCTTTCGTATAGTGCTCCGAATTCTGTTATCACTACATGCAACTCGTTTCTTTTTTCTATTTTATCGGGCTTGCTCGGAGAATTAGAAAAAACCAGCTGCGTGCTATTTTAACAACTACGTCATCTGCGTTCTAGATGGCTATAGAAAGGCCCCGGGGTTCGAACTTGGGCGCCATTTCTCGATGTAGCGCTAATGGTAGTCAAGTTTCCTATAAACTGGGAATCATTTCGGTATATAATTCCTTTTGATCCCGTTCATCCTTGCAGTAGTGGGAAAGGTGGGAAGAAAGGCGATTCGGGTTTTGCATGGACATAATTGATGATCGGACCAGCCGCTTAATTAACTTGAATACATGATTATATGAGGTGGCTATACGCAGATGGAGTGACGAAGTACTCAACAGAGTAAGGATAAATTTAAGCAGTCTTACTTTAATTTCGAGGTACAAATTTTTGAGAAATCGAACCCAATTGCAATCAAAGCAGGGAATCGGTCACGGCTTCATTGAAATAGACGAGAATCTCGAGAATACAACGATGAGGGAAGTCCTGCGTGTAGCCCGAGGACCCGATGGACATCGGCACCATTTTCTTTGGAATGTCGTCGCAGATACGCTGTAGTATTTGCTTCATCAATGAGGAACTTTGTCTACACTTCTTTGGCCTAAGTTTATATATCCCCGAGAAATAGATATCTTAGATTTAGTGGACCACGCCGTTCGGACTAGTCTGGGCAGTAGAAATTCATGGACAAGGTATCGGCGACAGAGGCCGGTATAGATCAAGGTGTCTGAGAAAGGATCAACTCGTCAAGAACGCCGGTAAACTCGAAAATACCAACGCCTTTAGTCGGACGTAGAGGAACAACCAAAAAGTTCCCATTGTGGGCAGAACAGTTACCCCCATAGGAAACTGGTAGCCGTAAAAGGCGGAAATCGTTTGCGTATATCCAAGCCGACCGAACCTCAAAATACAGTTGTGCCCTAGGCGATTTTTGGACCGACTGCGGCGAAGAGAGGTTTGGAGCGAGAGATAAGATTTCGCTACCGGTCTCTAAATGCTCGCCATCGCTAGAGAAGCATAGTTTTGTAACAGCATGGCGCTCATCCCAGCTTCTCAACTCCTTGCCTGTCGCCACGTCCAAAACTTGAATGTCCGTGTCCCGGTATTTTGTCGCTAGGGCAAGTCGTTCGCCATTCGGAGAGAAAGTCATGACTGTCGCGTCGAGACGGCTGTCACAAATGTATTTTATCCTTTGCCCTGTTTTGATCTCCCAGAGCTCGATCCTTCTGCTACCGCCATTTAGATCCTCAGTTGCTAAAGCTAGTTGTTTACAATCAAAGCTAAAAGTGAGGCCACGGATCTCACAGTCGGGTTTTTCAGAGTTCGAACCCACGTCCAACACTTTCACTTCCTTGCCTGTTTTTGTATGGTATACATTTACTTTCGTATGGGAGGGCAAGAACGATTGCGATCCTATCGCTAACCAAGGTTCCGGTGAGCTATAACCTTTCGTCGGAGGAAAAGCGATACTGTGGACCCACCGGTGGCATGTATTCCCCCACACCAGCCGGCCCGTCCGCACGTCCCAAACTGTGACGATATCTGGAATAGAAACCTCTCTCACCGCGACCTGTTCACCGTTTGACGAGAACACCACCTCCGAAGCCAACCAAGATTCTCCTTTCACCCTTTGTACCGGATTCTTCCTGCTCGCTATTACATGCCGAAGCTGAGCGGTTTTCTCGCGCAACCCTAGCTGCATCTCCCAATTCCTCAGCGGGGAGGCGTTACTGCTAACTCGCTGCTCTACCACCGCATTCCAGAGCCTGATCGTAGAATTTGACGCCGACGCTAACACCTTACCATCGGGACTATACGCGACGGCTCTGGCTATACTACTAGTACCGAGGTCACAGAGAACTTTTATCATTTTCCGTGTTGTCATGTCCCATATCTCAACTCTACCATCACCTTTTCCCAACGCCAACTCTTTACCACTGGGAGAAAGTGCCATTGAAGCACAGCCCCGGAACTTTTCAGGAAAGATTCGGACTTGCTCCCCAGTGGTCACACTCCAGAGCATAACTAAGTCCTCCAATCCCAAGACTAAATGTTTTCCGTCAGGGGAAAACGCCATTGTTCGAAAATTATTCCACGAAGGGGAGGTCCCCACTGATGTTTGTAGCAGTTGTTGGCCCGTTGCCGGGTCCCATATTCTAACTGTTTGATCCTCCGACGCCGATGCAAACAGTTTGCCGTCTGGCGAGTACAAAACTGCGGTAACGAGGTTATTGTGTCCTCTAAACACTTGAATCGCTTGGTCTGTTCCCGGGGTTACTCGGCCCTGTATCACCATGTCAACGTCCCACAATTCAATGATATTGGGTTTTGACAAAGCTACTGTTAGCCATTTGCTGTCAGGAGAGAAGGCAAAACATTTAATCCGGTATGTGGGATCTAAAGCTCGCAATTTTTGCCTCAAAACTGCGTCCCATATTACAAAAAGAGAACTGGCTAACGATCCGAGATATCTACCGTTAGGAGGAAGTGGAATCGTGGGATGTTTTCTGTCATAATCTTGATCTCCACACCCTACGTGCTCGCCAGTTCTGGTATTCCAAACGTCAATTTTCTGTCTGAGCCGGCTTGTAGATGCTAGAAACCTTCCATCTGGTGAGAATGCTAGGGCAGAAGGGTCCAATGTATTAAGCTCTAGTTTTAAAGTTGCTTTCCACGGTTCAGGGGGTTCTGGCCATCTGGATATCCATTTTGGGATACAATTTTGAAATATTTTTCTAATAACGCTTGCCTTCGGACTAAAGATTAGGGCGGATGAATAGATTTGAAGAGGTGCTTCATCGATCGATTGCCAACTCTGTAGGAGGAAAATATTGGCGTCGTAAAGGAACCTTAATAACTTCATGTTTTTGTTTTCCTAAATGTCGATATTTTTCCTATTAGAGAAAATTTCCGGGGTTGCAGAAGTTACGAGTTGAAGTGCTCTGAGCATTCATAAAAGTGAAGGTCTAAATAACCCCATGATTACTGCGTAGACAAGGAAGCGGCATACCTTGGCGAGTTGACTCAGCATTTCTATTAACAACACAGACTCCCTCATTCTTCCAACCAAGCTCAAAGCTTCAAGCCAATGTAAGAAGTGCTCACATAAGAACGCATATATTCGGCCTGCGTCCTCGTTGCAGAGTCCAAGATCCTCAAAGCCGCATTTTAGGTGGTGTATCCAGTATGAACATGCATATCGCAACCACGCTGGTATATTTGTCTCTATTCTAGACACTTCGACCTTCTCTCGGGACATTCCGGAATATTCTATAGAACATATATTTTCTTTGAGATAAGCGGAGAGGACATCGAGAGACCTATATGCGAGCATTCTATGGATTTGCTTTTCATCAATCCAAAACCAGAAATCGTTATTTGCTTTGTCGCTTCCCCAGTTGTCGTTTACCTCATCTTTGTCGCTGGCTACCTTCGACTTCTTTTCGGGATCCACGAGGAACTCTTTAAAAGAGAGATGAAGTAGTCGGATAGGTAGATTGGGCTCAGACGGAACGTTGAGAACAGAATGCAGATGGCGCAGTATAATATATACATTGTTCTCGTCCATGCCGAGGAGCTTCGCTAGTGGGAGAGGACCTAGAGGGTCCGCGAGAGCCACGATAGAGCCCACTACCTTTTTGAATTCCGCGCGAAATTGTTCAAATTTGACTGGAGCACAAATAGATTTTAGGTGATTCAGTACTGGAAGATAAGTTCGACCTAGCTGAGAGATTAAACCCGCTTCAGCCGTCCCAAGCGTTAAAACCGTATCTAAAAGCTTCATAGGGCTCGAAGTTGAAGCACCTCCCACAAATCGACATACTGTCGCCGCAAAAATGAACAAGGGGGCAGCCAGCATGGTAAGTTTGTGAATAGCCTCGTCTCCAGGCCAATCCGGTGGGAATTGCAGCTCTAATTGATTTTCTAATCTGATCTTCGAAAATTCGGTTATCAGGAAAACTGAGATGTCGTGTTCGATAATACTCTTGGGAATTTCTTGCAGTATAATCTGCTCGTGTCGACTGGTACCCATCGATATCTCGCTGAACCCTAGGCGAATCGGGAGCTCAGGACGGCTTGTAAGGAGGACCCGTATATCAAAACGACTAGTTCTGATTTCTTCTATTTGGGAAAAACAATGGAGTATGAGTCTTATTGTATTGTCCTGTTGGTATTCATTGTCTGATTCGTCACGGCATTCATCGAGTGCATCGACTACGAGTAGTAGTGACAGTGATCTTACTTTCATCTTAGATCTGGACGTTTCAGAAGAATTCCGCTGGCTGAGTTTTTGAAGAGGGTCAAACACCAGCAGTTCAAACTGCCTGCCTAGTGACTTTGTCGCAATATCTGGCTCTGCTTCAATCGCTTGTTTGATGTAGGGAACCAGTTCAGGTAGTTCTTGTGAAAGTTGGACTGCAATTGTTGTGAAAAGTTTCGAAGCATTATCTCTCTCATTTTCGCCTCTTTTAAAGAAGAAGCTGGCCCCTAAGTAGATATTTTCACTTTTCTTAGAGATGGAGTTGCTGTGAACATTCGAGCCAACCTTGCTACTCCGGCTAAAACGCTGAGCCACAGTTCTTGATATCGTCGACTTGCCCGTTCCGGCGACACCATTAAGCCAAAATATACCTTTTCTATCAGAACCCTTCGCCCAATCCTCAATTTGGCTTAAGAGCTCTTTGCGCGTATCTGGGTGACATTTGGGGTCAAATTGTTGAACGAAGGAGTCGAAAGCTGCACTTCGAGCATATGGTATTTTCTCAAGGTCTTTATCGTCCAACCGGGGACACACACTAGATATTATGATCTCGTTAGTTTTGCGAAACGCTCATAACTAGTAGGATGCTTAAATTTGCAGTTCTACACTCTTGGTGATTCAAGGTTGACTACCTGTTTAGAATGTCTATTGAAAAGGGCCGATTAGTATATTGTACCCTTGGTCAAAATTTAATGCAAGCAAAATGATGCTCCTAGAAGCCACAAGAGCTAGCCCCTTACCGCAAGAATACCACAGCTTTGATAGGTTACTGCGATGCCTCTTGCTAGCTATGTAGAGATGCTAACCAGATCAATGGATCTGATAGAAGGGTACACACCTGTGTTCTCTAACCTCTCCATAGTTTTTTTCAGGCGGTCGCGAATATTAGTATATGTTTTATCTTGCGGGCTTTGCAGTTTAACGATCGTAGAGTGGTTTGCTTCTGCCGCTATGGACTCCTCGAACTTGTCAATTCTCAATCTCGCGGAATTCTGGCTGACTACCAATATCGGTTCCCCGCATCGCCCCCAGCCGCCTCCTTCGACCTATAAATCTTTATTAGCTCTCTTTTCAATAGAGTTCAATATGGGCTTTAAAAGATTTTTGAAATACCCTAGCGACCGCCTTTGTTGTATGCGTTTCATAGAAAGAGTAGATATATATTTGGTTGTCCGATATTTGGTTGACGAATGTTTGTGTCGTCAGAGTAATCCTCCCCGCCTCATAGTCAATGTATTTAAGTAATTCAAGACCATGTTTCACGATCCCTTCGCATTGATTTGATAATTCTTCCTCGTCGATATCCTCCAGCATTGATCGGACATCATCAAGCTTGATGCCCGAGAAAGGACTCCGAAGAAGAATACACCGGCGACGGATTCGTGAATGTCTTTATATCTTTCGTGCATGGAGGCGGTGACATACGCCTACAAATTATTAGCATCGTTTTCAAAACGGTATTGTCATAAATTTTGAGATGCTATCGTACGTGTGCGACGATAGTGCCACCGAAACTATGACCCATAAGAACTAGTGGTCTTCTCTGCTCCTATCATCGTCATTGCCTTGATTAGATAGATATTTCGAGTTTTCTGATCATGCTCCTAGTGTAGGTTATACCTCTTTGCCACTCCTAGCCTTATTTAATTCTGTCAACAGAATGTTGACATAGTCGTCGATCCAGTGCTGAGCTTTTGCATCATATTTAGTGTTGTATCCGAATATCATTGTTCGGCAGTTTTGTAGTTGGTCATCTCGATTCAAAAAGTCCTGGAGCCACATCGTGGTAGTGTTATGTTCGCTTTTGGTATGGGCCCACGATCCATAGGCGTGGGAGTTGAGACCAGATAAAGCGACAATGCTGTATCAAATATACGCATCAAGGTTATCAGCTATTTTCTATTCTATACGTCTAAAGATGCAGACTAACGTTCCTAACGGATTCAGAAGCACATACTCAAGCTTTGTTTCATCTGGTTCCGGTACCGGATATAATTGCGTAAGGCCATAGAAGTTTACGTCGATATTTATGAGGTTCCCTTTCAAATGAAAAGATGGGGTTTCTCGTGCCAGGAAGGCCGGCGCTTTTGCTGTGAAAGGCGTAACCTTGATAGTTGCAACCTGGCAGTTTTCCGGGTCGATACAGTCTGGCGCCAGGCGTATGTCGAAGTTGTATTCTTCGTCCCCTATTAGCTGACTCTCAAGTGCTGCTGTAAGTTCCTCCTTCGTTGTGTCAACACTGATGTTCTGCGCTCTATATGTGCCTCTATTCTTTTTACTCGCCATGGTGGACGATATCGATGACAAGATTTTGAAATTCCGAGTATGTATCGAACGGTGAAGAGAGGACAGCTGCATATCACTCGTAAGGGCCACGAGAGAGGGCGTTATCATATATATGAAGGATCGATATCTGCTACTAGCTAGTCGCCATTGGAACCGAAAGCGATTTTGACACGGCTGATGTATGCTGCAATGCCACGTCAACCCGATACAACGATTACAACCTAGTACATCGAACTTCAAGCGGGGTGCTTGATATGTATCCTCGAGCGGATACTCCGTGAGGCTGGGCTGGCTGTTAATATGCGGCTCACAAACTCTGCATCTGCAACACGACATCCCAAATTCTATGTTGCCGCGCCACACACCGCCCTCCGGAACCTTGTGGCCATGTGCGCATGCATACTGCTAGCTTACCACAGAAAAAATTATACTAGCGAGATAGGCAGGGGCTTAAGCATTGCTCGCAGCGTAATCTCTCAGTCCCCTTAACTAAACCAGCAGGACATAAATTCCCCTTTAAAATTATGGTTTTCTGGGCCGTGTATATTTGGATTGTATGGCTATTTAGCGCGTGCTTGGAAGGTCTTCCCACACATCTTCACTATGACACAATAATACAAATCCCTAATTTATTTTGGTACATACGCATTCTGTATTTGATTAAATCTCTCAATTTGAACGTAATACTTGATTTGTTTGGGCAGATCTGACGGTTTATAAACTCAAATTAACTTAAGTTACACCCTTTATTCAAAACTTGGGAGTACTATAGCTATAGAACGTATCTGTGATATATCAATATCAATAACCGATCGTGTGCCACTCCCTAGAATGTTGGGCAGGGAAGCGATCTAAACCGCTACCATAGGTACCCTGTGCGCCATATGCACGCAATTAAGGGGCAATAGCCTTCAACGTGATTTCCTCCCCGCCCGGTGCCTGTGCTGCAGTTAAGTTGTTCCAGTCGACGATAGCTGAATTAGCCATAACAAGAGTCTCGTAGTTATTAGTCACTCCGAAGACATTGTAGCCATAAACGTAGCTCGATGGATCATATGCAGTAGTACAGCTGAGAATATCGCCAGTACCCAACGAACAACCGGTAATTTCGGGGCTGGTGCCATCGTAGAAGATCCATCCATTGTCAGGGAAACCGATAATTCCGGGACGACCCACAGAGGAATCAAGGACACCACAAGCTCCAATAGAGAATGTCACAACGTATTCACTTTCGCAATCCAAGAACGCAGCCGTAGTGTCGAAGAGTCCTACGACGCATTTACCGATGTTGACTCCGTTTTGGACTTCCAATTTGAAGGCCGCTTCGAGTCCACGCTTCACGATCTTGTTGGATTGCCTGTTTGAATCATATAGGTTAGGAAAGTTTGAACTCTACAGGAACGTTACAAAAGCTTTAATATCAAACGATGAGGGATATCTCACTTTAAACCGAGGTCCGCCTTAGAATAAAAATGGGCAGTGGGTGAGCTGGGGATACTGGCTATAGGGACAAGTTAGCATTACCACCCAAGATTGTACTAAGAGAAGCCTGTAAGTATTTACCAGCGCTGGCAACGGTTGCTCCGACCATGACGAGAAACTTTGAGAAGTGCATTATGAATGAATTAGAGACGATTGGGTAGATTGATTACTAAAGTAGTATTGAGAGGTATTATAGTAATTAAATGCGAAGATTCAAATTAATGTGTAGCTCTGATTGTCTGCTGTAGATGCTGAAGCTGGATGTTAAATTATTATTTTGAAGGGGGGAAATGGTCCCCTTTTATACAATTTTTATATCATGATGTCGAGATCAGTTAGGTCTATATGACAATCGATCCAGCGAAAAAGAACCCACAGCAGCGACAGCCCCCAGTTTGACCCCGTAAGTTGATCCCAAAATCTGTAGACCTAACAATTGCAAGAGTATCGCTATGCCGCTCGCCGCGAGAACTGATCTAAACTACTCTTGTGCCGAGAGAGACTACACGAGTACTTTCCAAGTCTTTGATTAGACCCCGTTCATGCGTGGCTCGAACTACCTTCTTTGAACGCCCTCATCAGCCACATTACACAGACACTAACACCAATATCGATAGATACATCTCATCCTCCATCCACTTCATACTAACCTAGACCGCTTTTGTGAACCACATGCTGATCGATTGAATATTCTGCAGCAGGTTTAGTTGTGTAACAAATCACGTTTAAACTTTCGTGCATGTGGCTTGAGTAGAGGATGGACTCTTGACCGAATATTGACTAGTCAGGCTATAGGCTGCAAGGAGGCTGTCGTTTCTAGTTTCACCTAGCCAGAACTAGTTAAATCTTTACAACGGGCCGTTCTCAAAGTTACACGACGGTCCACGCCATGGCGAGGGCCTTTGCCGAAGTCTATGGATCCACGTACCGCCGCTAATGATAGGACCGGACTAGTATTCCACCCGTCACGTTATCAATTATCGAGTTAGTCCCCGTGGAGAAATCTGGTACTATCGTTGGAGGTAATCTTAAGCGAGAAGAAAGCCATGCAGATAAAGTCGTGGCGCCTCTTATGACTCTCGCCGTCGATCGTTACGAAAACGGCGTGGTTGCAGGAGGAAGCCTTGAGGCTTTTTAGATCCACAGTTTTCCGTCCAGTAATATCTATAGAAATCGGTAGGGGTTGCCTAAGCGATATGCAGGTGTTGTATTTTGGAGGTTCTGTCTCAGAATCTCGTAACGTTAGCACTATCAATATATTAAGAAAACTGGAGTTGCGTGGAACATTCGCCGTTGGGATGCTATTTTGCTTTTAGATCTGTTCCAAAACACATCCTCTCGTCACGGAACAGCCTCGGAGGCGAGATTAACTCGGTTAATACGTGCATATCGATATCGATTGTCCTCATGCACAAAAAAAAAATTGTGTTGTCTTTTTTTTCTAGTTTCCAATGTAGTCATGGCATGAAATGATGATATTCCAGTGCACTACAGCTGTATACAGCCGCAGCCTTGGAAACGACAATCAAATCTTCAATAATTAAAGAAGCAGTTTATGCCCATAGCTAATGGGGATTATTTCCCACGGTTTATTAATACTCGTTGAGATCTCCCAAGGTCATCATTCGGGTGCCCACAACTATACATAACATATTTCTTATTGCTCTTCCGCGAACAAACGGAACTGATACAACGCCACAATAATGTTGTATTTTTTATCTCCGACGAAAACAGCTCGGGATATTTAATAAATTTTACATTCTCAGAGGCCCCGGATCTGCAGAACCGTTGTAAACACGCAGACAAGCGTAGTTATATAATGCATAATACTATATATAATGGTCGAAATATGGGGAATATTATGAGATACTATACCCTAAAGTAGTTAAAGGTTCGTGGTGAGCTCTTGAGGTGCATGCGCAGGTCGGCTTTTGTTCTTATTACATAAGCCCCCGGTTGTCATACATTCATGGCTCGATGCTATTGAAGATTTGCCTCTACAGACGTCACAACCTTCTTTGACCTCTCCTATTTTATATTCTACAAACAAACCTCTACCTCGACACAAAGAAATTTATATTATTGTATTATTCTAAACCACAATGATTAATTATAAATAGGTTCTATGTAAAGATTTAATATATCAAAAAGAGAAGAATAAGAAGCGGGGTTCCGAAGCTCATTTCTAGCTCGCTCCCGAAAAATCGTGGAGGCCTCATACGGCGACACATAAATATGTCTTCGCCCACATTTTCGAACAGTCTTTGCCAATAGCCGGATTCCAAGTGAACAGCTGGGACAACGTAACCTTTGGGTGCCTCTTTAGAATGTGCTGGCAGGTCTCGCCCTGCTTGACATAAGCCCAACCTTTACAATTCTTGACCTGACCCGCTTGAATAGGACTAGGAGTGGGGTTTGCTGGTGTGGGTTTTGTGGTTGTCGGCGGAGCGGCCGGTCCGATGATACAAAGGAAGTTAGCGGCTATCAACCCGCTACAGTCCGCTCTCACAGAAGGATTCCAGCGAATGAGGTCCTTCAAGGTGGATTTAGAGTCTCGGTTTCTGTCAAGAATGGTCTGACAAGTATCACCGCTTCTTATATATGCCCACTTCTTGCAATTTTTTGTCGTATTAGCACCAATAGGTGAAGGGGTACCATTGGCTGGAGGGGCTGTTGTGGGTACAGTAGGAGTGCCACCGATGACGCCTATGCAAAGATGAGTCCCCGCCCACATAGTAGTGCATTGCTTTCCGATCGCAGGGTTCCATTTGGCTAAAAGCTCAATACTGAGCGAGAATTTCGACGTAATATCTTGGCATGTTTGTCCAGACGCTACGAGATGGAATTTGTTACAGTTTGGGACCATGCCAGGTTGTACTGGTGACGGTGTGATGACGCCATTCGCTGGAACCGTGGGTGCCGGTGTGGGTTTTGGGGCGTCCTTAGTTGTCGTTTGGGTGGATGGCGGCGGTGGTGGCGGCGGCGGTACATTAACGCAATAAGAAGTGCCCGGTAGAAGTAGTTGGTCACAAACGTCTTCAGACTTGAGACTTGGATTCTACCTCAAGATAGACTTGTTAGTTGGCGATTCATATGCATTCTTGGTAAACCTCAGTTGTCAGAATACATGTATGTAGCTTACCCATTTGATGAAATCATCGATAGATATCGCGTTTAATGCGGCAACAACTAGACAAGTATCACCCTCGAGTGGGGTGAAAGACTTGGAGCATCCTGCTACTGCCGTCGGAGCGGCGACGGCCACTGCTAAGGCTGCGTCTGCATTCTGGCGCACTGTATTCCAAAAAGGTCCAAATTAGCCATCCGTAGATTGAAAACCATAAAGAATCACGCGCGGCAAAAGTTGAGGAGCGCAAACCTCTCAAGGACTTCGGCGGGATGGGAACATATGCATAGCAGCCGCTGAGCAGCTCAAGGCCAATGAGAGTCATGAGACTCAAATAGCACCGGTACATCATGATCGACGTATATAGAAGCGTTTACGTAATACAAAGAGTAGATAATAAAAAAGTATCTTGCTGTGATGCAAAGCCTAATATCCCGAGATCTCCCTGACCAGCTGATACTGTATAGTTACTTTATATTGGACTCGCGATTCAGGCCAAACTTTATAGTGATTCATCGATATAATTCTAACAAACCAAAATTTCAGATCCTAGCCTTCGCATAGCATCGAATTACTCCGATGCTACTCTAGTTGCTCATCGATCACGATATCATTCATGAGTTCAAACTCTGTGCCACTTGTCTCGTACTCAGATGTCATCTAGGTGACCCTTGACGCTGTGCCACCAAGAATTTATATTACTCAAGCAGGGTATTGTTGTGCGACAATTCCCACTTTCCTATTCTGTACTCCATTAGGGCCATGGCCCGAGGCTCAACAATAATGGGTGGACAAACGAAGAAGGAGTATGTAAGCTCGAGACTGAACCCGTATATTCGACCTTGTGGCACAGATATCAATAGTCACCGACGACGAGTTTTGAGGCTTAGAGGAAGACGTTTGTATCGCCAAGATTGTGTCCCGATAACTCGTATAAAAGACTTTTTTATCTGCAGGGGTCCGATCGAACCTCCTTAAATAGGCAGGCTGTCCTAAGCGGACCGAGCCGGCTATCGTATTAATTTAATTTAGTTAGAAGAAATAAGAATTAAAGTGTGAGTCTTGTGTAAGGGGAGCTTTCTTGCTCTTGTAGAGATATCGATAGGAGATTTCTTAAGGGAAGGGGACGAGAAAAACTCCGCTAGCTTCACAAGTACAAGCACCGGGATGCTTCCGATCAATGTCCTAATCCGGTAATTTCCTAAACGGGACCAACGCCAAGCGCGCTTCGACATGGCGTGTTGTGCAGGGAAGGCAGGTGCTACCAACGCCCTTGTCCAACATCAACCAACACGCACGATGCGGAGTAATTTTAAAACTTTGACCTCCTGAAGTTAAGCTAATTAAGTCACTGATTAGAATTCTGATCTTGTATTGACCCTCCTGCGTTCCTTCCTATTTGTCGCTAGAGCCGATGTAATCGAATAGGCACCTGGTACACCCGATACATCTGACACATCCTCGGCAGTCTCGTAACTAGACTTTTTGTGTTGCGATACCAATTTTTTTGGTGGGCAGGAACTTCGAGCCGACAAGAATTGCGTTGGTGGATTGTGGTGGTCGACCGTTAACCGTTGATCAGTACCTTCACCGTCTTCAACCGTCGCTATCATCAACCACTTCAGGAACTTCATCTCAACAACATCAACATCAATATCAACATCAATATCAACGTCAAGTCAACGGCAATAACATCAAGAACAATCACAAGATCATGCATCTCATCTCTCGCGCCGTTTGGTCCCTCGTCGGCTCCTTAGCCTGTTTTGGAGCAACTGTCGCCAATGCCGCCGGTGTAGTGGATATGGGAGTCGTCTTCCCGCGCATCAACGAGACATATGCACTGACCGACTGGTTTCCCGTCGTATTTGCGGTTCAAAATACCGAGCTGGCCAAGAACCTCAGATTCTCTATCTCCAGCTTCGTTCGCAGTGGCCCCGACCTCAACGGCGGGCTCGCCGGCGCAGACGCTATCCACAAACTGCAAAATGCCAACTACACCAGCGATCCCTATCTTGTGTACCACTACCTCAAAATAGTCGATGAAGGGCCCTACGAGCTGTTTGCTTCCGTTATCTGGGGAAGCTGCGATGAAAGCGGCGAACAGCCCCTCTTCCTCGGGAACAGCACCAACTTGGTTGTTCGCTTCAATGTCAAGAAAGATGGGCAAAAGGTTGATCTCGTCGCTGCTACGGCCGCTGAAGGGCAGTCGTGCCCCAAACAAGGCTTTGGCCTGAACGTCACCGATCAAACGCGAGAAGTTTCTCCGACTTTGGATAGTCGAGTTAATGGTACTTGCGCAGTCTTGGCCTCCCCTTCTCCGACTACAACTGGAAATCCCTGTCGGGTTAGAATCGACGCAGACGCCAATGCGAGCATGTCCGCCGCTTTGCATACCGCATTGTGTAAAGGCTTGAACCCACCTGCTGATTGCCCAAAAGAGAATGCCGCTGCCCATCAGTTGGTCGTTGCGGGTGTTGCGAGCCTCGCAACTGCTTTCGGCGCCATTGGTTTCCTTCTTTCCTCATTCATGTAAATATAAGCGCTGTATTTTAATTTTCATCACCGACTTAAAGCCAGACTCATACAACCTGGTATCATTCCGTCGGATATTTAATTTATTTGGACTATTTCTCACCTCCCATGCATGTTTGTAACTACCTGCCTATTCTTGACTTTCACATGCGCATGTCCACACACCGTCTCAGGAAGGTTAGTTAGTATGCGGCGAAGTCGCCTAAGATCTAGAGAAACGTAGCCCTGGCGTCTCGTATTCCATGCCGTCCTACCAATCCTTGTATTACCTTAGGCCAGCCTTATGGGTCCTTTCTAGGACCAGGTTTTGTCAGCTTTACGATCAAGATGCCCTAAGTGTCTCGGCGCCTGTCGAAGAACCGACTCACTCCTCCTCCCGGCCTGTAAAAAGAGCCTCAAGAGATGAGGGCACTCATTATTTAAAGTGCATTATTCTTCCATGTCGAGAACAAAATTAATTTTAACATCAAGTGGAGTCTACCTAAGAATACAAGTTATAAGTGCGATAACTCTTGGTGACGCCCCATCCCATACTCAAAGCACTTAACAGGCCCGCCCTCGTCAAGACGCCTGCGATACAATATCACGCTTAGAGCTGTCCAGCACCATGGCTACCTCGTCATTGCTCACACTGGCGCTCGGGGTTGTTATTCTTGTGCCAGGGGCCGTAGCGTTCATCCCTCCAGTCGGCGAAATCCTCCGAGCTGTCGACTTTTGTCCCGAACGATGTGCTGTCTCCGGCCCGAGTACGGAGAACTGGTCCGTCTATCCCAATTTCAAAATCATCCAGAGGTGTCAACAGACTATGTTTTATGACTTTTCCCTCTATGACCCTGTCGACGACCCGGATACCAATCATCGAATTCAGGCTTGTTCTTCATTCGGCCTGGATTTTAACAGCCTCCCATCACAGCCAGTGGCCGCCAAACTTGTTGAGTCCGCGAACTCTATTGATGTCCAGTTTGAGTTAGGGTGGTGGCATGAAGGCTTCGGTCTTGCTAAAGCCGCCATCCAATCTCTTGTGGGGCAGATTCGCGATTATATCGACAACGGCCACGGTAATTCAGACCAACCATTCATTCTTTATGGTCGGTCTGGACAAGCTACCATCGGTGTCTACATCGGCCAAGGTCTGCTAAACCAAGGCGTTAGCACCTCAGCTCTTCGAGCTTTCCAAGACAACTTTGATACTCTAGACGTCACCACGCCTAGTTTGGCTATGCAACTCTGCGGACCGAACTACGATAGCACTCATATCTTCGGCGTTGTAGTTACTAGCAATGCCACATTCACTCCAATCCAGAATGCTATCAAATCCTGGGCCAATGCAACGTGTCTATCATTTCTTGAATCCAAAAACATCCCTGGCAAGGCCACGTTCACGACGCCCCTCCTGGGTGTTACGTTGAGCAACCCCACGCCGAGCAATTCTACTGCCTTCGACATACATGGCAAGCTTCTTCAAACGCGAGCCACTTGCAAGACAGTGCAGGTGCAACCCGGTGAAGGTTGTGCGCAACTCGCAGTCAAGTGCCGTATCTCCGGTGCTGACTTTACCAAATACAACCCTGGTATTTGTGCCTCACTGAAGCCAAAGCAACATGTGTGCTGCTCCAGCGGCACCCTTCCGGATCTTCGTCCTAAGCCCAAGCCGGACGGGTCGTGCTTCTCATACAAGATTAAAACCGGCGACAACTGCGATAGCTTGGCGGCCGAATACGGGCTCACAATCGAGCAGGTCAAGAACTTAAATAAGAATACGTGGGGGTGGTCTGGGTGCCAGCCGCTCTTTGCCGGAACCGTTATTTGTCTGAGTACAGGAAGGCCTGCTTTTCCTGCTCCGATCCCCAATGCAGTGTGCGGCCCGCAAAAGCCTGGCTCCACCCCTCCGCCACCCGGCTCCAACATTGCTGATCTCAACCCCTGTCCCCTCAATGCCTGTTGCAACATCTGGGGCCAATGCGGTGTCACTCAGGACTTTTGCGTTGACACCAATACTGGCCCACCGGGGACTGCTAAACCTGGCACCTACGGCTGCATTTCCAACTGCGGCTACGATGTGATCCCAGGGAATGGGAACGGTGCCATGAGGATCGCCTATTTTCAAGGCTATGGGATGAGCCGCAAGTGTCTTTACCAGGATGCCCTCCAAATTGACACGTCGAAATATACCCATATTCATTTCGGATTTGGTACCCTGACACCCTCCTACGAGGTCGAGGTTGGAGACAGGCTGTCTTCGTATCAATTCGGCGAATTTAAGCGCATTCAAAATGCTAAGAGAATCTTATCCTTTGGTGGATGGGAATTCTCAACTTCTCCTAGCACGTATAAGATCTTCCGTGAAGGTGTTAAGGAACCGAACCGCTTGAAGATGGCTACGAAAATTGCAGATTTCATCAAAAAACATAATCTGGACGGTGTTGATATCGACTGGGAATACCCGGGTGCGCCAGATCTCCCCGAATTTGATCCCGGCAAGGCTGGGGATGGCCCCAACTATCTCCGCTTCCTTGCCGTCCTCAAGGGTCTACTTCCCGGTAAAACAGTCGCCATCGCTGCCCCCGCCTCATACTGGTACTTGAAGCAGTTTCCAATCAAGGGCATCAGCATGGTCGTTGACTATATTGTCTACATGACGTACGATCTCCACGGCCAATGGGATGCCCAGAACCAATACTCCCAGGAGGGTTGCGATACGGGGAATTGCCTTCGCAGCCAAGTCAACTTGACAGAGACCAGACAGGCGCTGGCCATGATTACCAAGGCCGGTGTCCCTGGAAATAAGATCGTTGTTGGAGTGACTAGCTACGGACGCTCCTTCGCAATGGAAAAACCAGGTTGCTGGGGCCCCAACTGCAAGTTTACGGGTACACGGCTAGAGTCTCGTGCAACCCCCGGAAGGTGCACTGGCACAGCTGGGTATATTGCAGACGCTGAGATTAACGAGATTATACGGGGCGGACCTGGTGGCAAGCGCCAAAGCCGCGTGGTCACACACTTTCTCGACCCTGTCAGCAACAGCAACATCCTTGTGTACGACAACAACCAATGGGTTGGATATATGAGCGAGGATACCAAACGGCTTCGGACGACGCTTTACGCGAGGTGGGGCATGGCCGGCACCACAGATTGGGCCAGTGATTTGCAAACATTTCATAACCCCCCCAAGCCTAGGAAGGATTGGCCTTCCTTTGTTGCACTGGCAGCTAGTGGAGCCGACCCGAAGGAGGATACCACTACCATCGGCAAGTGGAAGACTTTCGACTGCACACACCCCGTTGTCGTGGATGAATTCCGTGTTTCGTCATCGGAGCGCTGGAAGGCGCTGGATGCCGACAGTGCTTGGCGCGAGGTTGTTACTAAATGGTTTAATACTGACAAGCATAACGGTATTAAGTTCGTTGAGTCGGTGGCACGAACGCTTAAAATGGGCGGAGATATGGGTTGCTGGTCAATGAATGAGATCTACGACCACTGCCATGGACCGACGGAGTGCGAGAAAGGTCTCGATGGCCCGTTTTCTGGGCCAGCGGCGGAGCTTATCTGGAGGTCGCTGGTCAGGGTCCACCAGATGCACCATACATATTACAAAGCTCTGGAAGGCGTGACGGGGCCCTTCTCACTGAGCGTTCGTGACATGGAGAACACATTTGCACCAATCCCAGAGCCCAAGACCAACCAATGGCTTAATATCTTAATCGATCTCCTCACTATTGGAACCCTCACGACTGCTGCACCCTTCTTCAACGGGTTTCTAAAGCAGCTACCCGCTTTTGCTAACCCCGTGACGTATGACAATGCTAAGGATACTGCTCTGAACCTTATTGGCCAGTCAACTACGCTGGCAAAGGACGCATTGAGTAGCCCTCCGTCAGGCACATGGACTCCCCAGGAGCAAGATAAATTCTCTAACTATATGGGACAGGTTATCTCAGGCTGGATGGATAGCACAGAGCAAACTCTTGGTAAACTGTTCAACGGCACTGAGGAAACCGTTAAGGTGATCGGGGACGCCATTGCGGATGGAAAGCTTATCGAAGGTAAACGGGACGGTGGAAGGCCCCCGCCGCAAGACACCACTGCAACCGAACTACGGACCAATGTCCTGAAGTCATTTTTCGGCTTTTCCATCCCGACCTTATGGCGCCGCTCTAAGACTTATGCCTTCATCATTGACTCAGGCGCCAGCTGCGATGGCAAGCCCCTCGGCAAGTATCTCGATGACAGCACTGCCGACAGGACTGGTGTCTGTTATGAGGGAAGGCGGTATTACCTAGTTCACCCGGATGGAGACGCCCGACCTTGTACCTGCCAGAGAGTAACTGACCTCGGTCCCTGTCAGACCGTTTGCCGAGATGGAAAGTTCTCTGCACCTGCAGGCATAGACGATCTCGGAAGGTTCGGCGGAATCACCAAAGAAGACTTGGTTATTGGATCCGTGCGCACGTGGCTCCAAAAAGGGAAGACTAACGGAGGCGGCGGTTTAGATCCGATCAAGGACGGGTCAGTCCGAAGCGAGTTGCTCAAGGTGGACATCACTATTCCTGGATTTATCCGACTCCCTGTTTGCAGCCCTGATCGCGCTTTCCAGTCCTGGCATACATCTTCAAAGGGCAGCAGTGACAACTACCCCTGCGATATCCCTCCAGGGAGGGACAGGTGCGGTGCCTCCACATTTGAAGACAAGACTAGTGGTGCTTCTCCATCGGTGTCAGACTGCCTGCAAATAATTAGGAATATTGAAGGCGATGCAACCAGTGAGTGGACGCATCGTATTACTGGCCAGCGTAAGATTTTGGAGTATGGCTCTTGCGCCTTTGGTATAGAAAGGACTGGTGGAACTGGCGGCGCCGTCGAGTTCAAGGTGGGTGGCCAGGACGTTATCGATGTTATCAACGATGCCGTCAGAAAATTCGGGAACAACGGGAGGGTGGGTGCTAGAGGTATCATGTCCTGCGATGGGACGACCGCTGGTACGCACGTAAACGTGCTATGGGGCCTCTACTAAATGCATAGCCTTCACCCCCCTAACACTTAGTTCTGTTTTCGCAAATGAGTGGCTTGGTACTTTGTAATCAAGCACTGGATTCAGACTGTTAGGGGAAACAAAACTTCTTTCGTGGGTTGTAAGCGCGCAACCGTTATTTAATAGAACGTGCAGATGATGAGTAAGGAAGGAAGATAGGCCGGAGGAATTCTACAATATATTAGGTAGGTAGATATCAACAGGAGATCTCTATAATTCTTCTGTTTGTCAAATTTTGGGCATAGCGTGCGCGTGTATTTTAGTTTTTCTTTATCTAAACCACTAGTAATTCTTATCTGTTATTATTATATTATTCTCATCCAACATTAATTCTACTTTCACCTTCTTATACACCTATCTAAAGCTTATAAAATATTTCTTAATCTCGTCTTCTTATTATCTATTTGGGTGTGGTTATATTTTTTACAAAATACTGCTGCCAGCTTACCTTCAACAATTAAGGAAAGCTAACCAATATCAACAATCATTATTATATTTTTTCTCCTAAAATGTTGTTGAAATCAATACATATCAGTTGAATAAAACATCATTCTACTATCAGTATCGTTTTTACCGCAAGCTGGATAATAGGTGTATTAGATTGATGTGATGATACCATGATATCTGGCTAAACTTCTACGCCGGGATCCCAATTATAAATATACCTAACAACTAAACTACATTACAACCAGCAATAGGTTTCTAGCATATCCAGGTAGCAAAATGTGAAGCTTTATCAGATCTTTCATTACTCAAATAATAAGTCGCAAACCGAAGTTCTACAGACCCTCTTAAATGGAGCTCGATGACCACATATGTGTGCACGCACGCTAGAAAATCTGTAATGTTGAGGATATCCAGAACCAGCTACTTAAAATAAGCTGCTGTTCTGAACACAACCTTCATATGGTTATGCTTAAGCGGAAAATCGAAATTTTGCTTTGGCTCAAATAAGCCATACCCACCGCACAGCTTATTCTGTATTACCATGCAGGCGTGATGCGATAAGAAATATCGGTACCTATCTTCGGTATCGACCCATATACCAGCCAGGTGGCCCTATATAATAGCATACAAACTGAACACGTTAAGGCTAGCAGTTTGGAGTCGCGAAGTAAAATTGTAAAGCTAAATAGCGAAAATTAAACTATTTGCCCGGCAGTTCCATATTTATCAGCAACAATTAAACCGTCAAGATCCTAGCATTTTTGCCGACTGAACTCCTGTCTAGTACATGGTCGCGCCAGCCCCTAGTGGTCAAGATAACTCTTTGCTTCCCCAAGGTTGGAATTAACTTATTCAAAGCTGGAATAGGAACATCATTGCCGCTCGCCTTTCGTTGCCCCCAAGGTGTCCCTGGTGCGATAAAATCCCCCTGTACCCATTCTTTCGGCCATGCAGTCTGGAAAGGAAATTTCGTATCGGTAAACATTTGACCAAGGATATTTTGATCCGCCTTTATAGCGCTTTTAAACTCGTGGTAGTACCATTCGCGTTCGTTCGGCGGCTGATAACTACTGAGTTCTGAGGGCACCATGTAAGAAAGCTGTACGTGCGGCAGTCCGACACCGCCGTGCCCAAGACCTGCGTCCGCGGGCGAATTACTAGCCAAGTCGAAGCGAACATCGATATAGATATCCTGATATGCTTTAGAACCATCCTTTAGGTTTGTTAGCACCTTCTTTTGCTGAAAATACCAATGACGAGTCCCGCAACCAATATTCGGGACTGCTGCTCCGCAGCCGATGAACAAGAATAGATCGAGCTTTTGCGCTGTGTCTGGCGAAAGACCCGGGGCAATGTAAAGGCCCCTAAATATTAAATTAGTACAAGACTAATAAACTTCTGGCGAAAGATCTGCAATGCTTACGATTTTTTCAGTCTGCAAAAGCTCACTTGTTTCTGGGTTCCATAATGATCCAAAATCTTCTTCTCACATGGGGCGGCTCCATATTCACTCCTTACAACTCGCTTCCATTCGCTGTTGTAATCGGCGGTAGTCCAATCCTTTGTGGTTCGGGGATAAATGGGGCCCTTCCAAGCGGCCGCCCATTTATTATAGAGCTCATTGGCACTGTTTTCTTTTCCAACTCTATTCTCATTGCCAGGGCGCACAGATACGTAGTCCAAATAGTCTGTCGGTCCCTGTTCGAAACTTATATCAATGTTGGTCTTTTGCTCTTCTTCCTCCATAGGCCGAGCTTGTAGTTTTGGTGGGACAACTTCAGGTGTAACTGGTCTCCTCACGCTCAAGATCGATTCTTCCAATTGGCTCGTAGTTACGATGTTCGAATTTGTAGGCTCGTTAATCATTCTCTCCTTGTCTTCTGTCACATAGCTGTCAGTAGTGCCTAGATGCAAGCTTTGGCTGGGCGTCCGAACGCGGCTTAATCCAGAACGCCCCGGTAAGTCCATTTCGTTCCTGCTTGTTCTACCGGAAGCTGTTGACAGAATTCCGTTTGTATCAAAGCTGTTGTCAATGTCTCCGGGCGGTTTTTCTGATTTCTCAACACCGTATTCGTGCCACTCCTTGACGTCTTCCCAAGCTGGCGCGAAGCTTACGGTAGTTTGCTCGAAGGTACCTGGTACTGGAAGATTTGTGTCATACGGTTCTACCGCAAAGAATTCTTCATCTTGAACTTCGTCCTTGATTTTCTCCAGCTGCTTGATGAAAGCGGTATCATCTTGATCATTCTCATTCAGGAGGTGGTTACTCGCTCGCAGCTTTTTGTTGGATGGGCGCTTTCTCGAAGGTGCAACAGCTTCATCGTTGGCATAGTAATTATTTAGAGTTAGGGTATCTCCGTTGTAGCCACTATCCCAATCGAGGAGGCCATCTTGGTCCCATAGGTGGTTCTCCACGGCATATAAGTGTGCTTCATCCCAGCTAGGCGGTATCCGGAGTGCATCTTGGATAATTCTTTGCTTCTCTCGCCTCCAATGTTCCTCTTGCGCTTTTACTCTAGCGGCCCATTGCGCTCGCCTTTGTTCTTCTTGTGCAGCGGCAAACGCTCGCTTCCTTTCTACCTCGGCTGCCGCTTCCGTTCTCTTTCTTTCTTCCTCATATGCCTCCATTGCCAGCTTTTGATACCTCAGCAACATTTCGGCATTTGGGTCCACAACTGGCGTTGTTAGCGGCTGTGGGACCGGCCGGCGGATAGCGGCATCTTTCTTTTTGGCCCCTTTCTTTTTGGGTCCGTCCGCGCGCTTTTGCAAACGATGTGCAGGCTCATAGTGCTCTGCCGTATTCGAGGCCTCGGATCCTTTAGTGGGGAGGATGGGCGAGCTTGCAATCGCTGGCGTATATCGACCTGCAACCAGGTTCACATCTTCTCCCAAGGGCGGGGTCGGGTCTCCAATAAACCAGCTTCTGTACGCATAAAGGAAAACTATGACAGCTATAAATTCGCAAAAAAACATCCAATGCGTTCCTATTGCAAGGAACCTTGAGCGTTTAGGCCTATCCATGACGCATGCACTCAAAGGAAACGGACTACAAAGAGTCAACAAATTTGTCGAGATACAAAAGTAGCCGGGACAGCGATAGACCGAACATTTGGTAGTGGTAACTTGCGATCACCATGTGGAAGGTTCAAGACTTCGGATTCTCATGTGCCTTTGCTTGGGTATACGGACACTGCCACACGTGCGTACTCATTGAGCTAAATAAAGAGGGATAATGCATTGAATTCCGGAAGCCACACGCGAGGCCAGAAAACTTTTAAAATATTCTCTCTCAAGCCCACTCTTGTCGTATACCTGTCAATGAGATATTATTAATATTTTGATCGTTTCAGTAACTGAGAGAATTCCAGGCACCACTTCGGGCTCTTGCCCACGGCCACTCACGTGACCGCTCACGGGATAGGTTATTCTGACCTCTTTCCGGAGAGTTTCACCTTTCTCGATCTTCCTATCGCACATTAGTTGAAAAGGCCGCACTCAATACATTTAATTTTTGAGAACCATGATATATAAGCGAGTCTGTTATAACGTTATTGAGGATGGATAACTAGTCCGGAAGTCGCTTCCTGGCGTTCGCAGATTATGTCTTTTACAAAAGAAGCTAGTCGTAACATCGGCTAACTAACCTTTATCCCACCTTTTCAAGGTTACACGACACTACTTTCCGTAACTAGCGGCTTCAATCGGACTAACCGCCAGCGTTGGAACCTTCCAGAGCAGAATCAAGAACAACTCACCCACAAGACGTCGTTAACCGGAATAGTACTAAGGTCCCCTACCTAATTTAGATAAGTCAGTTTATATAAGGATTAAACCCACAGGTGAGGGGTACATCCTTAAGAACACTCCACTCTAAACTATCTCTAAGTGTAGACACCACCACAAACTTCTATCAACAACCTTACAACTCACACCCGCCTATTCTACAATTTACTCCATTTTAAAACACCATGGAAAGTTCTTCAAGCAATAACGACACAGGTTCCGATGCACCGCCGTATACATCCGAAGAACGCAAGTGGTTAAAAAAACACTACGGAGGCGAGTCTCACTTTCTTGCCTCCTATTGCCTCAGCATATACAAGGAAGAGGATCGGGAGGAAGGCCGAAGAATTATGAGGGCTCTCGCGGAAAATGATTAAACTTTGGAAAACCGGGTAAGCGGTGACCCTTGTATGGGGCTGAAGAGCGACTTGCTAATTTTTCTATTAACAGAATCGGCAGACATCCACCATTATATTATCCGTCGCATTTGGATCTGTTTTTGTCCGGTTTATACGGGCTTCAAAGTTGCCGGCCGATAGATACACCAGCGATAGGGTTGGGTTTTATTCTTTAGCTATGGGATACTTTTTTTGACGATTCTTTGAACTATTCCATCTGTATGTGCGCTATTTGTTGACATTAAAATCAACGGGGTCCAGTTGAATTATCAAGAAATCAGAATTCCTTTCTAAAGTCTGATTCTAATTCAGTCTTGATCCCTTAAGCTTTAAAAGGCCGGGGTTTGAATATGGCACAAAATATAAATGATGACTTCGTTAGCAATCAAACAAACCTTACTATTAAAAAAAAAGATTCGAATATTGTAATACAAAAACAAAGTGTTTGAGTGATTTGCTCAAGGTCGCTGTTAACACGTTTCTCACAAAGACTAGGGATAAAACGTTCGTTCAAATTGTCCACCTGAACTGGTGGGACTGAGAATTCGGAACCCATAGGTATTTTTTTATGCTCGGGATAGAGATATAATTGATTGATAGTAGCTATCCTAAGGCACAGGGATTTTAAAGGAGTAGGTAGTATACTAGGTAGTAGGGGAGTAACGGTCTTCTATCTACAAGCAGCAGTTATAAATAGAGGAATTGGTCGGCCAACTGAAAATGAGGTTGTAGTTTTTCACTCGTTCTTAGGTTGCAGCACCGCGGTAAATCATAGCTTGGATACTTGGACCAAAAGCACGGTTATGATAATCCTAGCTATAGATCTAGTATGGCTGGGGTCGTTGTTGTCGTACTTAGTTACCTGCACAATTGGTGGCACAATAGTCGAAGGAGAACTTGCACGTTCCCCAAAAGTAGACTTGACCGCACCTGGTGCAGCGACCACCGTCTTGCTTGTAGATTGTACGGGCCCTAAATCCCGAAATCAATAAAAGTCTTCAAGAAATGCAGGGAGGGATATATATAGCTTACTTTGCCACAAGATTCCTTCCTCGTGAAACTCCGGCTTGCGCAGCCGAAACATAATCCTGAACGTTTCCACACGAGTATCTAGCAAGGCAGCTGTATCCAAAGCCGTCGTAGGTATACCAAGCTCTTTTCTCTTGCCAAAGAACGTTATCATTGTCGAAGTAACTGAGCGCCGCCAAGCAGGCGCTTTGAGGCATGGTGCTGCATCTAACTGATCCCTTACAATCCCAACTATCCCTCTTCTCCAGAATAGATCGGGCTTCGAGAGCAGCGTTTGGGCTGGCGGCGGTTTCGAGTTGGATATCAGACGGCTGGCTTGCTGGTAGGCATAAGGCTCCTGGTACCAATGCACCAAGGCAAGAGAAGAGAAGAAAGATCTGAGTAAAGGCAAGGAATTGCATTTTGATGGTTTGAAATTTGTGTTATAGTTATCTTTTGAAGATTGTCTGAAGTAGGATGTATTGTCTGAAGGTGAGTAGGCTGACGGTTGAGAAAGCTTTCAATTTTTTCGAAGGGATTTCGTCACTAATTTATAGATTTTGGGAGCTCAACCTAGAAGATAATTTTTTGATATTCTCGATATAACGGCTAGGTCTCAACTTCAATGCCGTAGTCGGATTAATCGACAGAACGAATTTTTTTTCCCTCTCATGTCGCACAACGTACTTTGCGCCCACATACGTGGTTGAGTAATATTGTGACAGAGATGGCTTGGAGCGCCTAAATTTGCCAGTTCGGCATTCAGGTATCATATGATAACGCCGAAGGTTGTTTATGTTACATATTGGAATTCAGAAGCCCGAACTTGGAATCTGCCCAATTTTGCTCGAGGGCATCCCGGTAGCAGGGTTGTTCGTGGCTCGCGCTTCAATAGCGCGAACTTCTAACGCTTAGCAAGCAACGGCCCCATATTCGCACTTGAGAAACACGCTGCAAATGTAACCTATGGGAGAGAAATAGTAATCAACATTTTGGGTTGGCAGCAGAACGAGCGAAGGTGCGACGGAATGGCGAAGCGAGGCCCAGGCTGCAGGCGTGGCGCGCCCAGCCGGACAACACCGAGGCTCTGCAGCTCTGTATAACAACATGTCCTCGATCAACTGGATTTCGCTGTCAAAACTTGCGTCAAGGGAGGTGTTACAAAATACCCGGGACCCCTGCCTACTGCATATCATTATTAATGGGGCCGAAGTTTTCGTGGCAGTGATTACTCAAGTACACAGCCCGTCGGAACTTAATCTGGACTGCACTCCGAGGCGAGGACTGTATATTGCACTATGCGGCTGCACTCCCCACGATGGTGCATTATACAGGCAGGCAACACAACCCGATATAACCGTTGTGGTCTGATCTATAACGTCGGGATGGAGTATTTCCGTGTCGGATAGCGCTCTTCGCGAATATGAAGCTTAAACCTCTAAAAGTATCAGATCCAGGCGTGATCGCAGGTAGCACTTTACCCTTCGAATTATTTCGAGGGCATGCTAATATGAGAAATGGATACATACCACTAGCTATGAAACGTTATGATAGGGTTCACCGCTTCATACCTAGGTACCTAGGGGGTTAGCTTTGAGATTGAACTAACCTATGAGGTCTAGTCATGAAACCCATGCATGTATTTTGATTCCATCCAAGGCTGGCAACAGGTTTTCATAGTTTGGTAATTGCAACTGGAAAGTAGGAACCGTACCAAACGCGGGTAATCCGTCGAGCTACAGCTAATATATAGATCAAAAAGCCAAGTACCTATTATGACATGATATGATACTAACGTAGTCTGCAAGCTGCAAAGATCCTGGCATCCCGTATTTATGCTTGCATACGCTCAATAATCCTCGCCGCTATCAGATCGAATCCAGACAGTAGTCTCGATGCAACTTTTTCGCTGCCTTCATCCATAGACAACGCTAAAAATGATGACTGCCTAATAAAGCCTTCTATTGCTGGCCATGCGTGTGGTTTACCTGGAGCTACTTCTAAATCTATCATCGCGCCAGCTCCTTCCGCATAGTTAACGAACTTTTGTATGTCGGGAAGGAATAATTCGTCACCGCCGGCGGAAACCCAGCAGGCTTTCGGAAGAATCTGCTTCCATGATACACCGAGGTGGTTAGGCGGGCCGGCAGCAAAATTTCGATAGGTACGGGCAGTTTCTGTTCGAGGTCCACCGGCATAGTCACCGGGAAATACGAGCTGGGACCATTGATTTAAACAGCATTGACTAAGCATATCTGTGTCATCTTCCAGGTTCGGCTGCTCCTTTTGCATCATGTTTACCCATGGACTAACTAAGACCAGACACGCAGGAGGCTTACAATTTTCAGGGACCTCGTAGGATCTTTGCCTCGCTAATACCAGGGATATCATCAACGATATCGCCAAGTGGCCACCAGCTGATTCGCCCATGACTACGATTTTGTCAGGGTGGACACTGCAATCGGTAATCAGATAGTCGTAGGCCGCTCTCGCCTGTCCAATTTGGGTATGGAAGGCACCCGCCGGGGCGAGAGTATACTCAAGAGCAAACAAGCCCACTTTTAGACCACTGTTGGAGAAAATTTCTCCCATGCGAAGATACCCTGGTAGCAAAATAGCTGGATGTCCCCGAACGTACCCGCCGCCGTGGATTATAAGTACCACAAAATCACAATCTCTGGGTTGGCATTTTTCCGCAATAGAGCCGCAAGAAACCCAGTATCCGGATACGGCTGGATGATTGAGTCCGTGGTAGATGTTTCTGCGGTAGCGGGAATACCGGCGAGAAGAAAGAACCTTTTTGCCGGCTATGTCTAGGCTTAAGAAATGAAGAGTTGATCCTGGGATTGTGGTGCTCGCCCTGTAGGAATAAACCCAGAATTAGCAATTCATATATCGACTTGAATGTTTCCATTCGAGCTGTACATACTTTCTGTTCAGAGTCCTGGCTAGATCCGTCAAAAGTGGAATTCGGTTGCTCCTTACACCGTATAACCGACGGACAGAGAAAATGACTAGTTCAACTGGAACATAAAAAATACAAAAACCTAAAATATAGGCGAAGTGTAAAGCAGTGCTTTCACGAGGATTTGAATTTGGACGGAAGGCCCGTCTGGGGCAGGAATCGTTCATCGTTGGGCTTCTATATGTCTCGCTGGATTATCGAGTATACCTCTGAAAAGGCGAGCTGGAGGGGTGTATCGTTTAAATATGTTAACCTCATATCGGCATTAGGACCTTTGGTGGAGCATGTTGTCTCAGGCCCGGTTCTCGCAAACTAGGTCTCAATTCGGCTTAGCCCACGCGATAGTACTTTTCGAAGCCCCAGATGAGGTTATCCACTAGTCCGACTAGAATTTCAATAAAAAAGATGCTAGGAACTGTATTCGACCTTGTTAGTTCGAAATAAGCGGCCGGTTTCATTAAGCAGCCCTCGCAGCGACTTATAATCTGCTACCCGACCATTTTGTTGACCAACTCTTGTAAAATACAAGATTTCACAACTGCATGATAAAGTGTGCAACCCAGTTGGCCAGATACTATGTGGCTCTGGCTACGAGGAAAATAGACTTATGTAAATAGAAAATATTATTACTCGGTTCAGCTTCATGCAGAAGGGCCAAATTATTATTCAATAGTTTCATGACGAATCTCTAGAGATACTACCCGGTGAATCCTGTATTGTGACTGCCAAGGCGCCTCCTCGTTGATGATATTGAGAGACCCCTTTCTACAAAAATGATTATTTCCACGAATAGTAGGATCCCTCACCTGGCGACTCATCTCATACCGGCTTCTATCTTCGTTATAAGACGTCAAATTCAAGAACTTGACTTTCACCAGAAGGGGCTTGAGTGTGGTGGCGCAAACACAAACAATGGTTGTAGATAATTCAATGCCCCCCCAAAGATAACAGATGGCAACAGAATCGTAATTATTAAATACCATCCGAGTTGTATACACGATTCGAATAATCGTCGCAATGCAGGCCCTAGGCCGGATTAGATTCCTTGTTCAGGTTCAGCTTTATGAGATAATGGATTTTCGATTGACTTACAACGATGCCACAGAGAGCATAGCACCCGCAATGACTTTGACCTGCAGCCGAACTTTAAGACGGTGTAAAACTATGGCTGGAATTATGATCCCGAGAACCAAGTCCAAAAATGCCGTAACAGCGCCATGGCTGTTAAAGATAGAGGTACGTTCGTCGACGTAGCAAGAGTCTGATCCAAGGGCCCAGTTCAGACTGATCGGTTGACAAGCCAAGAGAAACCAGAAGAAAGGAATGACCGTTATTGCAGTTGCAGCAAAGCTGATAAAGTATAAGGCGAAGATCTCGATACGATTCTGAATAATTTTCAGAAGAGTCAGAGCAAAAGATATCTCGATGACGCCAGTCCCAGGAATGAATAGCATTTGCTGGATGTAATAGTACTAAAAGGCTCCAAGCCATAGTTAGTGCTTCAGTCGTCTAATAAGCTTGTTCTCTTTGCACAATTAAAAACCTTTTGTTGGTTGCGCATTATGTTGGTTTCGCTGGGCGTTCCGAGACCAACCCCGTAATTAACGATTGCAGCGATAAAAACAGCACTACGACACGTGCTTAATAACTATAGAAAGTTAAAAATCCAATCTCTAGACCTATCTTGAACAAAGACTTACTGAAGATAACAGCACGAGTGCATCTTCTGAGTTAAATATCCTCAGAATTTTGATTCGAGTAAAACAGCGAAGACCAGTGAAAATCCATACAAAGATATTGCCAACGATTTCTAGCGCGATCCAACCGCGCGGGGAAGCCATGATCCAGGTTTCAGCTTGATGAAGAACTAGACGAAAACTCATTAAATAGCGGTGTGGAAGCCTGCCCCATGGCCAGTAGTTCGGTAAGGTATATATAGCTGGAGCCCTTTTATTCTTACCCTTGGTCAAGATAGCGAGCCCTGAAGTTGATATATCCAAATTCTGGTCGGACATGCGCGTGTGAATTCCAACTTCCAGCCGCACGGTTGCTCAGGAAGATAAGCCCCTCAAGTTAAGGGCACACAGTGCCAAAGCGGCATTGCTCAAGGGTATAATCTCATAATTTTTCTGAAGTCAAAGCGAAAATGTAGAGCACCTTTAATGACTATTTCTGGCATAACGGTTTGCGGGGTCCCCATATATTATTCTTGCAGAATCCACTTGCAAAAAGCGGCTTAAAAGGTGCTCGACCGGTTTGTACCCGAAAGTCCTGGGCCTTAAACCGGTTAGGGGCTGATATTTCAGCACCAGCGATTCCGACGAAATAGTTGACCTACGCAGATATCGCATGTGAGAAGTCGAGTCCCATTGTAAGTAGGCTGAATTACCAAACTTGAAGGCCAGGTGCTTCCTTAGGCCTTTTGTGTTCTCGAATTCTCGGGTTGTATCTAAGCTTTAAATTTTGTGACAGAATCGATCGATCGATATCGCACAAACCCTCGCAAACCCTCCCCGGTTTTGGATTAGTGTAGAAACTTCCAGCCAATCAGATTTTAGATGGCTCTGAGCTTGACCCAGCTGAACGCCACACACGCGTACTTCTTCGCCACAGGCCTCATTAACTCACCAATGTTCCAAATATTCATACAGGTCTCATTCGGCTCGAAAGTCCGAATTTTCGAAATTTTTTTAATTGTTCGTCACTGTTTTTTTTAAAAACTGGCGAGACCGGTTTCGTTATGATTTCGTTATGAAGGGTTCTCTGAGGCGCCTTTCTTAAGTTGTGAAATTAGGGCGAGCGACTTAGTACCCTAGATTGATGTCCAACGTTATAACTAACTAAAGGCTACAATCCCGTGAAATTTCGTCACTAGACCCGGTGTCCCCAAGCTTAGATCGAAAACGAAAGGTTTTGAGGTTGAACACGTTAAATACTCGCCACAGTCTTTCGACAGGGGGGTAAGCGAGCTGCATGCTTCCCCGAGAACAGCTAGGTAGGGACAGGGGCATCAGCCAGCTGCAGCTCCGACCAAACCTAGTCCAGGCGTTGGAAATCACCATGGAGCGGGTCCAAACTATTAAGCTAATCAACCGAAATCATGGGTATATAATCCAGTCTAGGTATCGAGGTCCGTATACGCATGGTTATAAGCAGACTGCATTCTCTAATTCAAAACCCCATACCCACATCCAGCATATGAGTCAAAACACATTAGACGTCTTACTGCCTTTCCCCCCTCTATAATGATGTTATCACTGATAGCTTCTGAAGTTTGGGATCAAACGGACGATTGGACGGGGGTGACTAGTCCGATGGAAAGGCGAAAACGACAGAACCGCCTCAACCAAAGAGCATACCGTGAGTTTCCCTTGAAATTAATCCTCCCCATGGCATGGGATAGAAAGTTGGTCTGGCTGCATGCTTATCTGGTACCGTGGAAGGTAAGCGAAGGCATATTCGACGATGTGCACCAATTGAAGAGGATACACCCGTCCCAAAAGCTTCCACGGATTCTGAGTGTCATGACGTGGTCATTGTTGGAAGCACGGCACCATTTTCGAATTCTCCGACCCACCCATTAGACTTGATTACATCACCCGACATTCACCACCGTCTCCAAGTCGTCGATTTCGTCCGGCGCGTACTTTTGAATTGTAGTCTGCGTTTACAAGCACCGTCGGAACCTCACCTGCTTGCACGTTTGAATGTTCTAAGCGCACTGATTACAAATGCTGCCATGCTGAACATACCATTCCAAGACCTTGGCCGGGAGGGTGCCATCTCACGATTCAACCTCCAGGGGCCGGAACCGTTAGGAATGAATTCCACCTCGCTAATTCCTGAGAGCCTTCGCCCGACCGCTTTACAAAGAGAAATAGTTCATAGTCCATGGCTTGATCTCTTTCCGATGCCGACGCTTAGAGATAGCATTCTCCAAGCCTTTCAAGAATCTCTTTTAACACAGAACCAACTGTGCCATTCTATCTTTGCTGTGGATGACACCGGTGGCGCAATAGCCCCTCTTGTTGTTTGGGGGGAGCCTTGGGATCCTAGCAATTGGGAACTATGCCCTCAATTATTAATAAAGTTAGACACATTGTTAAACGATTGCTCAACCGCGTTAGAATCGACAAATTTCTGGCGCAAGAAGCGGGGTGAAACGGAGATAATACGTGTACAATAATGAGAAGAGCAGTTACTTATGGTGTCCATTGCGGTTTTTAATTCGAAATGTGTAGCTCCTAAATACCGGTTATTCTCTAAATTAATCAATATTACCTTGCTGTTGAATATCGATCGTGCAAAATCTGCACCACACTTGATAAATCAATTTTAATACTCGTACACAGACTCTTCGTAAGGAAGCTCCCTAATGACTCTCAGTAATCGAATGACATTCGTATAAATATATATTTATTCATATCACGTATTACATGGGGTGGTGGTGGCTCGACTAATTGAACTCGTGTCAGTCAATGTTAAGGTGGCTGAGCAGCATGCAATATGCTTACACCCCGACTCGCTGCATGCGTCTAACTTGTTTTACTAAATTCCCCGAAGTAATCTCTGGTCACCTCAACCTACTTCGCCAGTAGCAATCCTTCCGGATATAATGAACCACTAGAAGAATCTTCCAGTGGAACTCAACAGGCTACCATAAATCCAACTGCAATTTCGCGACGCAAAAGTTCAAATATATATTTCCATAATCCGGCACTCTCTTCCTTTTGGTTCAAGCCAGTCAAGCCGCAAAACTCCCTCCCAACACCAATATAATGTTCGAGTTGATAAGTTGTATCTGAGTAAGTGCGCGTACATTGGTTCCTATCCGTACCCAAACCTCTATATACTGACACGCCCCTAAGCCACAAGCGGAACCTGTTCCAAAGTTTAACTACACAAAAGCTTATACTCCTCTACATTTGATCTCGAGATAACCCATCAAAATGTTCCGAAACACCCTAATAGGCGGTACCAAGTTTCGCCCCGACGAGCATATACCCGATTTAAATGGAAAGGTAATACTCGTTACCGGGGGGAATTCAGGGCTAGGGCTTGAAACCGTACGCCAACTCGTAAAGCACAACCCATCCAGAATTTACCTCGCAGCACGGTCAACAGAAAAGGCACAAGTGGCTATTCAGAAACTACAAGAGTCACATCCTACCGCTATCCCGGTTTCGCATCTCAGTCTAGACCTTTCATCGTTCGACAGTATTAAAGCTGCCGTGGCGGTATTCAAGCAAGCTGAGACTAGACTTGACACCCTCATCAACAATGCCGGTGTTATGATGCTTCCAGAGGGCTTGACGAAGGACGGCTACGAAATCCAACTTGGGACTAACCACCTCGGCCACGCGCTGTTAACACAGCTCCTCCTTCCAATGCTTCAAAGCACAACAAAATTGAATTCGGATGTACGTGTTGTCACGGTCTCTTCGGGCGCTGAATCATTTGGTCCGAAGAAGTTATACCCAGTCGAAAACTTCAAGACAACGATGCCGGGTCTCAGTACCCAACATCGCTACGCTATCTCCAAAGCGGCCAATATACACTACAGCAGTGCCATGGCTCAGAAATTCAAGGATATCAAATTCGTTTGTGTTCATCCGGGGTCAGTTCAAACTAATTTGGCTGATGCGATATGGAAAAGTTCAAATGTCGTTTTCAAGGTTTTCTTGGTATCATACGCTCTCTTGTTCATTACTAAGCCAGAACAGGGCGCTTTGAATCAACTATGGGCCTCAGTAAGCCAGGACGCTGTGTCGGGCGAATTCTACCACCCAGTTGGGTTGGCTGGCAAGGGCTCCCATCATGTTAAGAATTCGAAGGAGCAGAAGCAATTATGGGATTGGACACAAGCAGAGCTTGAAGCGCACCTACCAGCAACCCCCTAGATCACGATATCCAGTTTTTTTCTATTTCATTTTGGACCTGACGCGAGGAAGAAACTGGTAGCCAGAATCGAAATTCTTCCCGTAAACCTTCTAATTGAGTTGCATTTCTGTCGTTCCCTGTAACTGTGTTAATTAGCTCTTCAAGGTCAATGATTAATATTTTCTACTATAAGACGAGTTACTGGGTAAAAATGAGATCCGAAAACAAGCTGTTGGAACGAGTCTAGCTCTGAATCTAGAGCTAGCAAATTCGAGGCTTTTCAAAAATCATGGCTGCATTCCCGTCACTAAGCGCTAGTTACTAGTATACTAAACACTAGTTATTACTTTCGTAATAGAGTCTATACTGTTTATATACTTATCAGGCAGCTCCAAGAGCATCACTCACTCAGCTATACCAGGGTGATCTAGATTTTTTGGAACATTTAAAAAAAAATTAGTCTCGAAATGTAGGATATTCAAAATACGATCGAGCACTGGTCAATCTAAAGATTTGAGATTCCCCGTATTCCCCCCAACTATATATATTCCGAAAGAGCTGATTCCTCACAATAATTGCGACCCTATAAGTCCTATCACATGCATTAAATTATAAATAGAACAGTAATTCATTAGATGATTTAGGGCAGAGCCTAATCCACACCACCTAGGATTCCCACCGAATCGGATAGCAGAAGCTCGTAGGGATTTTTATCGAACAAGAATGTGTTGCCTTGCTGAAATCCAACAGCTTTATAACCCTCGGCCAACGCAAGCTGACAGGAAGCTCTGCAGCTCTGAGATTATATTAGCGATTACTCGATGATTAATGAGACTCGAGACCGATTAGTAGAAGAACCTAAAATCTAATTCTTGTACCCCGATGTAATGTGCGAGCATGCTGGCTGGGATTCTATCAAATTTCCTAGGTTTGTCGTAGCTGTCCAATCCCAATTCAATGTCCTGCCGACTTAAATTCTTAGCCCAAGCAGGCACCAGTATGCCTGATCTTCGCGCCGGACAGCTGCAGGGTGAATAGTGATCACCAACAAACCAGCCAGAAGGTATTTGCTGTGTTGGTAATGGAATGAATTCAACTTTGGAGTTCAGTATAAAGCGGTTGGAAGTTCATAGTCAGCCAACGGGAAGAGTTTCAGTAAAAATGCTTAGGAATCCAATGATGCTTGGGATGGGTTTGCTTTGGCTTGTGCTTGGCCTTGGATGGTGATCAACCGCAAACTAGGATCTAATCAGGTTAAGCCCTGGGCATCTTAATCGGTCCGCAGCCCCAAATTGCAAGTAAGCAACCCAAGTCTTAAGATGTATATAGGTTGCTCATCGGTAGGCCAGCACGCGTGATGACAAGTTTCAGAAGCTATGTAATAACTTAAGATCTTAAGACTTCCATAGACAAATGACGAACCCTAAGGTTATTCGAAGATCTATGTACTATACTCGGAGCGAGAGTCACCAGCATGACCGCCTATGAAGTACGACCCACCCCCCGTCAGTGAATCAAGTTGAATCAACAGGCTGGTGATACGGGCGAATGGCCTAGGTTCTCAACTATGGGCCACTTCTACGGCTCCAGCCGTTAGATTTAGTGCATGTGAGCCTCATTTCGCCAAAGGTAAAATAGCGGGGCCCGGGGTAGGATGAAGTCCGAGATTCGAGGTATTTAACCCATTAATCGAATGCATTTAAAACTAGTAAGAGTAGAAAGCTTGTAGCATGCGCATGTGGTTCTCTGTAAAGGTTGTATCAATTGTTATATATATGCGAAATTTGGAATATATTCCACTCGATTCTCGTGGAAGTACAAATCACATTTTGATAACACCACAAATACTACGAGGAATCATTGGGTCTGTCATTTGCAACTCAGAAACTCGTCGGCCATATATATACATACATCATTTTTATATTATATTATATCAAAGTTTCGACAATCCCGCTACAGCGCTAGGTCGACTCCACTACGTATACGACAATGAAATATCTATTTTTCGCAGCATCGATGGGACTTGTGCTGGCGCAAAACCCTGATATCATTCCTGAATGTGCACGACCGTGCATAGAACGCGCAACGGCCTCCAGCTCTAGCTGCGAAATTGGCGGTTATTATTGTGCTTGCGCGAACCTCGGACCAATACAAGCGGCGGCAACATCATGCGTCGTTACTAACTGTGGGACTGGCATCGCCCTGTGTAAGCATAAACCTCGTCCTTTTCTTGCTTCTAAGTATACTAACAGTAAGCATGACGGATAGCCGATGTCGTTCCAGCAATCCAATCTCTGTGCCAAAGCATCGGATCCGGGCCCTCAACTTCAATCTCAGGAGGAAATGGCCCCCCCAAGACAACTAACGATGGTGGGGTTTCCACACCATTACCAACAGGAAACAAAAGTAGTGGAACAGTCCAACTTCGATGCACAGGTTTGTTAGGGATGGTTGGGTTGATGATTCTAGCCCTCTGTGGCTAGCTTATAATTATTCTTTGGGTCTACAGTGGTATTAGTAGCTAAGACGGTTGAGAGAAATCTATTTATCAGTGCCGCAGGCTATTATTGAAAAGGATAATATAAGCAAGTACTTAATTAAAGACACAATTGTTCTGGCCTTCGTACTCCTCAAGTGCAATTTATTGTCTTCTAGGCGGTGTAATGTTACGTTCAGTAATCTAGTCAAATACTGCGCTGCTCCAGATACTGAAAGCGCAGGGCCGTTACTGGCTAAAATCCATACAAACTATTAAACTGTTCTAATGACGTGAAAGAACTAGCGTATAATTAAATAATTCTGCTCCTCTTATTCAATTTCAGAATGGAACCATTGAGAAGCCCCGAAATTCTTCGTATACAGCTATAAAGAAGCAGGTGATCCCTGGCGCAATATTCTGCCGTCGAATTCGAGAAATGATGATTCAAGTGAGCAAATTCCGAGACTATTCTGATTTTCATACTACAGGATTGATCACAATTGCACAAGAATACATTTACCTCTGAATTCAACTTCGTGTAGCTCCCCCCAGATGCCAGGCCCGACTCTAGAGTACTAACATTCAAAAAGCTGAATTGAACCCGTTCATATATTAATACATATATTTCACAAGGGAAACATCAATACCTCGGCTTCACGTTCGCTGCAGGACTGACTCAAGATTATTCCCTACTTGTATAGTCTGCCAAAGCGCTTAAGCTATGCTATATCACAGGCAAGGGTATCGATGGTGATACTGCGCGATCAATACCGGCCTAGAAACGCCAGCGATTCCTATGGACCATATGACCATGTAAGGTACGAAACACGGCATCTAGTTTAGCTAGTCTAATCCGCAAACGAGGACCAAATCCGGACCAGATCGAATCCTAATATAGGTCCAAGATTTGGAAGTCCCGGCACTATTGGCCTCCCCACTGCTCCACTTGAGCTAGATCAGATACCCCGCACAAATTTTCCATGGACGTATCCACCATTGATTTTTAGCTCTTGACTAGCGGTCTAGCATATGCGATATCTCCGCGCCCGAGAATTTAATATACTGTGTAAATTACGGCTAACTCGTCTAGGAGTATAACTACTACGTCTTCTTGCCTACGAGAAATTTATTTCAAAGGACTTTAGATAGAGAAGGCAGCTCTTAAATGCAAAACCTCCTACCCTTCAAAAGTAACCCTACTTTATTTCATATTTTCAAGAATTGTTGAAATTGTGGTTTATCTTATACATATTCGAGATATTAATTTTTGCTGCTACTATGGGGCCTGACATCAAAAAATCAATCGAGAGGCCAACGGGAGATGTCGAGTACATCGAAACCGTACCCGAGTCAGCGACCTTAAAAAAACCGACTTTCCAAGAAATCAGAGAAAGGCCAAAACTGGTAACCTACTGCCTTGGGCTCTCTGTTTCTTTCCTCCTACTAGGTTTTGATTATAGTGTGGTATCAACTATATCTGCTATGCCCCAATTTCAGTAAGTTTCACAAGTGCACATTAGTATTGTGCATGCACGAGAAGCCTACGGGAAATGATCAACTAATGAAGGTATAGACAGGTATTCGGAGAATATCATGATTTTAAACTTATCATACCAGCTACCTGGCTCGGCTTGTGGAACGGAATGTACCCGATTGGAGCCATGATAGGATCCGTTTGCTCTGGTTTGGTTCAAGACCGTTTCGGACGTAGGCTTTCCTTGTTTATTGGCAGCATCCTCACCGCGACATCTGTAGCAGTATGTTACATATCCGACGTTCCTGTCTCCCTCGACGGTAGAAGGGGCCTATTTCTCTTTGGGAAACTTCTACAAGGGTTCGCTATGGGACATGTTGTGAGCACAAGCCAAACATACATATCCGAGAACCTTCCGCCTGGGCTCCGTGGGCTTTTGTTCGCGCTGAATCCGCTCTTTCAGCTTCTGGGACAACTACTAGGGGCAGTTGTAGTGCAAGCACTATTAACTACCAATGGTCCTCAAGCATACAGGACTTGTTTTGCGACCCAATGGCCGTTTTCAGTCATACCTCTACTTCTATCAGTGTTCATGCCCGAAAGTCCACCTTGGCTTATCAGGCAGCTGAGAGTAGAGGACGCACAACAGGCTTTCCACAGAGTCGGTTCAGCCGGCGTCGGAAATTTGGAACAAGAATTTCAGAGCCTAGTGCAATTAGTAATAGAAGAGCATCGAAGAGCAGAACTCGAAAGTGACGTCCGCTATATTCAATGCTTTCAAGGAGAGAATCTTCGGAGGACCCTTATTGTAGTATTTGCCAGTTTAGTCCCCACCGCGTTCGGATTGCCTTTACTCGCCTCCGTCAGCTATTTTTTCCCAATATTGGGCATGGCAGTGTCTACTTCACTTACACTTCTCATTATTGGAGTCGTTCTGGGTATAGTAGCTAACATTGTTAGCTTCTGGACGCTAGTAAGATTCGGACGGAGGAGTCTAATGATTTATTCGCTGGGAGCCAGTTCTATCGTATGGCTTGCGAGTGGAGTTGCAGGCATCTTCAGCGGAAGAATCCCTATCTGGCATGTAAAACTATACTTTTCCTCACACGGCAAGCCTCAGGCGGTTAACAGTTTCATTATGCTAGGTTTATCGCAGGATCAATGATGGCGATTATCGTTATTGTAGGCGTTGGAGCCTGGCCCGCATCTGTGGTCATAAGTGTCGAAGCCTCTTCGCTCCAACTTCGCGCGAAAACCCTTGGGATATATGGGCTAGCGTCAAATCTTATTTCGGGGAGCGTCGCCATCGCACTTCCTTACGTCTATAACCCAGACTCTGGGAATTTTGGTGGCAAAACATCTTTTATATTCGCAGCACTCTGTGGTATTTCTTTTTTGGTAACCATTCTCGCGGTCCCAGAGATGAAGGGTCGAAGTGCGGAGGAAATCGACCTTATGTTTGAAGCCCGTTTGGCAACCAGAAAGTTTAAATCTTGGGAGATGTCAGGATCAAAAGCGAAATATTGAATTCGCATCGCTATAAACCCTATTCGGCAAAGGGGATTCGTGAGATTTGAGTATCTGTCAGAGTTAAGGAGAAGGCAGTTCTATCAAAACTTCTATTAGCAGATTAAATATTTTATTTACCAATGCATATGGCCGTATTCCCCTTTAGCCAAGTTTCTCCTATCGTTGATAAAAAAGTAAATCCTGAATCTACGTTCGGGGCCCGGTTTCATATCTTAAGTGTCAAATAAATATCATGACTATTAAAATTAAACGTTGAAATCTTGGACCTGCGTTTGTACTTCCAGGCCATAACAGATCAGCGGGTTTGTGTAATGATTGTAAATGTATTCGAGACCGAGCACTAGCACACCGAGATTGGCTGGAGTTACGTATATCTGGCTTACTATCTTATATTTCCCTTGGATTTTAAAAAAAGGAAGCAAAGTGATCAGCCCAGGAAGACCTTGTTCGAATCTCGATCTAATCTTGAATTCGAAAGATTATCGATATTATCAGCTGCGGTGTAGAACGTAACGACCCCTGTCCACCAGATGTGCAGAGGGCCCGAGCCAAGAAACTAGTTGACTTCGCAAGCAGGGACCAAATTGAGTTAGGCCGATTCACAAACCAGCCAATACGAGTTCGAGGAATAAGGATGCCAATACTGCAATTGCATGGAATGGAACATAGATCCTGTAGCTTCTAGCTTCCAGATGATATTAAAGTCATAAACCTTCTGCCTAGTAAATCTTGCGTCCCCCAGAATCCCCGATGCTGTTTACTAGAAAAGGTTTAAGAATTCTGGCTCAGAAATTTGATCTGGGGCCCCGCAATAGACTTGTGGATTTAATCGATTTTTCGCCTATGACAGGCGAGCCCAACGAGAACTGGGAGGCAGGGTTATCACTTAGCGAAACGCTCTGACACCCTGTTAACGAAGGTCTGATGTAAATACACAGCAACCACTGTCAAAGCGGAATATCGGGAGATTGATAGAAGTTTCACTACGAGTCATGATGGCTCCTTGTTAGGGAATCCCCTCAGCCGCCACCAGATATTAAGAATTGGTTTCTTGCTCCCATGGCCCTATAATTATCTCCACTCACGTCTTGGGATCCTCTTTAAACCTTCACGACCATTAGCAGCTGCAATATGGTGTTCCCAGGAAAATTTAGCACTGGATGCTTCTGTTGCCGAAGACGAAAAATCAAAGTGGGTTATTATCTGTTAGCATAGAGCTGTGTATATGCAATACATGTGACCAATCCGGCCTGGCCCAGCTAACAGCTAACGAACATATATATTATAGTGCGACGAAGGCCAACCTAGCTGCCGACGCTGCGCCATCGCAGGAATTGAATGCGCTGGATACCGCAAAGATCTTATCATACGTTCCGAGAACTTTCGTGTTCGCCAACGGGTTTTGAGAGCTCGTCCTGTAACGGAACAAAACCCCCCCAGACTAATACCAGCATCAGAATCAACAACGATAAACTCAGATGGCCCCACGCTATTGGAAAACCCTCTCTCTATTCAAGTTCAGTCGCCACTTCAATCTCCATCCCCAAAGAGCTTGTTAACTTCATTGCAATCGGATACACCCGTACGCATGCACGTGCCGCTCTACACACCTTTACCAACACCTCTAGAAGATACGGCTCTAGCCTTTTTTGTTGATCAACACGTGCTCAAATCGCGGCTCAACCCTCTAGGAACAGGTCATCTTGAATTTCTCCCGGATTTATATACTGCAGCAGCCGATACTTCCTGCCTAAAATCCGCAGTACTTGCCACCGCTTACCTATCCTTGTTCAATCACACTGGTCTGCCATGTTTAGATATCATGGCTCGTACAGTGCGGTCCTGCGCTCTGCGCACAGTTCGTGCTGCTATTCAATCTTATGAATCCGCTGCGACAGACGAAACACTCGTCGCCATTATGTTGCTAAGCCTATTTGATGATATCGACGGGAACAGACCGAGCATAGTAAATCCACACATTCAAGGGATACGCCATATTCTGCGGCTTCGAGCGAGTAAACCACTGAGGTCGGAGCGAGATAGATCACTTTTTGCATGGGCCTTTACTCATATCCATATTTACGCCTTCACAACAGCAGAATACAGGTGTTTTGACCCGAACTGGTTCCCAGCTTCTATTGAAGAGGATGATTATGGCTCCCATTTTACTCTACTCGCTTCAAAGATCAGCTACTTTTGCGAACTCGCCCAAAAAGCAACACCTCAGAACTCTGATGGCCTACCAATTATTGATGCCGCGACTAGAAGAGATTCGGACTTATCAACCATTCTCAAAGCAATAAACATTCAACTCGAACTAGATTCTTGGACCAAATCTTTACCAAGTGACTGGATTGCTCGAGAAGTTCCAAATATCACAGACCATTGCATTAGGGAGTTCAATTTCCTGACGACATATGCCTCCCAGAATCTCGCCTGCGCATGGGCCCTTTTTCATTCCACACTGATCATCTTCTACAGCAGCTTGATTACTTGTTGCCATCGTATTCTCTCGTGCGACTTGGCTTTAGTATCCGAGGAGGAAAGAAGCCGAGTTGAAACGACCGCTACTATGGCAGAATCAAATATAAAGAACCTTCTCTCTCGTATTTGTAAAAGCTTGCCATTCGCTACAGGGGATATTGATAGGAATGGGGTCAAACTCACCTGTCTGAAATACAAACCGGGCTGTGGCTATCTCCTTCTCTGGCCCTTAACCATTGTGGCAAACTGTCGATATTCAACTACATCGCATATTGCCCTGTCAACTATGACACTACTCCGAATTGGGTCAGCTATGAAACTAGCCAACTGGATTTCCCAGAGACCAAATAT